GTTGCTTTTTTTGTTTTTGGTTTTCTTCCCCAAAAGAGAAAAGATCCATGTCGATTATCCTCGAAAAATGAGAAATAGAGGAAATCACCTGTTTCAATGCTTTCTAGACGGAATAATGACTAGATTATTCAGACTATTTCTAGATACAACAATTAGACGATATCTCCATAGAGACTACGTTTTGTGGCTATTGCATTATTAAAATGTAACATAAATATGAGAGTTTTCGTTTAGTAGATTTATGTACACTGTATTTATATAATAAAGACATATAGATAAAAAGAAAAGAGACTAATTAAAGTTTGATTTTATAGATATTATTTTTTAAATAGCAGAGTAGTAATAATAATCATTGTTTATTAAACTTTAGCACTGTTATTGAAAAGAAAGACGCTCAATTTATTGCATAAATTTTTATTATATATTACTATATATTCCATATTCATATTTTCCCATCCCTTTTTCTCATTGTGCACTGTTTATGACTTTAATGTATTCTCTTGTTTAATATCATAATAGTCGTAGCTATTATATCTTTCTCTCCTTATACATGTTTTATTTTTTTGACACTTTGAAAAGGAATATTTTACTTTTATAATTGATATAGAAAAAAAAGGATTAAAAATCTCAATTTCTTAAGAAATTCATTATAATGAATATAGAATTAATTGTATTTAAATATAGATAAATATCATGTACATTTTTAATAAATATTTTCTAATTTCTAACAAAAGATAATAAAGAATTTTTCGTTTGAAGGAGGATGAAGTAACTACTTAATAATTTTACTTTAAAGATAAAAAATTGTTATTATTATCATAGTTTGGCTATTAGAAAAAGAAAAACCAAATAGAAGACACTCTAATTAAAAAGTAATGATCTATACAATGTATTACATATTAAAATTTTACAGACTGAATATAGGATGAACTGTTTTTTATATATTTCTTTAGTTTCTTTTAATCCAAAATTTATAAAGTTCATAATAAAGTTGTTTTTTAAATAAAAAAAAAGAAATACATTTTCAATTTATTCTTAATCCCTTTTTTCTTTTCATTTTTTTCTTCTCTTCCATTTATTTCATTTGTTCAACTCTTTAACCGATATTCCGCTAATTCTGTAGAATTTTATTCATGAATATCAATTATATCTGTCAATAATTCAGTAGCATAAATATTTCATGCGTCTCATTCGTTCAATATTCTCCTCAAATGAGACCATTTTTGTTTTGTTTTACTCATTAACGCCTTCAACGTTAGTCATAGAAAGTGGACGATACAAATATGATAATCATTACGTGTAGATTATATAAATATTGTTTTCTTATTACTTGGTAATACTGTTTAAATATTAACGAAAGACAACAGAATCATTTGAAGGAAGAAAAAAGTAAAAACTACAGAGTTATTGTCAAATTACAAGCTCTTTTCCAAACTAAATAAATATATATATATATTTATAGAGATATATGCATATATGCATATTCATTAATTATCCATTAAAAGTGAAGATTGCCTATTCATAGACCTTTGCTCAAAGTTCATGTACAAAAATGCTTGTTTTAAAAGTCTTATTTCATTTAATATTTTACATGACAGAGTAATTAAATTCTACCTGATTTCTCCTTGACCTCAAGAAAAATGAAGAAAGAGATAATTATATAATTCTCAGGTAAATCATTTCCATTTCTACCAATAAAAAACTTCAACTGTAAAGAATAAGAGAGAGAGAGAATAAGTAATGAATAGCAAGACATTTTTTTTATATATTGCAATTTCCAAGAAATGAGACTATAGTGAAATATAATTAATTAATATATATGAACAGTTTTAATATATTTTATATGTGTTAGCACAAGTATATAATGTTATATATGTATATAAAAATAATGAATCTGTTGCCAAACCAGTAAAAATTCGTTGTGAAATTGTTAAACCACCTAAAAAAATATCTTTTTCTCCCATCTCAAATTATATTAGTACTGAAAGTAGCCAATTGGATTTATCAGAGTTGAATTTCTTTTTATCAGTAGCTTTTACTAACTTAGAATATCAATTGAATAGTTGTATTGTTTCTATTTACTTTAATATCAACTTTCTAGAAGAGTAGCTATATTCTACTGGAGTGAGAATTTTGTCTTTATATCTTCCACTGTCAAAATTTTGTTTTATTAGCCAATCTACATTAGTTAATAACACTTTCTTTATATACAAAACTCTCTCTAATTAAACTAAAAGAAACGTCAATTTATGCATTTTCCTTGAGGGAAATTTTTATTACTTGAAGATATAAGATTTACAAGCAAATGCTGTAAATATTGAATTCCATTAGTATTGAAACTGAATAAAAAGACAATACTTTGATAGTCTCTGCCATAAAGACTTTTATATACTTAGAAAATAAAAGGGCTGAAGAGTGAGACAGAGGGAGAAAGGAAGGGAGAACGACAGATTAAGACAAGCAGAGAGACAGATTGACAGACAGATTTATCTAATTGTGTTGTTTTCTTACATTATTCCATTAACCTTTTACTTTTTGTTTCTTACCCTCTTCAATAAAGAATAAGTTAAATAAATACAGTATATACAACTAAAGTATAGTATAGATGACACTGTCCCCTCAGTCTTTCTCTTTCTCAGCCCATCATCTTCTCTCTTCACCAATCAGCCCTAAAATATAAAAGTGAAATAAAACATCTATATGATTATTCATGCTTTTAATTCTTTAGTGATGATAATTAAATATTCAAAATCTAATTAGAATGAAAATTCAATAATTTATCAAGTCTAATTATGGATAAGCAGTAACTACAAACTAAGATTAATGATAAAACGTGATGCCGTATTTAGTAGTATACTTTTTCGTTTAATATATAAAGAATATCATACAAGTAATATGCAAATATTAATCCATCATTTCTGGCAAAAATTATACATGTGCACGTAATGGGCTAAATGGTTACATTGTATATTAAACAATGCTCATTTTATTATCAGAATATACTCCATATTCTTTGAAAGGAATCCTTACAACAACAATAATAATAACGTAAAAAAGAAGGTACGAAAAGAGAACTAGAGTTTTTTTATTATTATTATTACTATTATTTTACTCCGTTAAGAATTTGTTCTAAATAGGCTTTTTCCTCGATTCTATTATTACATAACACGTTTGTGTTTGTACGAATTTCTTTTTTTATTCGTTATCCTACAACGAGTTTATGTGAAGAGAGAGAGGGAAAGAGGGAGAGAGAAAATAAACTTTTCAAGCAGAAGAATGTTGTAAATGAATATATAGTATATACTGTATATATATATAATCTTGTATTACTTTTTGAACAGAAGTAAACGAGAAGATGGTTTTTAAAGAAAAGTAAAGAGGTAAATAAACTTTATGGGAAAACTTATGATTTCCGGTATGAATATAAATGCAAATGGCTTAAGAACAATGGGAGACGAAGTTCAATTCGAAGGTAGAAATTCAATATTTTCTTTGTTTTCTTTAATTTGTGAAATGCTTTACCATTTCTACGAAAAGTTAAAAATACTCCTAGCGCTGAAAAGATTAAAGTCGAGGACGTTAGAGAAAGTGATAAAGAGTTAAAGACAGTCAACGAACTCTCTAACAACAAGGTCACCAAATCGAAGAAGATAAAATGCGCAACGTGTGAATTTGTGGGAAAGGATAACTATTCATTGAAGAGACACTTGGTTGTTCATACTGGTGAAAGACCCCATTACTGTTTAAAATGTCCAAAAACATTCAAGAATCGAACGTCTCTTCGTAATCACGAGAAAAGTATTCACTTGAACATTAGACCTATTTGTCATATATGTAACAAAACTTTTACTACAAAGAGTAACCTAAAGAGGCATTATTCATCTTTACATGACCTTTAAATCAGTGTTCTACGAACCTGACAGCATATTACTTTTTATTGCGTATATAAATAGCCGCTCTTAGAACGGCAATCAGTCAAAATATGTGTAAAAAAAGTACACACATACACACATCTCAAACAAAAGATGCTTGGTTGCTAATAACTTTATATCATTGCTCTTTGAACCTAATTTTTTACACTGTTTTTATTCAGTAGAAAACATCAAAAAAGATCGTATTTAGATGATTACTGTATATAAATTGCATATTGAATTTAATCTCAAAATGTATTGATAAGGCTATTGATTCGACCGTGTCTGACCTTTACTGTCTTAAAAAAATTCAGCCTTTAAGTAGTGCAATAGGAACATTCAGGGTACAAGGTCTGTAAACAACAGAGAATAATCTCTTTTTTTTGTTTGAAGTAGGCCAAATTCCTCTCTCTTTTTTTGTGTGTAAGAAAAAAACGTATGACTGAAACAAATACAGAGATTTACTTAGATGTTCAATTATTTACCTTTGATTGAAAACTAACTAAAGATGTTATACTTTGCATTGATTAATATATAATTATATGTATAATTTTAGCTATTAGGAAGTAAATTAAAGGTGTATTAAAGAGAAAATTAAAAAAATATATATATACATATTGCTTACTTTATATTCGTTTTTATTAAAGGAAGAAGCCTTTAATCATGTTAACGTAATTCATCTTAAAGTTTGTTTATTTCTTTGAAATCTTATGTTGTAGTTAATATTAGATATTTTTAGAATTATAGAAGGGGAGTGGCAAATCGATTACAAAATTATTACTTAACCGATCTTGAAGAAAGATATACAACATCCGCCAAACATTACGTAAGCCAGATATGTTTATAATTTAAGCTTTTGGATAGTGTTTCACTCTTTTTTGAAGATAATTTGGTCTATATTCGGTGTGAAGAGGAAGGGATAATGGGTAGCTGTATAGACAAACACACACACACACACACACACACACACAGGGAGAGAGAGACAGAGAGAGAAAAAGAGAGATAGAGAGACGAGGAAGGGTAAGGGAACGGGGAAATGTAGAGAATATATATATATATATATATATATATTTAGCGAGAGAATTCGTTGAAAAGTAGAGGAAAACAACAAGCTATTTACGTATATTCCCCCAGAAACCTCATAGCCTAGTTCTCTTTTTAACTTCAACTCTAAGAAGCCTAATAGTGCCTAATTTGTGGACAAAGATCAGTTCAACACACTAACTTAATAGAATAGGTTGTTGCCATCCACCTTTTGAATATTTTATCCTACATATTTTTTAAAATAAAAGAAAATTATAAAAATCATTAGGACTTGTTTGTAACAGCTGTTGCAAAAAAATGGGAGAAATTGAAACTTTTTGCAGTCGGGAATAGGTTTCGATCTCTTAGTGAACTCATGTTGTTCATTCGTGCTTCAATTTGTTTTGAAATTCTCATATATATTTCAATTTTCGCTTTGTTGGTATCTTGTAAAGATGAAGTTGACCAAACTAAAATTACCTGGTGGCAGATTGAACCGTATACAATTTTTAATAAAAGCGCATCTCAATATCCTATACCCTTTCAGGGTTTCTTTCAAGCAGCAATATTAAGACTACATAAGGAATGTCCTAATACGTTTTCAAATTCTACATGGGATTTTAGAAGGGTTGTTAACCCAATAGACTTTGAGAGAGACGCCGCATCTTCCGTTTCAAATGGTAAAGTCATGGCTTTTTTGCCGTTTTCTGCGTCCTCTACTCTGGCTAGTTCTATTGGCTTTCAAGATGAATCAACATTCTTTTTACCTCTCATCGAAGTTTCTACATCTATTTACTTCTTTGAAAAGAGAGCGGCAAGTGTCGGATCGGATTTAATGGCAGTTATAGTTCAAGGTTGTAAAGGTGGAAGGTGATATTTGTAGAAAAACAAGTTTCCACCAAACAATTATAGTCTATATAAGCAATAATCTATCTATTTAACTACTAATGAACATAGATATATTTTGTATATTTTAGAGTTTTAATTCTATCTTTTATGTACTTTAACCTCTTGCCTTTACAATCAACTCAGGATGGCCCCTATTAACTCTCATCATATTGGGTGCCGCATACTCTGGTATAATCATATGGCTACTGGATAGATTATGGAATCCAACAAACTTTCCCAAACCTTTTCTTAGAGGTTTCTGGGAAGGTTTCTGGTGGGCTTTTGTGACAATGACAACTGTTGGATATGGTGATACAACGCCAAAATCAGTTCAAGCCAGAATCTATGGTCTAGTATGGATTGTTGTTGGAATAACAATTTTGAGTGTTTTTACGGCTACTGTTACAACGGTTTTAACTCAAGAATCTCTTGTTACTTCTGGAATTGAAGGGTCAAAGGTTGCAGTCCTAAATGGTAGTGAAGATTTTCGAAGAGCTTTAGAGAAAGGGGCTGATCCTGTTTGTAAGTAATATTTAAATATTTACTATGAAACAGTTAATATCCAAGACAGAAAACTTAAAAATTTTCTCTTTACTACATAGTGTGTAACTCATTCGACGAAATTTTGGAAAAGATGAACAACAAGGAAGCTAGGGGTGGCTTAATAGACCATTTCTCATTTGCAGCTCAACAGGAAAAAATGAACGCGAGTACTCTACTTGAGCAAACTCTAGAGTAAGAACTCTTTACTCTTCTTCCTCTAATCTTTAAAGTATACATTGATATATTCCATATACTTTATAGCAATCCTGTCCTACACGGAGTCCTATTTAAAGGACTATCTCCGTCCGTACGAGCTTGTTTAAAGACAACTGTTCTAGTTCATAAGCAAGAGTTTGTCGATGAAATAGATAAGTGGACAAAGCCTTTGATAATCTATAAAACAAATGCAGCAGATAACGCTCAAAATATTTTTCAACCAACAACTCTGATGTTCATGTGGTATGCCGCTCTTGTCTGGGCTGCTGTCTTTATCTTATTCATCATATGGGAAATTAAGATATGGCGTCCTAAACACAACAGACGTCAAAAAATTAAAAATCAGAAGAGATTGGCAGACGAAGAGAGAGACATTGGACAAATTAAAAATAATCAAAGTAAAGCAAATGCAGAGGAGTTAAAGAGGAATGTACTCAATTTAGGTCAAGAGGAGAAATCCGGCGAGAAAACTTTCACAAATGAAATATACTGTAATCAAGTCTTTGTTGTAGAAGATCAAGCAACTATCGATTTTCAATCTCTAATTAAACGACAGAATAAAGAATTACTGCAACTACAAAAGAAATTAGCCGATATAAAATTAGAATGGGATAAAATGGTTCGAGAAGTTCAAAAAAGACATAGAGAGGAACAAAAAGTCTATTTAGCGTCATTTACAGACGATTTTATCAAACATTCGGTGGTGAACGACAACGATAAAGAAGTAGAGGGTAGCGCTTGGCCAACTATTTGTTTATAAAACTTATTCAAAAGAGGCGAAAATCTCATTCAAAGAAGAAAAAAAGCTGAAATTTCATGTCAACAATTTGTCAAGATTTTAAGATTTTTTTAAAAAGTTATACATGCCATTGGCTGTATTAACGATAATCGTAAAAAAGGAAAGAAGAGCTAAAACAAAGGCGTTCGTAAAAAAGGAACGAAAGAATGAAATAGGATAAAATATGACCTTGATCGTTATCACTTAATAATATAATAATATAGTATATCTGTAAAAAATATCAGAAATCAAGGTCATTTTAATATGAAAAACACCTGTGCACTGATACATTTATTTTACAAACAAAAGAGAGAAAACCTTGAATAAAATGACTATTATGCAAACGTATATTTTTTACTTTTTTAACTATAGTTTTAACAATGAAAACAAAAACAAAAGGAGCAAAAATGTTAATAGATCATTTAAAATTGAAGCCTTGAACCTTTGGTTACTACAGAATAGTATAGACTAATGACTACAATGAGTTATCAAGGTTGTATTACACAATAAATGTTAATTATACTTTTCTCTTTCGTTTTTTATTGTTTCTTTTTTCTGTTTTCATATATACTTTGTTTTTTTTTCTTTTTAAAATTCAAGTTAATTAAATCTATTCAAAATTTTCAATTCAAAATATCTAAAAACTAAAGAAATTTAGCTTCTTCCATTTTTTCCTATCCAAAGCATATTTTCCAAAAAGTTAAGAAAATATTATATAATAAGTTTTCTTTTTCTTTCGGAAAACATGAGTTTGGAAGAAAAAGGCAAGTTTATACCTTTTCATATTGCTTTAGACAATAAAAATGGAACTTTAAAGAAAGTTTTAGAGGATAATCCTTTAGCTTTCTCTAGTATTCTTCGTCGTGTTGAATCAAATTCAAAAGGTATTAGGAATATGATAAAACTAGCTAATTATCAACATTATTTCTACACTGATGTTAAAACTGATCCAAATCCTACTGATTTCTTCTACTTTTACAAGAAAAACTATTGGCCAATCATTAGCTTATTAATTAAGAATGATAATCCAAGAAATTTAAGATTATTCCTTGATAAAATCAACTTGGACGAAGCTAACTTTTGGAGATCTAGCGTAATTAATGGCCTTCTATTTTATTCTTGTAAAAGTATGTGTTTCCAATCGACAAAGTATCTTTTGAGTAGATATACTTTTGATTTTCGATCGTATATGGAAGACAGGAGGATTGGTGTTATAGACTGTCTAAAATCGATATTTGAGAATGAAAAAATTTACATATTAGAAATGATCATACAAAAAAGTAATTTAAAAAGCAGGAAAACCTATTGCTTTAGATTATTTAAAGCCTGTATGCTCTCTTTAATGAAGGTGGAACATTTCCGGATATTGTGGGACTATCTAGCTGAGAAAGACGATAAACGAACTGTCGAAGAATTGATTGACATCAGTTTAGAGTACGATAGGCCAGATATTTTTGATTTTCTAATAAATGACAGGAAGAATTCATTTAAATTGATTATTGACTCTTATTTTTATCAATGGTATAACGATCTGAGACACGAAAATCAGAGTAGATCTATTGGTATCTATTTAGTACGACACTATTCTGACAAGCTCATACAATTTATAGAAAAGGACTTTACGAATGATGCAGAAGACCTTTGTGATGTTGCAGTTTATAATTTCAGATTGCCTGGAAATAGCTTTAAAGAGTTGGAGGTATACTTAAGTATTGGAACTTTTAGAAGATCCTTTGCTAAGAAACTATATCTAACTATTCTTCGCCAATGGTTTAAAGGAATATCACATAATTTTCATTCGGATGATAGAGCAATAAGATTAATGAGATTATCTAATCTATTGATGAAATTTTCGCAAATGTATAAATTATCTTTAGAGCCATTTTCTAAATTATTCTTCAAGTATTGCTTTAAAAAACTATCAATCGAAGAAGAATATTTGGATGAATTTTTAAAATTCGCTAAATATACATATGCATTACTTATAAAACATGGTTGTTTATTTAACTCATACGTACGATATTTAAATGATAAGGAGTTATCAAAGCTTATGTGGTTAGGACTAAATGGTAACATTAGTCCAAAACGCAAATGGTTAAACGACAACGGATTACCAACAATTAAATCTCTATGTCTTTTAAGCTCCTATGTAGTTAGGAAACACATAAAAAGACCATTTTCTGGGAGTTTAGATAATCTATTTGGTAATAACTGGATTCTAAAAGATGCTATTAATTTTGGTAGTTTACTTGAAAATTTTTTAAATATAGACCTAAACGAAGGGAATGACAAAGTAACAATAAAATCATTAGACTATATATATGAAGAGAATGATTCATGCTACAATTGTCCGATTTCGATACCAGAGCATCTTAGATCCGAAAATTATGTTGAACCTTGCTACGAAATAGACGCACAGAATTTTAGATATTGAGTTTGTCAAACTGTTTGTTTCAAATAAAAATATAATATATACTATAAACGTTGTGCAATATTCTTCGTAACTTTAAAAAGTCGATCACCTTGTCAATTAAGTTTAAATTTACGTTTATTAATAATTTATTGCTGAGTTGTAATTGACGACCTTACAGTTTTACAGCCAAATTGAAACAAATCCAGTATCTAACATTTCATTTCGACCTTGAAAGAGTTTGCATTCCTTCGAACGACTGCCCTTGGATACTTTGAATTTCTTTACCTTCATTAATCGATCTTTGTTTTTGTTCTTTTCAAATAATGTATGTTATGTTTAGAAACGAATATATAATTTTAGCCTTCTTTCTATTTAAACAAGTTGTAAATACTTGCTTATATGTACTTATATATAAATAATTCAATATTATTATTAGTTTATTATTTACACCTGACATAGAACGATAATAAACCAAAATAGTAAATGTTTTCTTTTATATAGATTAATTACTTTTAAACAAGTTTATACGATAAGAAAAAGGAGAAATTTAAAATTAAAATGTGTTATGGTTTGGGACTAATTCAAAACATTTCGCAATAAACTCTTGAATAAATAATGAACTGCTTTAGAGGCAGTTGTTTCTTAAATGCCAATACTCGAGCTTAAATACTAACTTATTGATGCTTAACTCTGACATAGAAGTAAATATTTTTTAAATCAATAGCTTGATAATTTATTCCAGTTTGATTTCTTCTTGAATAAGAAAATTAAAGATTTTATATCGATCAGCTGATTACAAGCCGATGTGCTTGATAGTCCCGCAGTCAATAAGTAGTAGGTCCGCAGAAGAAGGCTGAAATCGAAAATTTTATTAAAATAAAAACGCTGTAAGTTTTTGTTTGTGGAAAAATGTTGCTTTATCTTTCAACTTTTAAAAAAATTTATTTTGTTGAAAATATGAGTCATTTCCGGCTAATTCTTTGCTAATTCTTTCTTTTAGAGGTGAAGCCTATTGAGAATAAGATAAAATAATAAATCTTATCTTATTAACTCATTAATTTGAAGAGCTAGCATCAAGTTCTCACTATTTTGGCTGTGTCAAAAATAAAATATTTGTAACCGGTTGTAATTCCATCCACCGTCATTACTCCCACCAGGAACGGAAGATTACGACGCCATATTTTCAACTAGTGATAAATTCCAAATATTTTCCGCTACATAACCATTTTTGTGTGAGCTTTTGAGAATATTCAGGATATATACCATCTAGGTATTTGTTTTATTAACAATCACAATTTAAATTTACGGTAATGATGTTATCAGAAATATGAGTAATAGATCACCACAATAGGTTATTAGTGCATAGCGACTAATATTTTCCTCAATAATTTGTGTCTTTTTTCATTAAGCAAAATGCCGATAAGGCGAACGATCAAAAACGTAGTAAAAAACTATTCGGACGCTCAAGTTAAAGTTAGAGAAGCTACTAGTAATGACCCGTGGAATCCTTCTTCTACACTGATGGCTGGGATTGCCGATTTAACCTATAATGTTGTAGCATTTACGGAAATTATGCAGATTATTTGGAAGCGTTTAAATGATCATGGCAAAAACTGGAGGCATGTTTATAAATCTCTTGTTCTCTTGGATTACATAGTAAAAACTGGTAGTGAAAAAGTAGCCCAACAGTGTCGAGAAAATATCTATGTTATTCAAACTTTAAAAGACTTTCAGTACATGGATGATAACAGGGACCAAGGAGCTAGTGTGCGGGAAAAAGCAAAGCAATTGGTGGCTTTATTAAAGGACGAAGAAAGATTGAAAAATGAAAGAGCTAAAGCCTTGAAGGCCAAAGAACGATTCGCACAGAGTGCCATGGGATACGGCAGTAATGTACGTTTTACGATGAGCTATATGTAAGAGATTCCATAATTGTAATTACGTTAAATTGCAGACAACCAGCCCGACTGTAATGCACACCTCGTCGAGTTACGGCGAGACATTCTCCCCACGTCCGAATGTTGCTGCAAGTAAGCTCTTAAGATTTTAATCATTAAGAGAAAATCTTAATTCTCTGACTTATATATGAAGGTCACATATAACAATTTTCTTATTCATTTCGGAATCTCTGGAGAGGGTATTTCCTTCAGGCCTGAATTTATGTGTCATATCGCAGTTTACTTATAAATTTGTAAACATAAGTTATTAAAGGCAGATAGTCTTTTATAATAAAGGGATTACAGGGGAAGTAATTAAGAGGAAAAACTTGGTAGGATTCAGAGAATCTCTTTTGACGCAACCATTTTCTATACATTTAGTTGAGTAATTACATTTGTCTCTTGTGAATTATTAGGTGAATTGGATGCTGCTCGACCATCAAATTCAAACGAAGAAGAGCTCCAGCTTCAACTCGCATTAGCAATGAGTAAGGAAGAAGCCGAAGAAGATGAGAGAAAGAGAAGAGGCGATGACATGAAACTGCATATGGCAATAGAAGAGAGCAAAAAGGAACAGGAAGTAAGTTCTTTATTGTTAATTCACTTAATCCTCGGCTATGGTACATTTATTTCCTTTATTCCATGATATTTTCAGAAAGTACAGGCTCATCTGAGTTTTGTAAGTCCATTTACCGTGGCATGATTAAATTAGAGTTGTGTTGTGATTTTTTTTTCTCGCCTTCTTTTCCATTTTTCTTAGCTGATGATTCGATGCTCTACACTACTTTTGCTGACAAAGAAATATCTTAGGGTGCTTGCTTGCGACAAAAAGTCTATATTTATTTTCTTTTTTGCAGTCTGATCAAGAACAGAACGACCTTGTGGGCTTAAGTTTACAACAAGCGACAGCAACAAATGACGACGACAGTGTTTTATCACCACAATTCAGAGCTTATCTTCAAAACCCCGAACTAGAGAAGGGTGCTGCAGTACCCGCTAACGATCCATGGGCATCAGGAAGTAAACCTACCAATGGAAATAAGGATGATCCTTGGGGTTCCAGTTCTGCTACTTCAGATCCATGGGGTGCTCCGCAGCAGCAACAAACCGATCCATGGAGTTCATCTAAATGTGAGTATCAATCATAAAACATGATCGTAATATTATGACCTTTTAATCGCGAATACATAAAATATTTTTTCGCCATTCTAACACTTATTTTATTCAATTGACAAAGAACAAAAATAATGTTAACAATATAAGAGTAGAGTGTGACTGAACAAGCTATAATAATTTGCAAATATTAAATCATATATGTTTGAAGTATAATCTCTCGTATTAAATTTATATTCTTCCTATTTTATTTTGAACAGCTCCAGAGAAGACCGGATCAAATGACCCTTGGGGAGCTCCAAGTCAAAAAGAATCTCCCTGGGAAGATTATAGTAATTTAAATAAGCCAGGAGCGGCCAATCCATTAGATGACTTCGATCTCATAGGAAACAGATCGAACACCACAACCACCACCTCGGTAAATATAGGTGAGTCACCCTTTAATGTCTCTTAATCCTTCAATAAGGAATTGAACTATGTTTTTTTTAAAGAATTTTATCATTTTACTAGTTAATATAGAATGTTATCTAGATTTTAGTCATTCATAGTGATATGAAAAATATAACAAAATCGACTAAAAATGAATCATTAATTACAAAGCTGAATAAATCTTCCATTTGAGCTAAGTATGATATTTGCAAGAAAAAGAAAGAGAGGAAAATGCTAAGTAATATTTGTATCAATATACAACTCCCTAGTCTTTAAATAAGCGTTATGCAAATCACAATAAAAAGTCTTTTTGAAAGAGAAAATCAACTTACTATTCAAGGCCTAGAAAATGAGTCGAATTCAAATAGATTTAAAAAGTATATTTGTAGATATTCTGGTTTACTGAAAGTAGATGGTGCAGATTTTCATTTATGTATCTAGCGTAACTTAAATGGTATATAAATGTCATTTTTTTTGTAAGTTTTTAGATGTAAAATAATAAACAGTACATCAACAAGATCATAAAACAATGTGAATCGTTTCAAGGTGTAATTTAAAAATAGCTAAGATCTAACACGCTCCTTTTAGGTTTGTACTGCAGAGTTACTTTTGTGTACGTAAAGAATTGAATTGTATCATATACAAGTTGTATTTATTTGTATGTAATTTTTAAGTGCGAGAGGAAAGGAAGATTAAGCTTAAGTCTTTTTTGCCTAAAAGAGATTGTAAAATAGAAAAGTATCAACTGCTTATTAAATATTTTCATAGATCCTCAGGTTGTAATTGTTGTAGGTCGAAAATACTTTTCCTATGATTTAAGTTTCGCATGTTGACCATGCGATTACTAATAATCCTTTCCATCTATTAGATAATAACACAGCGGACGCCTTTAACTTGACCTCTCTTGAAACAAATCTGCCATCGAAAAAGACACCAGAAAATTTTCTCGGTGAACATAGCAAATTGGTGAACATGGACAATTTAGTTAGCCGACCAACCCCAAGTCCTGTCAATACGAATCCATTTGCAGCTTTAGCGAGTGGAGTGCCTCCTACTACAAACAATCCAGCAGCAAGAAATCCATTTGCCCAACAGCAGGCAGTACCTCGAATTCCAATGAATCAAATGGCCAGAAATTCACCGACTTTTCAATTCGGAAATGAACAACAAATGCCGGCCCCTTTGGTACCGTTAGGTGGAGCTGGCGGGGCAGCTGCTAATACCAACCCTTTCTTATGATTGGAATAGCGGAAGAGAACAGGCACATTCATAAGTCTTTATTTTCTTTTTTCATCTCTTTTATTTCATGTGCTTATATACGTTTTACTGACTCTTCCGAGACAAGTGTTTTGTGTTATCCATACAAATCCAATTAAATGTGTTTCTTTTAACTACGTTTTTTGGTGCCGACAAAATGATTTTAAGCGTTACCATCTATCGTCATCAAATGTTATACTAATGCTATTGTACTAATTTAAAATAAAATCTAATTTTATTCTATCTTATAATGACAAAAAAAGCGAAAAATACTCATAAAGTTCATTGTTTTTTTTCTCATCTTTATATGACTCTTTTCATATTTTAAGTTTATTTTCCAGTTTCAAATTTTTGATTTTGTTCAAATTACTTCTATATTACTATTATTATCTGAATCATAGAGATTTTAACATATAAACATATAAAAAGAGACATTAAGAAAAAGAAAGCCACTCATATTTATGATTCTAAATATTTGTATTTGAATTTTTGAATTATTGGTTAGAAAGAATAGTTAAAAGTAATGAGTTTTACCATGAAGAACGTCAATAATCCGACTTCAGATGGAAGGGAAAGTTTCAAAGAATTTGGCGATGCTTTAAAAGAGTTTGCTGAAAGATTTATCGCTAAGCAAGTTCGTTCAGAGTCAAAAGATTTTTTTGTTAGAATAGCTGGTATTTCGGGTATAATTGCTATGCTCCTAGACGCTTACGGCTCCCATAGTACGGCAATTAAATTAATCGAGATAATAAAATATATATAATTCAAAGAATATAATCTAGATTTATAATAATTCTTTATTTCACAGTTTTTAGAAATCAGATTGATGAAGATGATACAGATCTAATTGACAGTTCCGATTTAAAATACGTTTTCAAAATAGGAAATCGTTATCATTTTGTATCAACACTATGTCTGTTAGCTACTCCTGGAATGAGACATCCGTATTTAGTACGTTTCTTATTGGTAGTTTTTTGTTTTTTTTTTTGTTTTTCATATACGAAAACACAAAGGAGAAAGAATTAGGCATGAATAAGCAAATCTGCCCAAAATAATTACAATATACTGTAAAGTTAAATAATGAAAACGACTACGCCTTTCTTTGCATATTAAAAAAAATTCTCCAGTAATTTGAGCAAACATTTATCATAAAAAATCATTGTGTTAGATTAATTACAATTTATAAAATGTAGTAGGAAAAGGGAAACAAACTAACGGAAATATATCTTATCACAGTCTTCTAATTAAATTTTTTGAAAAAAAGGTTTTGCCAATTTTAGACTAGAACTTAACCTTTTTTTTGTCATCACAGAGTGGATTTTTAATGACAACCGGTATGACAATATTTTGTGGAAGTTGCTACTATCATGCTTTAACTGGCAAGACAAAGTACAATTGGCTTACACCGTACGGTGGAGTTACATTGCTGATCGCATGGTTTTCAATGGCATTATAATGTACTTTTTCTACTTTGTTATTAAATAGAATATAAAAAACCAACTTTTCCTACAAAATATCTTTTAATTCAATAAGTTAACACTTTTTTTTTTAATACTGATTGCCGTTTCTAGACGTCCTTTGTAAAAAAGCATTGAATAGTATTTCGTTCGTTCGATAATAATGAGGATTCTCTTCTTCATTTAAATCAGGAGCGTAGGATTGTAAATTAGAAGCCACAGAGTTGTTTGAACTTTTTGAAGCAGTAGAAACGTTAGCGGAAGTGTGATTGATATTGTTTAAAATGGGGTTCTAAAAATAATATACAAGTTATTTTACAATTATGAAGGAAATTTATAATAAAATACATACATTTGGAATTTCTTGTTGAATGTGTGCTGAATCGTTCCTAAAAAAAAAAAGAAAGAATGTCTATTTAAAAATATCTCCCTTTAACCGTTAAGAATGTATAACCAACAAACCCTTGATTCAATCGTAGTCCATTAAAACGCTTAGAAATAGGAAGGCTATCATCCGCATCCTCTCTTGGACGTTTATTTGTATACGACCTGCAAAAAAGGTATATCGAATTATAAGACTCGAATAGAAAAAGAAATATCGTCTAGTCATACGCAATATTAATAGATTACTCAATCAAGTGTTCTAATGATCTCTAAGAAAAAAGATAATATACACTCATATACGTACATCAACTATAAGATATCCTATAATTTTACAACATAAACGATTGAAAGTCAAATTTTAATCGTTTTTCATCGTAAACACAATTTACCCGTTCTCACTGGACTATTTGGTAAAGAATTCCGAGTCGAAGCTTGTTTGGGTTTGTTGATATGGCCATTCCGAATAGGGATAATCAGTTCTTATTCTGTTTGAAGGATTCAACAAATTTCAATATTAATGAACCAGTTATTAGGAAAACTAATGCACCTATTATAATTGAAAAACGTATACCAAAAGCGACTTCTGTAAGAATTCTTTAAAATATATGTATTATCGCTCAATATTTGAATGTTTTGAATTGTATTTTAAAAAGGATACTTCCCATTTTAAAGTTGTTAGAGAAGATCTTTTGGAAAAATGTCATTTTTTAGCAAAGTGCGATTTAAAAAAGGAAATGGAAAGAAAATCTTTGAGTCCGAAAAAGAATAAACAAAATTCGAAAACTGACAAGTATCGAAAGGTTCGCTAATAAGTGTTAACTAATATTATTATGGCTAATAAAAACCATTAATTAATTGTCCAAATATAGGTCAGATTTTGTTCTCGTTATGGAAAAGAAAGAGAAGAAAACGAACCCCCAAAACCTGTACCAAACGTTCACAAGTCTTTAAGTAAGTGCTATTTTGTCTAGTGTAAAGATGTATCAAGTAGAATAATTATCAAAAAGGGCAAGAAAAGTGGAATTCTCAGAATTTGGTATCAAGTGAAGTTAAAATAAGAACACTCAGGGCTGATGGAAAATGCGTAAGAGAAAATTTGGAAGAAGTTTTAGTACGTATGGATGATATCATACGATTGATAAAGAGAGGATTTAATGCGGGAAGAGATCAGAAAAAGAAAATGACAGAATCAGAATTTTTAACAAATTGTAATAAAGCTAATTTAGCAATGAGACATTGCCAAAGAAAATGCTATACTATTCAAGATGATCTGAAATCTCTTACTAGTAAACTTAATAAGGTATAGTTTATTGTCAATTTGAATTAGCTTATCAAAAGTTTTCAACCTTTCAGAATAACATTTCTCAATACACACGACTGATTCGATGCATGAATGAAATACTTAACGTAGCGAAAACACTTTGGACTGTACTCCCATTTGTTAAAGTGGAAAACTATTTATTACCATCACCTTATGAAGTAATAGTGATGATAATTTTCATTATTGAACTTCAAATTATCATAATTAATTTTTTAGAGTATTTTTACAATTCGGAATGAACTGGATGTCATTTGCCCTGAATATGATATAGAATGTCCTCCAAAGGTTGTAAGATCTCAGGAAGTTGAAGAAAAAGTTTGTGAAAAGGTTGAAATCATCATAAGAGAGGAAAATGCCATTTAAAACTTCAATTTTTTTTAGAAGGTCAAATCCATCACATCCACACAGGCAATTGCAAAACTCTCCTCCGCAGACATTGATAAAAGATTTATTGATCTGATAGAAGCATGTTAGTCTAACATTTTGTTTCTAATTCATTTTTAACTATATAAACATACATACAAGTACTAAACTGTCTTTTCTATAGATAAAGAACTTGATACTGCTCCAGTAAAACAAGCTAAAAAGAAGAAAGTTGTCAAACAAACCTTATCGGGTAGGGGATTTCGGTAAGTTCTAACAAACACAATGCATTATGACAAGCGTACTGAAAAAGCATTTATCATAAAACAGAAAACCAACAATAGTTTCAGTTATGAAACAAACTGATGAAAAAAGGTGATAAATACATTATATTTTGTTGTGTGTTTTTGCACTATTTTTTATTGAATTCTTAATTAATTCTAGTAAACCTCAGAAGTCTGTCCTTCATTCTCATCCAAAATCTATTACAACTAAGCCTAATAAGGTAATTAATCATAAAGATAATTACTGGGGAGTAGAATGTTACGATTTAATATTTAAAAATATACTTAATTAATAAAAATATTTTTTCTGTATTGGTAATCGTTTTTTCCCTGTTACAGGTTGAAAAAAAGGTAAAAACCGGGAAATCTTTCCTCACAGCAATGTCTTTAAGTCTATATTAGGAAACTACAACTGTTATTTTTTTCTCTAGGTTGCTGCGGTTGAGGTTGATACAGCTAGCTTGTGTTCTAATTCGGTATATTATTATTTAGTCTTGAATATATATTATACATTATGGTCAGATATGCTTTATAGATGACAAGTACATTCGACATATTTTTTGTTTTTCAGATGATTAGCATAAATCAATCAACGATGTCCTTGGACTCTGTTGTTGCTGATGACTTTCAAAAGAAATTGGCCCTTTTTCAAGTAAAAATTAGCTTTAAAATCTCAGGCGAATTTTGTTTATTTTATTCAATTTTAATAGGAAGAAAGGGATGAAATCGAGCAACGATTAATTAAACACAAAGCTTACAACTCGGAAAGAGTATCATTGGAAAGAAAAGAAGAAAAAGAGATTGAAGAATATATCCCAAAGCAATTCCTGTCAAAGAACCCTGAACCTCAGTAAGTGTCTATCCTTCTTATTATAAATGTAATTGAGCTTATTCATTATAATTAGACCTTTTGGCCCATTCTTCGAGGGTGAATTAATTACTCTTGCTCCAAAACCGAAACCTTCTCCTAGAAAAATTAATGCGCCAACGAAACCTCTAAAAAAGATAAAAATTAGTTTAACGACTACGGCCTCTTCTGCTATTATGAAGCAAGCCTCTGAACGAAGAGAAAGTAACAAATTTGATCCAAACAAAATTGTTGACAGGTAATCGTATAAACAATATTTCAATAGTTTTTAAAATTTTAATTAATTAATGTAACTGTTTATTTCATAAAATATTTATATTCATTAGTATTTATTTTTCTGCAGTTTATGCGAGGACATTTTAGACGATTGTCTAAACGAGGTTGCAAATGATATATTTGAGCTGACGGACGAAGTTGTTGAGCATATAGTGGCTTGTGAATTATGTCCAGATGAAGTTAACCAAAGTGTACTAAACATAGGTTAAATGGAATTAGAATGTTAATGCAGATGTTACATTTCTAGGAAACGATCTTTTTTCACTATTATATTTCCTTGTTTTTGTATTATTTTACTGATTTTCTTTAAAGTTATTAATTTGTTAGAATTTTAATATGGGTTGATCAATATTTGGCCTAATAATGGCTATAAACGCGTCTACAGCAATATTGATGTTGCAAGTAACGATTATGTCTGAAATTGGATTTCTTTTTTTATACGAAAATATCACACTTTTTGACCAATCAATATTCTACATTCAGATCAGTTTGCCCGAAATCTTCATCATCAATAACTTGATATTTTTTTCTAATATCTTTTCGATTATCGCTATCAAGTCCATCAACAGAAGAACCGATATCGTTCAATAAAGCTTCCGGTATAATTCCAGCGTTAGCAATATCAGTTCTTTCGGAACTATATCCAATCTCACTACTTAATCTTCTAAATCTTTGGCCAAAGTCAGAATCAGCGGACTTTCCTAATAAACAATAAAATGATTAGAATATCAAACAGGGAGAGAGAGAGAGAGTATGTTAGCAATTTACCTACTTGCATATTGACGATTTTTTCTATGGACTAAATAAGGACCAGTCAACTCCTGCGTTTAATCAAATAATGTATTATTAGAATAGTCTGTAGAAATAGCTATTAATAATTGAAAACAAACATCATCCTCATCAACATAAGATGATAGCCTTCTACATGATCTATTAAATGACGATCTATTGACATTAGCTAATTGGGAGTCTGTATTTTCAACAATATTCCCGGTTCTTTCAATATCTTTATCAAATTGTGCTTTTTCAGACAGTATGCTATTTGTCGTTAATCTCTCTTTAATATCAAAGTTATCAGATTTGGTAATGGTAGAAAAAATAAATGGTCTAGGGCTTGGTGATCTTCTTTTTGCTGATGTTTTGTTGGTATTTAATCTCTTCTTTTCGTCATTTTCATTCATTATCACCAAGAATTTAGTGAAGATTTTTAATAATTAATTTAAATCTTGATGACATCACTTATAAGAATAAGATATCTAGAATGTGTATTTCATATACAGTATATTATACACTGTTCTTCTTGAAACATTTTAGTAAAAAGCAATATACTTCTTTACAATAATAAGAAGAAAGAGGAAGAAGAAGAGAAGAAGAAATATATGAAACTTCCTTATAAACTTCCGGTTTTGATCACAGTTAAACACGTACGGGAATTTCTCTTAAAGAAACGTTCCTATAATAAAAATGATATATCCAAGTGAATTCTACAAAGGTGTTGAAAGAATACAATCTTAAAATACCTACCATATATCTTTTTAAGCAAGTTTAATATAAATTGATCGTTCAATATAGTTTTTCAAATATCATACATCATCATCAATCTTCTATCCAATTTTTTATCTAATGATTATGTATCTTATATGAAAATTCGAAGAATTTTTATTAGATAGCTAGTTTGACCTTTATAGAAAGACTTGCATTACTTGAAGAAAATCGATTGACAAACAACTTTATTAAATGTTTCTTAATAAACCGTAAAATTTTTTAATATAATATTATAACTAATTAGGTTTTAATTTTAATAGTATTTTCCATCATTGTAGTGTATTTAAGGATATTATTGATGAATCAATACTTGCTTAACAATTTCATATTAAAATTCAATGAGACGATCATATTTGGAACGGAACGTAAACACTATTGAATTATTATTTTTGCTTTTTAGTCAATTTCATAGAAATTCATCGATTTAGAATTGACTTTTAGAATAAGTGGGTTATCGACTCCTTACTAAAGAATTTAAATGTGTTTTTTACTCAATTCCATAATAAGATGATAAACAACTATGGAAAATCGTTGTTATCATTATAGGTTTGGTGAGAGATGGTTTATCAGTGACATCTACAGTATCAAAGAAAACTTAATGGAAAAAATATATAGGGGTTTTTCGGTTAGAAATTTGAACAAAATCATCCAGATAAGAAATAGGTCAAGGATCCCAGTAGATTTACTATAGAGATAATGATTGATGGAAGTTGTGATTTATAACTGGGTAAGGGCGTGTTTTGATAATAACAATCCAAATGGTATGACACTTGCAACCTTCGGTCAGACAAATCGAGATCATCGATAGTTCAATAAAGACAACGAGAGAGTCCTTTCATAAGGATAAACTATTTAAGGGATTACATCATTATTGTATTATTTATAATAAAAAATATCTCTTGGTAATATATTAGCTATTGCTCTCGCAGAAGTCTACAGAGGGAAATTTCTCTTTGCATATGTTCGTATTTCTTCTTCCCTCATCTTGTTAGATGAGTCTTATTTACCAAATTCTCCAAGGTGAAATAGATATTCTTTATCTCAATCTACTTAATATTCTTCAAATAAGAAACTGTAGAATAAATAAGGAAATACTATTAAAACCTTAAATAATCGTTCGAAATTCTCTTAATATATATATATATATATTGCATATTAAAACTTAACTTTCATGAATAGTTTATGCAAATTAGCATCTGAAAAGCTTTCTTCCAGATAACGTCTCCGGATTTTTAATAAAGTTAAAACTTTACAAGGAATTCTTTACTTATTCTAAACAGGATAAATTGAATTTACAGAGAACTATTCCGAGTCATTGCCTGTCACTGTCTAGAAAAGAAAACTGGGGCAATTGCTTTTTCTCTGCACTGAACTAGATAATCATGGAAAGAATAGAATATTCGTATCAAACAATTGCTATCATGACTTTAAACTTGAATAAGTAACCTATTACTCGGTATTTTGGTAACATATGCGATTTCTTTCTGTAAAATAACTTAAAAAGCAGTGTAGCAAATATAAACTACAGAGTTTACAATTTATTTTGCATTTATTGGACAAATCTTACCAGACAATGTATTCTTAACAAAATACTGTACATGTCTACATTGTGTTTGTCGTATATTGCATAAATAAAGCTAACTTCCTTTATAGCCTTTCTTTCTATTTTTAGGGATTGTCTATCATAAAGCAGTAATAATATCAAAGGTCACAATACATTATATAGAGTATAAACAAGAAAGCAAATACTTGATAATTTTGTGCATTATGCCTAAGAACGAAAAACAGAAATATTATTCACAAAATATTCAATGTTCAACACTACAATAGTCTTCTTTAACAATTAAAGTGGTTTGTGTCAAACAGAATGTCTAAACAACTGATGCCATCTGTATAAATATTATACAGCAGAAAAATGACGTAAAAGGTACGGAATTCACGATATAATATCATTTTTTATAGCATTTCCATTGATATGGTCATGGCACAATAATTATTAAAACATGTTAACATTTGAAATAGTGTGTTGTCTATTTGTTATTTTAAAAACGATACTGCATAAAAGATGAATGCTGCAGAGTATATAAATCAACAATACCTTATTCTCATTTGCCTATAGAATCCCAAAAATCAGGTTTATATACCGGTAGTGGATGTGCTTCGGTATTGAAAACCCATTTGTCTAGAGGCAGTTCATCGTTATCATCGAAAAGTAGATACAAATACTTAAGTGTTTCTGCTAAGTAGAACGTTTCCATTTTATTCCTATGACCAGGGTTTGTTGAGTCATAAACGTTGTCTATCGAATCATAGCCTTCAGAGAGTTTAGTATACTTTTCAAATGCTTTAAAGATCTTCCAGCCCATATCGCGATATTTTTTATCTTTTGTAGCTTTATACATATAATATATTGACTCAATAGCTTCTGGTCTCTGAATGTTATAAGCGGGTCCAGCCTGTGAGAAACAAATGCAAATTTATAGACGCCAACATATCTAAAAATAGAAATTTAATATACGATGAATGGAATAACGGTAATTAGGTCTTAATTTTTTAAATTAATAAGTGACTTGCTTTTTCTTTTGTAAGCATTTACATTTTTCCAGTAAAGATAATGAATTATCTAAAGTGAGAAAAAAATTGTTCTTTGACAGAATGTCATTCAGTTTATGAATCTATAAAAATGTCATTAAAAGAAGGATAAAGAGATTCTTCCAGAGTCCGTTTCTAAGCAAAGTCACTTTATCACCGAAGCGGAAAATTTCCGCTCACGAACGAAGACTAATATCCCGAGTTAATTATCTAATTATACAGTTTTCTACAGAGATTAAATCAAATAATACTTTCATTTAAATAAAGATATTTTCGATAATAAAATCTTTCAATTACTATAATAGAAAAAAAGCAGTAAAAATGGATACAATGTACGATGCATTATATATTCATCTATAAATATCTGCACTTTTATCGTTATATACATCACTTGTTTAACTTGGACTAGATTCTGTTGACATTAATGATGTAAAATTTACATATTTTTTTAGATATTTGCCATTCGCCGAAACACGCAAAGCTATGTGACAGAACTTACTCCCCCTCCCCACCTTTCCCTCATCCAGCCTATTCCACTTAGGAATATATTCAGATGATTATCTTTCTTAAAATAACATCTTATAAATTATTTATATTCCCTAGTACCGAATCCGAAACCGCAAAATGGGTCATAAATATATCTTATAGCCCTAACAAGTTTTGATATTACACAAATTTGAAATAAACAGAAATTATCATAATATGAATTATAATGCACTTACAGATTGACCGAAATCCCTGGAACTGCCAGGGTCAGTATTCATATATACAACTTCAGGACTTAATCCAGTTGGTTGCTTCACGTACATTTGGTAGCAAGTCTCTGTCAATTGGGCAGCTATATCCAAATGGTCTTTTGGCATATTTGCTTTCATTACACCTAGTGCCATTGTTCCAGGTAGAAAACATGCTAAATGTTCCTGGAGAAATTGAAACTCGATTAAAATACAAATGAGAAACGTAGTTTACAATAATAAATTATGTAATTGGTAGAAATTTTAATTGCTAACGCATGTCTAAACATACAAACACACTCAGAATTAATACACAACGCACATGTGAGTCATTTACACGTGTATGAATCCTCTATTTGTTAATAAATTATTGTATGCAATAGTGTTTTTCCTTTCAAATACTCGTCATATTAAATCCATATTCGACACACATATATTTTATATATATATATATATATATATATATATATATATATACAGTATATATATATACAAAAATATATAAATTTATATGTATAATATTGACAATCGACTTACCATTTCGCTTCTAAAAGAGCCATGGAATCCGTTGAGACTCCCAACGAATGCTAAATTACCAGGCTTTGTATATTTCAATAAATGTCTTTTCATACCACCCACGAATGTTATGTAGTCCTTTTTCAAACTTTGATTAAGAAATTATTAACAATTAATTAAATTAAGAGGATATATTGCAAAAAAAAAAAACAAACTCATTTTCGGTCTTTCCACCTTGTAGCCACATTTTCACCAAGTATTCGTAATAGCTATCAATGCTGGCCCCAGCGCCTACAGTAGCAGATCTTTGATATTCTCCCTGAGAGTTTACATTAGCAGAAGCAAGACCGTCAAACTTGTCTGCTGATCCTAATCTCCTCATAATATTGTTTACTGGATCCTGCAAATAATTATATTTCTCATTATAAGAAACACCAAAGAAAAATAAACAAAGTTTATTGGTTACAAACCTCATAAGATTTATCTTCAAAAACTCTTGCCAAATCTCTAAATTCTAATTGAATTGTTCCAACCTCTGCAGTTGAATGGTCACCAATTCTATTTGATTTAGGATTCTAAAACATTAAATAAATAAAAGTTAAAACAATTACAGGAATAATCAGTCAAACCACAAGTGGTTGATATATATATATATGTACTGCATATATGTGTGGTAACTAATAGAAAATAGTTTACTTTGTCTAAGAGCCGTTATTTTTCAACTATTTATATATAAAGAGTTAAATTTTCTAAGGTATAAAAACATAATTAAAAAGAAATAGGCTGAAAAAGATAATAAATATAGATTATAATTGAGAGAAGATAGTAGTTATACCCATAAACGATGAGATAAATAAATGTTCATGGTTTATCTTTCACACTCAATAATAACATTAAATTTTCATATGGAATCTATTGGTTTTATAAAGCTTTTATAGTACATGAAACATAGTGAAAACTAAACTACTAGATTTTAGACAATAGACAAAATACTATCCCTCTTCTATAAAGCGATTATTATTTATATATACAGTACATATAAATTATTTATATTACTTACACTCAGATCTGCAAAACGGCATGGAATAAGGCCAGCTTTGACGCATGGCATTAGCTTATTGCCTAAATCTCTCTATATAATCGAAAAAAAGAAAGAAGTTTTATTGCAAGTCATGATATGAAAGTATTAATCTTACCGCTTTTTCAGCGAAAATTGCATCTCCTGAAAAATGATATGCACTCAACAATCCACCAAGGGCCCTGATCACAATCTCGAATAATTGTACATGGGGATGATTAAACCTGAGACTTTCAGCTACCCATTTGCGTCCCTTTGCAAATTCTGGCATATATTAATAAAAAAGTCTTTCAATTTTGCATGTAAGGTAAGAAAAGTATTTCAAGCTAATTCATTAATAAATGATGCGTTAGCAAATAATATCGTACAGTCTATTTAATAGCTAGTAACAGTGACATACCATCCTTTAAATTCATTATCCACATTGTATCTAAACTATCCAGTATGGTAAGACCACAATTGAACCAAGTTCCTCCTGATTTAGACAATGGATGTAATTCATCTTTTCCCCAGGCATATTTTTCATATGCTCTCCAGGCATGTAAGAATGCATTGACAATTTCTTGTTGTTCTTTATTAGATGGCCCTTGAGAAAAAACAGGTGTCACTTTTATTATTTGATTTTTTGCTTTGTAAACGAAGAATTAGTTATTAAAATAGTAATATGTAAGCCTACAAAAGCAATAAGGTAAATAATGTTCTATTTATTAAACATGAGTTAATTACAAAACAAATTAAACAAAATTATAAACTTGATTCAGTTAAAACATAAATGTTTACTGAGATAGAAATATTTAATTACTATTAATTTATCCGAGTGGTAAAGTGCATTATATTTAGCAGATTTCACGTGATCCATGAAATATTCTTTTGTTAAACTCTATCAATTCGATGAATTTAAAAGGATGATGTCATCCGAAATTAATTTATTATGTTCAATATTAGCATTTTGAACAAAGTAAATATTAGTAAACCGGGAAAAAAAGTTCCCATATACGTTCTCGGCGAAATTTGTAAATTGATTATCTTCGCAATGTATACTTATTGACAACAGATGCAAATCTTTTGTAATAAGAGACGATTATTAAATGCACCGACATAAAACGATTATCAATTTAAGAAGACAGATCTTTCTTATTATAAGTTCTCATTTCTACAGATAAGTTTTTAGGTTAAGTGTTAAAACACATTCAGAGATCATTTAAGAATACATTCCTCCATTTACCTCATCCAAATTTCAAAATATCTTAAGATAAATACAAACAAAACTTTTGTAAACAACACATTTGCTTTAGCAACACGTAAAGTATTTATGAGAAAGATTCTAACCTTTAAATTCGATCGTTTCAGCCACGTTGACCGGTACACGAGATGACTTACTCTTTAATCAACATTCCACATTATAACTATCAAGGCAGATTTTTATTTATACTTACTTTTTCTGTTGTAGGCTTCTTTAAGAACCGTGGAGGAATGTTTCTTTCGGGTTCTACATTGTGTTTTTCACTTTCAACGTGAAGTGTTGATTTTTCTGCATCTTTATTATTTTTATTGCCGACAAAGTTCGGAATGATTTCCTACGAATAAAATAGGGTTGGATAAATTCTATTGATTAGCAAAACGATTTACAAAGCATAAACTTACCGGATCGAAAGGTGCCGGAGAATTTGTATCGAGTGGTTTAAAATTTTCAATCAATTTTCTGTCTTTTTTCTTATTCTGCGAATTGTCTAACAATAATGAAAATAGTACAACGACCAAGGCAACAAGGAGCACTATACAGAGCAGTCTTTTCTTAATTGTACCCGACACAGAAAATAGCTAGAAAATACATATAAATAATTAATCGAATTAATTTTAAAATAGAGCAAATTCACCTTCAGAACCATAATGATTTCCTAGAATAACAATAAGAAATTATTTAAGATTTATAAAATTCTTCATTTATTTACGAAGTCTGTAAGTAAGAAATTATTAAGAATCCAGAAAAATATTTCCAATCTAACTTCGTGCTAAGAAATCTTTAAATAGAATGATATTTTTTTTCTAAACAACACGGGCAGTCAATCAAGAAACTAATTTACGATAATTTCCCAACCCACGTATTAAATTTTTTCGAAGAATAAAATTTAAAATGACTCCGTAATTATTATATATTTACGTAAATGTGTAATATATAAAAGTCATTTACTGTAAAAAATACGAAAATTTTAAAGAGGCTTAGTTTATAAATACTATATTATCGCTCGATTCGAGAATTTTTCTTGATGACTATTGGATATACGTAAGCACATGTCTTAGATCCTTTAGATATTTTTTCTAATAAAAAGTCAAAGTTATTGTTACAAAATGGGTAAAGTAAGAAAGAAGCCTTCTACCCCTAGAACCCCTACGGGGATTAATAAATCCCAACATAGTATGAATCCAGGTTAGTAAAAAGGATTTTTTAAAAATTTAAGCAAGTTTACGGGCGATAATGAAAAATCTTGATCAATTGCAGAAAGAACCGAAGGATCAGGAGGTCAAAATATGAGAGACAAAGCCACCATAAAGAGACTTCAGATGTATAAAGGTGGAAAAGCAAAGAGGGACTCTAAAGGAAAGGTTGTCAGACCAGCGTTGTTCCAATCCAAATTAACACCTGGAACAGTTGCAAGAGTGGAACCAAATAGAAAATGGTTTGGAAATACTCGTGTTATAAGTCAGAATGCTTTACAAACCTTTAAAGATGAGATGGATAAAGTTAAAAAAGATCCTTATAAAGTTGTCATGAGACAAACAAAAGTACCAGTAACACTATTAAATGAGACAGCAAAGGTTTTTATATGTTCACAAAATTTTTCTCCTTATTATATCATTTTTTTTCATCATCAGTTTAAACGAGTGCATATATTGGAAACAGAAAGTTTTGAGAATACATTCGGACCAAGGAAGCAAAGAAAACGACCTAATCTGAACATTTCAGATATGGATGTATGTAGTTGTTTTTAGAATTCTGAGAATTATATAGAAAAATATGCAGTATAATTATTTAAATATAGGAATTGCTAAAGAGTGCTAAAGAATCTGTAGACAAATATAAAGCCGATGACGATCGAGATATTGTTAAAGAAGAGACTGGAGTCAGAGATGAACCAATGCAGCCTATTTTTAAAGCTGGCCAATCTAAAAGAATCTGGAACGAACTCTACAAAGTTGTCGACTCATCTGATATTGTTGTTCAAGTTTTAGACGCCCGTGATCCAATTGGTACCAGGAGTAGGCATATTGAGGAATACTTGAAAAAAGAGAAAGGCTACAAGCAATTGTTTTTTGTATTAAACAAGTGTGATCTTGTACCTACTTGGGTTACAGTAAGTGTTGAAAACGAAGTACATACTTTATTGAAAAATATGTCTTTAAACAGCAAAAGTGGGTCGCCATTCTATCTGAAAGCTATCCAACTTTGGCTTTTCGTGCGAGTATAACTAATCCATTCGGAAAAGGGGCAATGATAAACTTACTGCGACAGTTTTCAAAAGTATAAAAATAAGTTTCTTTTTCAATTAATACATTGATGGGTTTTTTTTAGTTGCATGCTGACAAACGCCAAATAAGTGTGGGTTTCATCGGATATCCAAATGTCGGGAAAAGTTCAATTATTAATGCCTTAAGAGAGAAGAAAGTTTGCAAAGTAGCTCCAATTGCTGGTGAAACTAAGGTTATTATATCACATTAAACTGTAAAAAAAAGTAGTAAGTTTATTATTTGATTAGGTGTGGCAATATGTAACTTTAATGAGAAGAATATATTTAATTGATTGCCCTGGTGTTGTTTACCCCACTGGAGATACTGAAACTGAAATAGTGCTGAAAGGAGTTGTAAGTAAAAATTACTATTATATAAATGACTAAACTACCAACTTTTAAGACTTAAATGCTATATTTTGTGCGTTTCTTCTTCCATAGGTCAGAGTAGAAAATGTTCATATGCCTGAACAACATATTGATGAAATTTTAACTAGAGCAAAAAAAGACTACCTTGAAAAGTTGTATAAAGTAAAGGACTGGAGAGACTCGGAGCATTTCTTAGAAATGATAGCATTTAGAAGTGGAAAGCTTCTGAAAGTAAGAAATAATAGCATATATATTGTATTCAAGTACAATATAATATATATATATATATATATATATATATATATATATTTAACAATTATTGTTCACAAATAGGGCGGTAACCCTGATTATAGCACTGTTGCGAAAATGGTTCTGAATGATTGGCAACGGGGAAAAATCCCTTACTTCGTTAAACCACCCGAAAGCGAAAGAGATACAAAACTCAAAGAAGAGAAAACTAAAACGATAAATAAGCTAAATGTCAAACAAGATTACAGAAAAATCGACGTAGAGCCTACATTTTCTGGAGATGATGTTAAGCAAATCGAAGAAATCGATCCTGTGAAAGAAAGTGATGAAGAATTTAGTGACGAAAATGATGATGGCGATACTGAAGAAATAGAGAGGGAAATGGCTAAGAAAGCCGATAGCCAAATTGAAGATAAGGATGTAGAGAAATTCTTTGAAATGTTACAGGCTGGTGTTGAAAAGGAAAGTTCAATCACAAAACCGGAAAAAGCAACCACTGAAGAACCAGCTAATGAAGAAAAGTTAATAGAGATAAAAAAATCAATTGACGAAATTGAGAAATCTAAAAAACTAAACAAAAAAGAAAAATTATCAGATAATTTAAAATCAGTAACAAAATCCTCTTCAGGCGCCTGGAGCGTTAAATCAGTTCCTAGCAAAACCCCTTCAAGTACGCTAAAAATAGAGAAAATTTCTTTTTCAGCTCAAAAAATATCTAAGAAGAATAAAAATACAACAACAAAGAGGAAAAAATCAAAGGAAATTGATGAAGAGGAAGAAATTCCCAAAAAGCTAAGCGGAAGAGAGGTATTAAACTGCTATATATTAATAATTGATTGTTTTATTTTCTTACACTTTCTTTTATTATATCCTTTACAGAAAAGGAAGTTATATAATCAACAAAAAGTTAGAAAAATTGGTGTACATTATTATGATGAAGCTAATGTGAAAAATCGAAGTTATAGAAAATGAAATTATTAAATTATAAAGTATTTTATCTTTGTTATACTCCCAGGTTTATTTGTTAAAAAGAAAAACAACTAATTTCTTCAATAAAAGTGTAAATACAATTCTCAAAGATAATAAACTCTAATTCTCTTGAAAAATTAACAAGGAAAGTTTTCTGTAAAATCTTCTGAAAAGTTTAAAAAAAAAACATAAAAAGAGAAAGTTGACTATGCTAATAGTCTAAGTCAATTGAATTTCAATTTTTCCTATCGATAAAAGTATTAGTTATTCTAATAAATCTTTTCGTGCAATGTCAAATCTAGTCTAAAACGCATTATTCAACATCACTAGGGATTTTCTATAGCCCAAAAAGAATTGATAGGGTTAACTTTCATTCCTTAGAGACTTAGTTCTTTATGTAAATCGTTAATTAACCTAATTTATCAGAATGATTGACAACAACAAAAGGAAATCAAATATTATGCAAAGCGAGTTTTAGATTCAATTAATTTAACTTTGTAATTATTGATTTTCGCGCTTAATATGGACATCGTATTATACTTGTGAATAATTTCGAAATTCAAGTTCGTCTGCTATCATGCTTTGACTTCGTGTTATAACATCTTCTTACTTTTCATATGAATACTTTAAGAAATATTATAACTAAAGGCTTGAAAAATGCCGGAAGAGACAATGTTAATATAATAAATTGGGCATTTCGATCTCAATTAGTTAGGAAAGATAATCAACATTGGCCACAGTATATTTTACCATTAAAATATCTTGATCAATGTAAAATAACTTATAATATAGATATATTTATAGAAGGTATTGAAGAAACATTAAACGATCATCCGTATGTTCTTAAAACGATAAAGAATGAATATGGATTACTTGTATTCTGTGATAGGAACGAATTTGCTAAGTCTACTTTTAAAGAAATTGACAATGGAATAAGCAGAGCAATAAATCAGAATGCGCTATTTTCATTTAAAGAGAGCCAAGGTGCTTTAAATAAGATAGACAATGATAAGGTACTTATTGAATACAGTTCGCCAAATATTGCAAAACCTTTTCACGCCGGTCATTTAAGATCAACAGTTCTGGGAAACTGTATTTCAAACCTCTACGAATATTTAGGCCATCAAGTACTAAGAGTAAATTATCTAGGAGATTGGGGAACTCAGTTTGGACTACTAATACTTGGGATTGAATTGTATAGATTTGATTTAAATAGCTCTGTTAACATCATGGAAGACTTATATAAAATTTACGTTCAAATAAACAAAGATTGCGAACAAGATCCGCATTTAAAAAGTTTAGCTTTAGAAAAAGCCGCAAATTTAGAACAAGGAAATAATTATGAAGTTAATATTTGGAAAGAAATTAGAGAAAGAAGTTTACATGAATATAATTTATCTTATTCAAAGTAAGTCAATTATCATGAATTTAGGTTAATTTGTTTTCTTTTATCTCTTTTGTCATCTTCACTCAACCCCTTTGTTTTCCTAGGTTGAATATTAAATTCGACTTGACTGAAGGAGAATCTGATTATGTTAAAAAAAGTAAGGATCTTAGTCAAACTTTGATTGATAAAAACCTTTTAATTAAGAATGAAACGAGTGGTTTATTCAATATGGAACTTTCTACAACAAATAAAGACACGTCATATGCTACTCTATTGAAAAGTGATGGAAGTAGTCTATATTTAACAAGAGATTTGGCAGCTCTACTACATCGTAAACAATTTCATGACTTTAATAGGATTCATTATGTTGTTGAAAATGGACAACATGGCCACTTTGCCAAATTGAAAGGATGCATTGAAAAATTAAATTTAGACTGGAAGGACGTTGTAAATAACTCAAATTTTCATGTTAAATTTGGTCGAGTAGATAAAATGAGTACAAGGAAAGGTACTGCAGTATTTCTTCAAGATATTATTGATGAAGCTACGGATAAGATGAAGACTGTTATTCGGGAAACAAAAACAACTAAAATTCAAGATGATTTATTAAACAGTGTTGCCGAACAATTGGCTATTAGTGCCCTAGTTTTTCAGGTAATCATACATGTTATAATTGTTCGTAGTTTATTATATTTCTCTCCCCTTTCCATCAGGACTTACGCCAGAAAAGAATACGTAATTACGAATTCGATTGGAATAGAGTTTTACAATTTCAAGGCAACACCGGTGTTTATCTTCAGTACACTCATGCTAGATTATGTAGTCTGGAACGAAAATTCCCTGAATTGGTTGATCTCCCTCTTCCCAAATATATTACCGGTTTAGATCATCCAGCTGCTGATCGTTTGATTCAAACATTTGTTAATTTTGAGCATGCAATTTACGAAGCTTACAACAATCTTGATCCACATTACGTTGCATCCTATTTGCATAGCTTGTGCAAAGCAACTAACGCAGCCTATGATCAAATTAAAGTTATTAATGCTTCATCAGATGATGAAAGACATTGTCAGTACTATCTCTTTAAATCTGCGAAGAAAGTTTTAAGCGAAGGTCTTAAATTAATTGGTTTAAGAGCAATAGAGAGAATGTAGTATGTTATGCTAGGTATGTTATCCCTTTATTTACTTTTCGTATTAATAATAATACTGTTAAAAATTACAATAAAAGATTATTGAAGCACTTTTCAAGAACTTCTATAACCCAACATCTCGTATTTCTTTCAAATTGTATTAATCGAAAAGAACCCCAATCTTTTCGATGTCCAGTCCCACTGCGCATGCGTAGTTCGCGAGAAACGGAACAGTCGAATTTCAAACCTTATTTATAAATATTTAAGAAGATTATTTAAGCATCGAATCGATAAGTCGATTAGATAAATTAGACGTATAAAGATGACTACATGGAGCATATTTAGACGTAATAATTTGAGGAGGCGTATAAGACAACGACGAATTAAGCACGAACCAAAAACTCTTATTCTTCAACAAGCTTTTTTGGTTACAGCAATGGAAATTTATCTAAAATCAGTAGCGAGAAGAATGATGAAGAAGAACGAAAAGAAATTTAGAAGAGAGCATTTCCAAGCAGTTAAAGAAGCAGCTCTTGATCGTTTAACAGCATAAATATTTGCAAAACTTTTTTTAAGCAGTTTGTTTTTCTTTCTATTAGTCTTTATTGTGTAATTCTTATCATTTCTCTATATTCGTATTATAATTCTTATTATTTTACCAATATATATTTATTTTATGCCTCTTTTTAAGACGGAGAGAAAGCTATCTGACGTGATTTATACATATTACTAACTAAAATAAATATAACAAGGCCAAATTGATATTAATATTTAAAATTTAATTACTTACAACGTTACGTGTAATGTCGTATTTCTTTGGACTAATCTACATCTTGAATTTAACTTACTTCAAAGACAATTTTACGTCTCCTTTTAGAATTTTGCAGATCAAGTTACTAATCCTTTAACGATAAAAGGATCATTTTCCCAAATGTACTGTCATTGGTAATGTTTTACAAGTCCTTAAAACGTTGTTCGAAACACAAAAAAAGCTTTTAAGTAATTTGAAGGATAGTTGGTTATTTGCTTAAAAACATAAAAGAAAATCTATTTTTATATGAAAAACTGGAAAATTACAGAGCTATAGATAGACTCTAAGATCGCGTATATCCTTTCTAAATATGATAGAGATTTGTAACAGTTTTCAACATGAAAGACGTATTCTTCAGCCTTATTCGAATAACTATTACTACAGTCATATAGATTAGTATAAAAACTATATACTTACATAGGCTAAAAAAAACTGTTTCACCGTGTTTATTATAATTAAGGTTACGATATAAACTGTCCCAATTATTTTTTCAGTTGACTATGTGTCATTTATCTCTATTTATTATACATAAAGGTGAAATGAGATGAGAAAGATAGTGTACGATGTTAAACAATGTAAACAGTGATTGTATAATTAGGTATAAAAAAAGAGATTGAACTAATAGATCTATAAATTTAAATAATTGATAATAAATATTTAATATAGTAAGAGTTATTCATTTATTACAAATTATGTTTACTATTATTAACATTTCTTTTAGTATTATATACAAACTGTCAAAGCTTGTGTATTTATATCTGATTATATAGTTAATATATACAAACGGTAGAACGAAACGTTTAGTTTAGCAACAAAATTAGAAAAGAGACTATCTTTGAATTTTAACATTTCTTCATTCTAAATGGATAAATTAAAGAATACTTCATCTTTAAATGAAACTATAATTTCTCTGAATATACATTACGAATATATTAATCTTGTTGTTGTTATCCTAGTTACCTTGATCTTTGTATTTGGAATATTTGGAAATATTATGAGTTTTATTATTAATGGGAAAAAAGAACTTAATATGTTTACAATATCAATCTATTTAAGATTTTTAGCCGTAACAGATTCTTTACAATTGTTAATATATACATTTAATGTATATAAAGCGAATTTGTTGAGTTCAAGAACAATGAATAATGATTTTCAACATTTTATATTTTGCGTTTTTGGTATTCATTCACATTTTTTCTTAAGTTTAACTAATTCGTGGTTAGTTGTATTTATGACGATTGATAGATGTATTCATATTTCATTGCCAGCGAAATCTTCTGTTATCTGTACAAAATATAAATCTAAGATTATCTGTTCGTTAACTATTTTAGTGTGTTTTTTATTATTTATTCATAATTATTATATTCATGGATTTGGTCAAAGTATTATAACTGAAAATGTTCATAATGGTTGGATACATTCTATATATTGTAAAGCAAATTCTGAGTTAGCAAGATATGTCGATGAGAAAATAATACCTCCAACTTTTGCTGTAATTGGAAGTCTAATCCCATCATTTATTGTTCTAACAGCAAACTGTAAAATAATGTTTCTAGTATTAAAAGCATCTAAAAGAAGAATTGAACTAACTTCATTACAGCCGAAAAAGGTAAAGGAGTTAAATCAAGTAACAAAGTTAATAATTATTATATCACTTCATTTTCTCTTTTCCTCATTACCTTATTACGTAACTAATATAATACTTTATGCTAGAAACGTATATTCTTCAAAGAATGTATGGGATGTAAAAGTTGTTCATTTCTCAAAGTTCCTAATACCTGTATTCTTGACCAATAACGCTGTAAATTTTTATATTTATTGCCTAAGTGGATCAAAGTTTCGTAATGAATTTAAACTATTTTGGAAAGATTTGTTTAAAAGCTTTTGTTGAAAAATCATTGCAAATTCTTCATTATAGAGATTTAATAATGTAGATTTATAGCATATTTATATATTCATTATACTGTATACATATTAGGCTTTTACATCTAATAAAAGTAGTATGTTTTTGTTACTCTAGTACACTCTATGCTGTATTTGTATTACATAATTAACATATGATAAAAAGTATCATCTATTATTTAAATATCGCTTCAACTTCATTAATAATTTGTTACAACACTGTTTTCCTTATTATTTTTATCGTAGTATTGTAGAGACATATTCAAATTTCAACGTTTAATACGGTATTTATCGTTAATTGAATATAGAGAAAGTTACGGAGGAATAATGAATACAACTAATAATAATCATACTTCTTTATATTCTCAATTTAAATATCTTAATTTTACTGTTTTAATACTCTATACAATCATCTTTGTTTTTGGTATATTTGGAAATGTTATGAGTTTTATTATCAATAGTCAAAATGATTTTAAACTGTCAACAATGTCGATATATTTAAGATTTTTAGCAATAACTGATTCTCTACAATTAATTGTATACACTCTAATTGGCTGTATTAATAATATGGTAAATGTGAAGGTAATATCTGATACTTTTAAGAGAATTTTCTTTTGCTCTTTTGGATATCATTCGCATTTCTTTTTAACTGTTACAAATTCGTGGTTAATTGTTTTTATGACAATTGATAGATCTATTCACGTTTTATCTCCAGTAAAAGCTTCGACAATCTGTACTAAACGAAGAACAAAGTTTATCTGTTCAATTACAATTGGATTTAGCTTTCTACTCTTCAGTTACATTTACATAACACATGGAATTGGTAATATAACGATTTTAACAAATACAAAATACAAATGGATGGCTCTCGTATTTTGTGAATCTAATATTGAATTTGTGAAAAATTTGGATAATAAAATTCTACCACCACTACTAGCCACTGTTGGATGTTTAGCTCCATCTGTAGTTGTACTTATTGTAAATGCAATTATGATACTTGAAATTTTTAAAGCGTCAAAGAGGAGAAGTCGGATAACATTATCGGAACATAATAAGACGGAAAGATTAAGTCAAATGACAAAATCTTTAATATTTATATCTTTATACTTTTTGATATCATCGTTACCATTTCATATCAGTACAATAGTATTTTTTGCTACAAATCTTTATTCTTCTGGAAAAGATTCTGATGTGAAAATCGTTCATTTTTCAAGATTATTAACTCCTCTTCTATTTACAAATAATGCTTTAAACTTTTATGTCTATTGTTTAAGTGGTTCTAAATTTCGAAATGAATTTAAAATACTATGGAAAAAAGTGTTAAAACAGTTATTTTAACAAGGTTTTTTGCCGTATTTATAAATAATGAAAGATGCTTGTATTCTTCTTTATACAAATTTCAAACGAAGTGATAATATTTTAATGATACTTGCTAAGGAATAGGCTTGACAATAAGAATCAATTGAATTGTTTCATCTGTTGAATTAAGTCTATTTTTCTTAACAACTCATAACGAGTGAGGAGTTTCATATACACAAAGAAAGCCATCAAGACAATTTCACTTAACTCGGTGATAACAATGGTAACTGGAACAAACCTATCGAAAGAGGAGCAAACTAGGATAAAAAGTTTACGAAAGGAAGGATATTCGTGCCGGAAAATTGGTAAAGAACTGAAGAGAAACCATGCAACCATCAGCAGATACATTAAAGACCCAGATAATTATGGAGTGAAAATGAAACAAAGGGGAAGAAAAAAATTATATAGCGACATTGAAAGAAAAAAAATAGTTGATATGGCTAAAAATAGCTCATTTTCGAGTTCAAAAATTAAAAAAGAACAAGGTCTTCCTGGCTGTTCAAAAACAATACGAAATGTACTGAAGGAGGAAGGTCTTAATAGGAGAAAAATAATAAAAAAGCCAAAAGTCTAGTGTTGTTTTATAATGTTTATAGAGAAAAAGAATTTCAATGACAATCCACCAAAAACGAAATACTTACAATTGAATATGTAAATTATGAGTAGAGATTTCAACACAAAATTTATGTTCGTTATTTCTATTAATAGCTATTGGAATGGTTAATAATTCTTCTGTTGTTTGTGTATTATGTAAAAAAAAATAGTTTATTTTAATGAATATTTCAATACTATACCCGTTTTCAGTAATCATTTTTATTCCTTTTCTTATTTCTGTTAATTTGTTCATACGATGAATTGATTTCAACTATATTTCTAATATCATTTACATGGTCCGATGAGACGGTTTTCTCTTTACCTACGTTATTCTTCTCTTGCCATACAAAAAGCTATATCTTAGATTATTAGAAATACGATTACTCATAATAACTCGAATTGAGATTAACTTTTGGTAAAGAATGTTAGTTATAAAATATCCCAACAAGCTACCAAATAAGAGATAGGCGGGAATAACTACAGTTATAGAATATAACAATAAAATATATAACAATGTAAAAATTAACTTCCTACAACGGATTCAATTTGTATTTTGAATGCTTTCTCCATTCATTTATTTCTTACTCTGCTAATAAATCTGTAACATATGATTCAATCTCACTTCGCGATTCCTAATGCCATATTTATCGTTTTCTTTTGACTACTATAAACATAAATTTATAGAGGAATTGATCGGATTTTCGTGAATATCTTCTTTTCCCTTTAATAGTTGACACTCTCTTTTAATATCGAGGAAGTATAATATATCTACTTAAAAATTGTTTTAACGAAATATTTAAGGTTTGGTTAAATAATATTAGACGTGTTAGACTAGTCTTATGAGTCAGCATTTATTGTAAATTAGGAGTTATCAAAACCCATTATTATCAATACAACAGCACGTTCTTCTCTAGACTAGTTGCCTTTAATGCAATGCAATCTGCATACAAATATTTCAGATAATTTTATAATTTTACAAAGAAATTTACCGATGACCAGATTCTATATAATCCTTTAATCAAAATACTAAAGACTCGTAGGTATGATCATCATCACTATTCTTCCTATTGGTTTTATTCTCTTTGCTCGATAAATCATTTTCCAGTTTCTTCCCAATCTCTCCATTTACATATATATGTGAAATATATTCTTTTGTTTTCATATGTCTAATATTTTAGAATTAGATTCGATATATAAAAAAAATAGAAATTTATTTAAAGTATAATCAAACCTGCGATAGACAATTATCGAAACAAAAAGTATTATTAAAATGAAAAATATCACGCTTGAAGCTATCATTGCAATAGTAACGACTGTTCGATCTTCTATATTAGCAAGCAATCACATATTTTCAAGTGATTTTTCATCATTAATAGAAATCATAATAAAATAATCTAACCTCGTTTACTTGGTGTTGTTGTTGTAATATGTAAATTAGGACCAATAGTTGTTTGCGAATAGTTAGTACTACTAATTCCTTCTTCAATTGTACGTTCACATAGCTTTAAGCGACTATTATCTTTCGGTTCTTTCACATCTTCTACTTGAAAATTGCCTAAAAACAAACTCGGTTTATTCTTAAATTATTCACTGAATTCTCTTTTTAGTTAGTGCTTACTTTCTTGGCAAACCGTATAAATTGGTCCAAAAGTCAAATGTTGGAATGATGTCGTACATTTAAATAATTCAAATTCCTGTTTTTCTTCTGAATATACCACACATAATTTGTTTTTTAAATCCTTATCATCAATGACTTCTTGCCAAATTATATTAGATACACCCGTCCATATTGAATAAATATTTCTAGATTTCAAATAATTCTTAACGATTTGCTCCATCTCGACAGAGATAATCTCAATCAATGACCTATTTCTTTTTCTACATTCCTCCCTAGCGTCTATCCAATTTCTTTGCTGAACATTCGGTCCCATGTACAGATTTGAACATTGTTTGTTACTGGTAGCATTAACGAATTCTTCACCTTTTCAAATGGAATAAATGAGTTATTACATGAAAGTCGAAAACTAAAAGAATATTTGTAAAAATCTAACATAAAAAATATTGAGTCTGACGACAATCTTCTTCTTTAAATTCTCCATATTTATTAAACGAAATACACTTTGGGTCGCTACTGCGTGTCTTTGTTAAATTAATTGGCATGCCTAAGAAGAAACCAATTGATAAATGAAACAATCTCTTTATATAATATTTTATTATATACCATTCTCTGTACGTTGTTCAGTTGAAGGCATTCCAGTATAATTTAAAAGAAAGGTAGGTTTAATGCGCTTGAAACTTTGATTTACGAAGTGTTCTAATCTTTGAGAAAACTTGGAAGATAGAACTGCGCTAAAAGTTGGTATTCCAATAACGTTGCTCTCCTCGGAACAAAACCTAACCGCCTGAGAAATTCTTGAAGGGAAAATATGTATTATTTTCTGTTGATAGGTTGGAAGAATAGAAGCTGAAAAATGAAAATAATTACTATAAACAGATTGACAGATCATTTCCTAAAAATTTTCAAATGATAGAAAATCTTATATTGCAAAAATGAATAGAGAAAAATGATTATTCATATGAATTTCAAATTTGTTCCGTGTTTATGGTTATGATTTCTGAACTCAAAAATAGTAATTTTAATTCATTTTCACATTCTTTCAAAATTATGTAATAGTTTAGAAGAACTTACTATATAAGATATATATAAACAATAGTATCCCTTTGATGTTCATTTCCAAGTTCGTGATTTTCATTCTTCCTCCTTTATTTGTTATTAAATATTAAAGAAATATGTACCTTTCAACCAGATTGGCCTCACCTGTATCTATTGTTCAAGATTTTCTTTATTCAATACTTTTGTAGTATTAAAGAATTTCTATGAAAGTTAAAACTATTAAAATTTTTAAAAATTGATTTTATTATATAACCGAATTAGTGTTTATTCATTAAATGTGATTTTTATTTTTGGCAATTTTAACGTTGAAAGTAGAGAATAATTTCAGAATTTAAAATTTGAAATATAGGCCTATCAAAAAATTATTATATTATACAAAAATTCTCTAACCTTTTCGAGTAGACGCTGTTGTAATATGTAAATTAGGTGATGATGTTTTACGAATAGTTGTTTGCTCTTCTGAAACTTCTGAAAGCGTACATAACTTGGAGATTTCGTTGTAAAAGATTTTGCTTATATTCTCCGTTTAAAAAATTGCTAAGAAACGATTTTCAAAATATTCACAGTTTTCTTTTAATTCTTCGTATCTTTTTATCTAGAATTACTTACTTTGATATCTAACAGGAAAAATGATGACTTTTCCAGCAATCATCCATAACAAAGACTCCGTCCAAACTGAAGGTAAAACACTGACGTTTCTTTATAAATTTTACGGATAGTTTAACTTTTTTACCTCTAGAAATAGTAAAGATAAATACCATTGTTTTCTCATAGGATTTAGTATTGTAAAGAGAACTTACCACTTCTTCTTTGTAGTGTAGGGGTAAAACTTCCTACGTAATTGAAGAATATTGGAAGTTGAAATGATTTCTTACTATGCTCTTTGTAAAGAGTTGAAGTAAAATTGGAAGAGATAGTTACTGTGAAGTCTGGAAACCCTACTGATGATTTGTAAAGAAAACAATTGGTAGGATAGCCAGATAGAACATCAAAGACTTCATTAAATATAATAAATGACTTTGACTGAACTTTGGCAGCTGTCAAACCTAAAATTAGCATAATATATACAAATGTAAGAGTTTGATTTTGCTCAATTCTTTGAAAAAGAAAATCTCAAAGATCACCAACAAAGTTAAAAGATAGACGAAGTAGTTAAATTTCATTGAGTAATATCTTTCCATTCTTTTCTATTAATCCTTAAATCTTCAAACTAAGGATCGTCTTATTTCTTCTATAAACACCCTTTTTAGATAAATGAACATACTATTCAATTTTTCAGTTTTAGAAGGACTATTTAAAAAAAATTGTTCAAAATACCAAAAAAATAGGTTAATATACTACCAAATATAGATAGCAGTATATTTCCGTCCTATTTGCTTCCTGATTCAAAAGAAAAAGGATTTACTCTGTCTATTGAAATACAATTCACACAAATGCCGTATGCGACAATCTCTAAGGCAGAGAAGTTAGATACTTGAAAGATATCCGCATAAAACTTACACATAAAAGCCGATAAAAGAATCATCTTTTACTTGATTGAATGATCATTATACTAGATAACTTTTCGTCAGCATTGGTGGTTCAGTGGTAGAATGCTCGCCTGCCACGCGGGCGACCCGGGTTCGATTCCCGGCCAATGCAATTTTTTTCATCTTAATAAAATTTACATAATCATTTACTATTTTTATTTTAAATAAATTTTGAATTAAATTAGTATTCTTTTAAAACTTGATTTGTATTAATGAAGCAACGTTGAGACAGATAGAGAGAGAGAGAGAGAGAGAGAGGGAGAAAGCGCAATTAAGTATGAGTAGTATACATTTCAATATCATAGTAAAGTTTACGAAGAAAGGTAGAGCAATATTTAACAAAGGGTGAAATTTGATGTAGTGACAAGAGAAAGAGAGAAAAAGATACCAGGTTAGAGGAAAGACGAAATTAATCTGATCTAAAATATAATACTTTGACTACTAATTTGTTGACTTTACAATTAATTGTCATCAATTAAAGTCAGGTTTAGTTTTGCAAAAATAAGACTTCTAAAGGTTTTTCTTATTACTGTCTTTTTACCTATAAAAGGATGGCTACCTGGACAAATAACTACATGTTAAGCTTTATAATATGCTTATGTGAGTGATTAATATGATGCATAATTCATATATTAATAAATAAACAACAGTTACTAATAACAATACCTACTTCTTAATTTTAGCATTTATTAGTGTATCAAGTAAAAATACTCTTGATGAAGCTAAACCAGGCTATATATCATGTTTTGAATCGGCTAAAGCTTGTACAACTTCGTCAAAAATGCCTATTAATTTTATTGATACCCTATCAACTAGTTTTAAACTAAAAATTAAAGAAGAGAGCTTTTCTAATAAGGACTATAAACCATTTTGGATTAATATGATTGGTCTTAGCAAGGAACCTAGTTGGGAAAGTGGTAAATAATCTTTTTAATATTTATTAATAATTGTATTATTTTCAATTTCAATCAGTTATATTAACTTTTTAAAAAGGGAAAAAGTCACCAATTCAAGTATCAAATAATCGTTCATTATCTTGCGGAGTTTTACTTAAAAATGGTCAATTTCTTTTGGACGACTGCAGCAAAAATATTACAATATTATGTAAAGTATACACAATTATTTATATATAATGATATGTATAATATACTTTATTTCATTAGGTGAAAAAGAAACAACGAACACAGATGATTGTCTAAATATTGATAAATTATCATCCGACGACTATTTTGAAACAAATTGGTTAAATGGAAGGGAAAAGTGTCGATCAATCAAGGGTACTATGATTGAAATTTTAACGGAGAAGAATAAAGATATTATTCAAGATTATATGAAAAAAAATTCATTATCTTCTATATGGATTGGTTATACCAATATTGAATGGACGTATATAAATACGTCCTTACCTTTCGAGTCCAATTCGTCTATATGCGTCTCCTACAACTTGAATGACAAAGTGTATAACATCAACGCAAATACTGCTAATAATATCTGTCAAAATGGTACTGAAATATTTATGAAACATATTATTAACTTAGTCATGTTCATTTTTTCCCTTTTCCTTAAGATTCAATTAGTGATAAAGGCATACCGAAAGTTATATTCAACGACAAAATTAATATATGCTCACCAGAAACTTCAACTCCTAAGCCAAACAATGACAAATCAAAGAATAATGACAATGATGATGACAGGGGTAATTATACAATAAAAATTATTATATCTGCCGTTATACAATAATAACATAAAATATTACCTTTATTAGTTGATATACCAAGCGTTTTTCCAACCTTATCTTATGTTTTGTTGGGTGTATTGTTCCTCTTCTTTTTCCTTGTTCCATTTATACTATTAAGGTAAGTTAATTACGATAATTTTATTAATAACCATTCAAATATATTAAATAAATATAATCTTCCCTCTGTTATAGTTTAACTGTAAAGGAAAAGGATATAAATCAAGATTATCAATTGAACACAACTTCAAGATCAAATAAATATCAAATTAATTAATTCCAAAGCGAATAAGTTTTTATGAGATGAACAACAAGCACATCAAAGAAACTGTATAAATACTATGTATATGCTTTTAAACAATATAATATTTTATATTAACCTTTTATAAATACATACTGTACTACAGTTAGTTTAAAAATCCAAAAAGTTTATTCTCTTTTTCATTTGCGAGCGTCTAATTTCAAAGAAACACAATCTTCTAACTTTTTCCCAATACTTTACAATCAATTTTCTAACTACAAGAAAGACTGTTTGATAATAATTATTTTATATCCTAACCCTAACCCTAAGAGAAAGGTTATACTGTATAATGACCAAAAATTTTAAAATGTGATAAAAGTGTCTATAGAAAAATTATTTGTAAATTTCATTATAAGCAACGAAAGTACAAAAAATTTGATAAAAGAGAAATTTTCGATAGGAAGTAAAAAAAGATTTAAGATTTGCGGAAGGGAATTTACTCAAGGTGGTAGAAAATGTTAACAGAGAAAAAGACCTTGGCACTTTAAGTCTTAATTTCGTATCATTAATTTCTTTGCTCCAGGAAAGACGAAATTTTAACAATACTTATATTTTTGTCAAATATAAAAATATACGAAAACTTTGTACACATCATCCTACTCTCCTTTAAAGACACCAGTTAAGCAGTAAAACAACAAAGAAACAAGCAACTTGGTTATGAAATGGAAAATATTAATATAGCAATTCAAATTCACTGATTATCATATCGAAAATAGGAAAAAAATTATAAGAGGGCGCGTACTTATTTTCTTTTTCATTCCTCTAAGAGTTCCCAACGAAAGCATTTCTTTTGCATTCACACAGCCAAATTACATTTTTTCAATAATGAGCAAAGTCATTCTACTTCTTTCCTTAATTCTCAGTAAGTAGTCTGAACATTCTTATATCTATTAATACCTAATTTAAAAATTCTATATAATTAGTCATTTATTCAGTTTTTGGGGCCAACTGCCAAAGGCCAGGACCACAAGGTGAAACAGGAGCTACAGGACACAGAGGACCTACAGGTCCCACTGGAGCTACAGGACACAGAGGACCTACAGGTCCCACTGGAGCTACAGGACACAGAGGACCTACAGGTCCCACTGGAGCTACAGGAGACACAGGACCTAAAGGCCAAACTGGATCTACAGGTCAGACTGGCCCACAAGGTGAAACTGGACCTACAGGCCTAACTGGCTTTACAGGTCAGACTGGTCCTCAAGGTGAAACTGGATGGACAGGGTCACAGGGTGAAACTGGTGCAACTGGCCCACAAGGTGAAACTGGAGCAACTGGCCCGCAAGGTAATACTGGAGAGAGAGGTCCAACAGGCCGACCTGGTAATGGAAAAGGAGGAATTGGTGAAACTGGATGGACAGGGCCACAAGGTGATACTGGTGCAACTGGCCCACAAGGTGAAACTGGTGCAACTGGCCCACAAGGTGATACTGGAGAGAGAGGTCCAACAGGCCGACCTGGTAATGGAAAAGGAGGAATTGGTGAAACTGGATGGACAGGGCCACACGGTGATACTGGTGCAACTGGCCCACAAGGTGAAACTGGTGCAACTGGCCCGCAAGGTAATACTGGAGAGAGAGGTCCAACAGGCCGACCTGGTAATGGAAAAGGAGGAATTGGTGAAACTGGATGGACAGGGCCACACGGTGATACTGGTGCAACTGGCCCACAAGGTGATACTGGATGGAAAGGGCCACACGGTGAAACTGGAGCAACTGGCCCGCAAGGTAATACTGGAGAGAGAGGTCCAACAGGCCGACCTGGTAATGGAAAAGGAGGAATTGGTGAAACTGGATGGACAGGGCCACACGGTGATACTGGTGCAACTGGCCCACAAGGTGATACTGGATGGAAAGGGCCACACGGTGATACTGGTGCAACTGGCCCACAAGGTGAAACTGGTGCAACTGGCCCACAAGGTGAAACTGGAGCAACTGGCCCGCAAGGTAATACTGGAGAGAGAGGTCCAACAGGCCGACCTGGTAATGGAAAAGGAGGAATTGGTGAAACTGGATGGACAGGGCCACACGGTGATACTGGTGCAACTGGCCCACAAGGTGAAACTGGTGCAACTGGCCCACAAGGTGAAACTGGTGCAACTGGCCCGCAAGGTGAAACTGGAGCAACTGGCCCGCAAGGTAATACTGGAGAGAGAGGTCCAACAGGCCGACCTGGTAATGGAAAAGGAGGAATTGGTGAAACTGGATGGACAGGGCCACACGGTGATACTGGTGCAACTGGCCCACAAGGTGATACTGGATGGAAAGGGCCACACGGTGATACTGGTGCAACTGGCCCACAAGGTGATACTGGATGGACAGGGCCACACGGTGATACTGGTGCAACTGGCCCACAAGGTGAAACTGGTGCAACTGGCCCACAAGGTGAAACTGGAGCAACTGGCCCGCAAGGTAATACTGGAGAGAGAGGTCCAACAGGCCGACCTGGTAATGGAAAAGGAGGAATTGGTGAAACTGGATGGACAGGGCCACACGGTGATACTGGTGCAACTGGCCCACAAGGTGATACTGGATGGACAGGGCCACACGGTGATACTGGTGCAACTGGCCCACAAGGTGAAACTGGTGCAACTGGCCCACAAGGTGAAACTGGTGCAACTGGCCCGCAAGGTGAAACTGGAGCAACTGGCCCGCAAGGTAATACTGGAGAGAGAGGTCCAACAGGCCGACCTGGTAATGGAAAAGGAGGAATTGGTGAAACTGGATGGACAGGGCCACACGGTGATACTGGTGCAACTGGCCCACAAGGTGATACTGGATGGACAGGGCCACACGGTGATACTGGTGCAACTGGCCCACAAGGTGAAACTGGTGCAACTGGCCCACAAGGTGAAACTGGTGCAACTGGCCCGCAAGGTGAAACTGGAGCAACTGGCCCGCAAGGTAATACTGGAGAGAGAGGTCCAACAGGCCGACCTGGTAATGGAAAAGGAGGAATTGGTGAAACTGGATGGACAGGGCCACACGGTGATACTGGTGCAACTGGCCCACAAGGTGATACTGGATGGACAGGGCCACACGGTGATACTGGTGCAACTGGCCCACAAGGTGATACTGGTGCAACTGGCCCACAAGGTGATACTGGTGCAACTGGCCCACAAGGTGAAACTGGAGCAACTGGTCCACTAGGAAATACGGGATGGACAGGGCCACAAGGTGATACTGGCTTTATAGGTCCTCGAGGATTTATCGGAGCTACGGGAGCAACAGGACAGGGGAGAGCTGGATTACCAGGCCGAATCGGACCGCGAGGTCCACCTGGACCACCTGGTAAAGTAACCACGATTCCTTTTACTTCTAAGAAGTTGGCATGCTTTATGAGTTGTTTAAATGAAAAATGTGAATTTTTTAATGATTAATAAAGTGTTTTTTAGTATTTGTTTCAAAAGAGTTTAAAACAGAGAACTTTGCAATTTTTTTACCAATTGACACGAACACTTACTGTATATAGACTTTAAAAATGAATAATTAGAAAAGGTATGCAAAGAAAATTATTCAATTAAGATATCTTCTTCAGGAGCAATATGCTGAGATTAACAGTATATAGAAGAGAAGAGATTAGAAATGAACATTTGTTTAAAAGAAAAAATGGCCGACAATTAAATATACTGTATAGTAACAAATAGCTGATAAAAATGGGTTTCATATTTATTCATCTAACCGATAAATTCACAAAAATGAATAGGATAACAAGTATAATAATTAACCAGATATTCTAAATATATGCTATTTTTTTATTGTTTCAAACTTCTTATACAATCTATATTTAGAATATATAGAACAAGTAATTAAAATTGCACCTAAGAAATCTAAATAAGCCTATATTTGTTTTTTAAAATAACAATTGAAAAGAGAGAAAGAATTTGATTTATTAATAAATAAAAGTTGTATATATTGCTCTATTAGAATAGTATCTTATCAGCCATATCTAAAGTTTTAAATCATCCATTTCAATGTATAATTCATATATCTCGATCATTTAATAGACATAAGCTTAAAGCTATCAGCTTACCTTATTTAAATATATAACAGAATATTTATCATATTTACATCTATAATGAACAGAGACTATTGAATAGTTTGAAAAGAAGATAAGGATATGATTAATAAATAATCATCTTTTTAATTAAAAAAAGATACATTTTGATACTTAAAAAGTTTATTCGTGTTCTCTTTTTACACTTGATTTATATAAATATATATATTCAGTATATACGTGTATATTTATACTGTATTTATATAGACAATATAATCTGTATAATCAGCGATAAAAATTACAAAAGTATCATAGACTAATCAGTTAATTTTATATGAAAAACTAAATCATCTATGTGTAATAACGTTGTAAATTTCATATAAAAAAAAACAATATAGCTATAACTGGTTCTTGTTGCAGTTGTTGTTTATTCAATTTTAGTCAGGGGATTCAGGCTTCTTCTTATTTTTCCTTCTTATAACGTCGCTATTATTATATAAACTCTCTTTATTAAGCTTATTCTTTGTTATATTCAATTTTTTAGTATTATCATTGCTTTTATCTTCAGCCTCTTTACGCTTTTTATTTCTAGCAACCTTTTTAATACCATTCTTCTTCGGAGAAACTGATTTATTCCCTATTTCTTCGTAACCACCTCTGTCTTTGATTATTCCTTTTTTTTCTTTGGTTTCAGGCGAAGGATTTTCTAAACCTACTTCTTCGTATTCTGAAGAAGTTGCTTGTTTTTTCGTCATTTCTATAGAATCATCAATTGGAGCTGATGGTATTAATCGGTTTGTCATATCGTCTCTATCCAATTTAAGTTTATTTTTGTCAGTTTCTTTAGAATATTGTTTCTCATTTACTTCTTCATATCCTGAATTCTTTGCAGGCGTTTTCTTTTCATTATGCAAACTAACTTCTTCGTAACCTCCAGTAGTTTTACTTTCAGTTTTTGTCGGTTTTACTATTTTTTTCCGTTTTTTCTTTTCTCTTCCATTCTCATTTACAATTTCAGATTTAGGCGTTTCTACCATTCTTTTTCCATCTTTATCCTTATCCTCTTTCTCTCCATAGTTCTTCTTTCCTTCAGTATCTGATGTTTCACTAACACTTTCCTTTTTGCTTGGGTCATTAACTTTTGAAGGACTATCTAAATTAATATTTGCATATTTTCTATCCTGATCAAATTCTCCAAAAATTCTTTTTGAGTTTCCATTTATATCTTGACGGTTAATATCATTTACGTAGATATTATTTTCGTAATTTTTTTTCCTAAATCTTTAAATGAGAGATATATATTTTTAGTGAAAATGAGCATAACTTTAGGTCAAAAAAGTACAAATACAAACCGTCTAAATAGAACTATAAATAAAGCAATAAATACAATTACAACTATAACTAAGATGGAAGTTAAAATTGCAATTATTAAAGTTGCACCTGTGTTAAGAAATTAGAATTATTAATAAATTAATTTCCTTTTATGTAAGAAAACTCTAACTTGAAGATGTCTTTTTCTCATTTGATGTTGTTGTTATCACTAATTTTATTGTTGATTCTTCAGTACTACTAGTTTCTTTTTCAATTGTACGTTCACATAGCTTTAATCGACTATTATAATTCGGTTCTTTCACATCTTCTACTGAAAAATTGCCTAAAAACAAACTCGGTTTATTCTTAAATTATTCATTGCATTCTCTTTTTAGTTAGTGCTTACTTTCTTGGCAAACCAATTCAATTGGTTTCAAAGTCAAATGTAGGAATGATGTCGTACATTTAAATAATTCAAAAATCTGTTTTTGTTCTGAATATACCACACATAATTTGTTTTTTAAATCCTTATCATCAATGACTTCTTGCCAAATTATATTAGATACACCCGTCCATATTGAATAAATATTTCTAGATTTCAAATAATTCTCAACGATTTGCTCCATCTCGACAGAGATAATCTCAATCAATGACCTATTTCTTTTTCTACATTCCTCCCTAGCGTCTATCCAATTTCTTTGCTGAGCATTCGGTTCAATGTACAGATTTGAACATTGTTTGTTACTGGTAGCATTAGCGAATTCTTCACCTTTTCAAATGAAATAAATGAGTTATTACGTGAAAGTCGAATATTTGTAAAAATCTAACATAAAAAATATTGAGTCTGAAGACAATCTTCTTCTTTAAATTTTCCATTTTTATTAAACGAAACACACTTTGGGTCGCTACTGCGTGTCTTTGTTAAATTGATTGGCATGCCTAAGAAGAAACCAATTGAAAAATGAAACAATGTCTTTATATAATATTTTATTATATACCACTCTCTGTACGTTGTTCAGTTGAAGGCATTCCAGTATAATTTAAAAGAAAGATAGGTTTGAGAGTGAACTTTTGCTTTCTGAACTGTTCTAATCTTTGAGAAAACTTGGAAGATAGAACTGCGCTAAAAGTTGGTATTCCAATAACGTTGCTCTCCTCGGAACAACGACTAACCGCCTGAGAAATTGTTTGAGGCAAATAATCTACTAATTTCTGTTGATACGTTGGAAGAATAGAAGCTAAAAAATAAAAATAATTACTATAAACAGATTAACAGATCATTTCCTAAAAATTTTCAAATGATAAAAAATGTTTTATTGCAAGAATGAATAGAGAAAAATGATTATTCATATGAATTTAAAATTTGTTCCGTGTTTAAGGTTATGATTTCTGATCTCAAAAATAGTAATTTTAATTCATTTTCACATTCTTTCAAAATTATGTAACAGTTTAGAAGAACTTACTACATAAGATATATATAAACAATAGCATCCCTTTGATGTTCATTTCCAAGTTCGTGATTTTCTTTCTTCCTCCTTTATTTGTTATTAAATATTAAAGAAATATATACCTTTCAACCAGATTGGCCTCACCTGTATCTATTGTTCAAGATTTTCTTTATTCAATACTTTTGTAGTATTAAAGAATTTCTATGAAAGTTAAAACTATTACAATTTATAAAAATTGTTTGTATTATACAAGCGAATTAGTGTTTATTCATTAAATGTGGTTTTTATTTTTGGCAATTTTAATGTTGAAAGTAGAGAATAATTTCAGAATTTAAAATACATTTTGACTGATTATCTACTTTGTGTAAATAGATAATTAATACTTTTCTTAAAATTAACATGTAATCCATATTCTTTATACACTCTACAAGCAGTTTAAGTTAGTTTAATAGTCGGTTTCATACCAGTTTATGTGAAACTAGTCTTTAATTTACATCACCTCATTATCACCCTATGCCACGCTTTAAAAATTAGCTGTTTTTTGTCTAAATCATGGCTCAATTTAGCGGTGCGTTACAATTAACCGATTTAGATGATTTTATCAAACCTTCACAAGTAAGTTAAGATTATCATTGAAAACCATCAAATAGAGTATATGTGAAGTCAGAAGGTATTTTCTGAGCGATAAAATAGGGTTTTAAATATTAGCGACTTTGTTTTTATCATTTACGCAAGAAATTCACGCTAATTTAATAATTAATACCTTTAACAGGAATGTATAAAGCCCGTAAAAGTTGATAGAATCAAAGAAAGTACCAGAATAACAATTTCTGACGATGGTACATATTCAGAGGAGAATGAGGTAACAAAAACCGATCAAATTTACAATTTAACACATCAAGAGTTATTAATTTTGTTTAATTGAATATAGAAAGGAGAAGTTAAAAAATTAGAAAAGGTAAAAATAACATTGAATGACTGTTTGGCGTGTAGTGGTTGCATAACATCAGCTGAATCTGTTTTAATAACTCAACAAAATCAAGATGAATTTTATAAAGTTGTTGAAAGTAATAGAAAAGACTGCTCAACGTGTAAACAAACAATTGTCGTTTCTCTTTCTCCACAATCTATATCTTCCATTGCAGCGGCTCACAATTTAAGTTTTGTCGACTGCTCGAGACATCTGGTGGGGTTCTTTAAACAGTTTGGAGTTGAAAAAGTTTTGGACGTTTCAATGGGGAGAAGTGTTGCTTTAAAGGAAATTTGCGATGAATTCTTACGTAGAAAAGCAGAAAATAATGTACCATTATTAACGTCTGCTTGCCCTGGTTGGGTTTGTTACGCTGAAAAGACACACGGGAAAATTTTACCAAAAATATCTAATACAAAATCTCCACAACAACTAATGGGCAGCTACGTAAAAGATTTCTTATATAAAGATACTAATGTCTATCACGTATCAATTATGCCCTGTTTCGATAAGAAACTGGAAGCGTCTAGAGAAGATTTCTTTAGTAATAAAAGAAACAATAGAGATGTTGATTGCGTTCTTACATCGCTGGAAGTTGATGAAATGATAAAGAGAGAAGGGAAAAACTTGAACGAATACGAAAAAGTACAATTAGAAAATGAATTTATAAATCATAAAGGGGGTGGATCCGGGGGCTATCTTCATCATATTTTATCAACGGCTGCAAGTACACTTTTCAACTTATCCGAAGATAATTTCGAGTATACTACAGGAAGAAATAAAGATTTAATTGAATTATCAGTAAAGAGCTCCGACGACCTAATTGTTCTAAAAGGAGCTAAAGCGTATGGTTTCAGAAACATTCAAAACATCGTTCAAAAAATGAAAAGAAACAAATGCCCATATGATGTAGTAGAGATAATGGCATGCCCAGGCGGCTGTCTGAACGGTGGAGGACAAATAAGAGGTAACCTTGACGAGGTTGGAAAAATATACGACGAAGTTAGCACAATATCACCTGAAAGTTCAATAAGTGCAAATGATTTAATAGAAATTTGGCTGAAAGAGCCAGAGGTTAAGGAGAATGCTCTGAAAACAAGTTATCGGCCTATCGAAAAAGATTTGAACGCTTTAACGATAAAATGGTGATTAATAGGTATACGAGTGGAGACGAAGCAAAAAAAAAATAAATGATTAATTATTGACCAATGTTGGGTCAAATCGATAATTGAACTGAAGGAAAAACGTTGATAATCGATTTTTATCTGGTGCGATCTCATTGCATCCAGGCACTTTTATTGATTATAAAAGAGTACTGTTTTTATTACATTTATTACATAAATTTCAAAATGCATATGGACTGTTAAATGCAAAAAGAAAAAATTGATTGTTAAATTGTCCTGTAAAATATGGAAAAATAAAAAGCACTGAACGTTTAAACATATAGAAGCATTTCAAAAATTTCTTTCATTATAAATGCACTCAGTGTAATAAATATATAAACGATCCTAAAGAAATTATAATAGTGAATAGAAAACCAATTATAATATACTAGTTGTACTAATTAATAGACAATGACGTCACTAGTACGTATAGACGTCATTGTTTATGAATATTTGTTAAACTAGGAACTAGAAGAAATGTACAGGTCGATATATACATAGAATTTTAAGTGCTAAAAGGTGATTGGATAACGCAAGGTGAATTTGGTGCGTATATTACTATATAATACTCGCGCCAAAGTCGAACGTCGCACACAATTTGAAATGGAAGTGGTCGTCATTTTCTTATCAATTTCTTTTTTCTCATTACTAAGTTTTTACGCGTAAGTATTACCAGATTAAATAACTTTCCTCCTAAAATCCCCGATAAGAACCTTTCGATTCTATAACAAAGTATTCTTTTTTCTTCTTCTTTCTCTTTTTACTTTTTTATTTTATTACTATCTTGATCAAGTTTAGCATAGGCCTACATTCCTTCAAATCAATATTGGTTTAGGAGATTAAGAACTAGGCGATAGTGAATGCAAACCGACCTACTTAGCAAAGAATTTAGCATATGTTATATATCACTATTACTTATAAATAACTGCGTAGATTTATTCGTACTTAATTAATAATGTAACTCCTATTAATTAGCGTGGAAAATTTACTAATTACTTATGGTTTTGCTCTATTATCAGATATAGAAAAAAGAAACAGGTCTCCTTGAAAAATGGTGGTCTAAAAGGTCCGGGAAACAATTGGTTATTTGGTTGTTTACATTTGTTTAAAAAGACGGTATATACTTGTAAAACTATTGTTTATACAAATTGCTATAAATTATTTTATGTTTTTTTGACAGCCTGCACATCAACTACTTTCGGAATGGGGAGAAAAGTACGGAGATACCTTTGGGTAAAGCTATTCAAAATTAATTCAATACATTATTTAAAAACTTATTTTTCTCTTTCATTACGTTCAATAGTTATTATGAAGGCGGTGTACCTATTGTTGTCACTACTGATCTTGCCCTACTTAAAGATGCATTCATTACTAATTTTTCAAACTGGAATGCACGGAAAGAGTTTCCAATCCAACCTGACCCAGAAGGAGTTGACGGAATGCATATGCTACACGCGAGGTCCTCCAGGTGGAAGAGGTTAAGGTCAATAATAGCACCTACTTTTTCTAAAGTTAAATTGAGGAAAATGTCTGGTACTGTGGAGGAATGTATTTCTACTATGATAAACTGTTTTGGTCAAGAGAAGAAAGATCTCCATGCTGCTTTTCAAGCGTTGACATTCGATATAATCGGACGAACTGCCTTCGGTATGGAAGTTCAAGCCCAAACAAATCCGAATGATCCGTTTTTACAAAGATCCCGACAAATTTTTGCATTAGCAGATTCACCTCCTCTATATATTCTATTACCAGCAATTGTACCAGAAATTAAAAGAAGCTTTTTCAAGTTGTTTACCTTTGTTTTAAAATACGTCGATGAGCCTTCCAGATGGCTTCTCGACAGACTTGACAAAGTTATTCAACAAAGACGCAATGAAGGTATAACTTCGAAAGAACATCCAGATTTATTACAACTTATGTTGGACGCCGAAAAAGAAGAGCCCAGAAGAAGATTGACAATGCGTATGGACAGCATAAGTGAACTCGGTTCTGATTCAGACTCTCCAGTACAAACTCCGACGCCCACTCCAACCCCTACGTTTGGAAGGCAATTCTCTTTTGACGATGTTAATGGACAAAAGAAGCTCACAGAGGACGAAGTAAAAAATCAAAGTTTTCTATTTCTTTTAGCAGGCTACGAAACAACTTCAACTGTTCTCATATTTACTGCATACGAGTTGGCAAAAAACAAAAAAGTTCAAGCAAAACTACAAGAAGAAATTGACAAAGTTCCGGGCCCTTTTAATGCAAGTGTATTGGACACAATGCCTTATTTAGATATGGTTGTAAGAGAAGTGCTTCGAATGTACCCAGTTGCTTCTCCTCAAGTCAATAGAATGTGCCTAGCCGATACAAAGTTAGGCCCATATAACCTTAAAAAGGGAACAATTCTGCAAGCTAACGTATGGAAGATACATTACGATGAGCAGCATTGGGGAAGCAATCCGTACGAATTCGATCCAATGCGACATACGAAAGAAAATCGATTAAATCGAAACAATTTAGCTTTCCTTGCTTTTGGCGGAGGGCCAAGGAATTGTGTTGGTTTACGCTTCGCTCTTATGGAAGTCAAGTTAGCTCTTATTAGTTTGTTAAAAAAATATTCAATTGTAATGACTGAAAAGACTCCAAACAAAATTCCATTGAAAGAGGGAGCTGTTATTGCTCCAAAACAACCGTTACACTTAGAGGTCATTAAACGTTAAGACTTTTTACCAAGAAAAACTCTTATATATATATAACTAAAATACTTTCTACTATGACAAGGAAAAAGGTATTCCTTTTTCTTCTCTCATTTCGTAACAGGTTAATATCGCATCTATGGGCTGATTGACCTAACCTGCAAAAGTTCCTGAAGATACGAAATTATATTTCTAGCTGTTTGTGTTCAATAATTTCACTTCTTCTAAAATATTTCCGTGATTCTCTTTTTGCGAATAAATAAAAGTAAAAACAAAACATTAAACTATGTAAAAGAATAAACTCTTCTCATAAGCGATAATGATATTGTCTTTTACAAAATTTGTCTTTTGAAGTATTAAGGTCAGATATTGTTAAGACTCGCTTTAATCTTTAAGAGAGCTTTATTTTCTGTATTATATCACTCATGGAGAAAACAGAAAGAAATCGGTTAAGAAAATAAAAATTAAGCGCTTGTTTTTTCAAATCATCCACGGTTTAGCGCAAACGTAAATTGGAAAATGCCCTCTCGAGAGTCTGTTGAAAAAAAAAACAAAAAGTCAATATAAAGTTGAAATTGTTTAAATCTTAACAAGCCCAATGGCACACAGTCTATAAATATTATAAAAGATATATATTTTATATAAATTGTATATAGCATCTATAAACAACTTATATCATTCTTTATCTCTTTCTCCGCTGTTGAAACGATCAAAGAATTTTTGGTTTTTAGCCATGATTTATATAATTCTTAAGTTTCTTATGATCTCTTTAGAAGAGAATACGCAGAGTACTTGAAAAATAAAATCACATGATGCAATAAGATCATGTTTATCTAAATATCATGCACTATACCACATGAAGGCCTAATCTCTATGAATTTCGCAATTGGTCTTTTAAAAAACAGTCTATGACTAACTTGGTTTTTATAAATGGTTTTTAGGTACGAGAAACATGTCAATAACTCAAAATGGGAAATTTTTCTATACCTTAACGTCCCACGAGCATAAGAAGCCGTCATTGCCAGTAGTACAAAACTTTCCAACGTTTCCAACAGCCCCGGAATGTATGCTAATTTGCCTATAAAGTACAATAAAACAATGGTAGATTATTTTAAAATAAGGATCGGCCTAGATAGATGATTAAATAGAAATAGTTAATAAAAAAACGATTGTATTACTAACGTTATAGTATTTTGGTGGGTTGTCTTTAATTCCGTGACATTTCTCTCCGTTCTCTGCGAATCTAACTTTAAAAATTTATCTCTAGCGGAGACAGTTTTTTCACTATCATCGGTAGTTTCCTTTTCCAATTTAGTTGAAAATTTAATATTATTTCCATCATATTCGAATATCATCGGTACGCAATCGTGACCAGCGGACAGGATGCAATTCTCCGATATCCAAGTTAGAGTCATAAACGGAAGATACTCCGTCTTAATAGTTGCCATTCTATTTTTAGAAATATAAATAGTAATAATAAGACATTAGGACGACTTTGTACTTAAAATCTAAAAATAGATATAAAAAATTTTAATGTTTGTACATGTTTTTTTTTAGAATGAAATATTTTTCACAATTCAGATTGTAAATAATATTTTCTAAAAGTTTTAGTCAAAATTTAATTGGCTTCAAGCCAAAATTTTAACATAGGAATAATTCTTTAACTACTGATCGGAAAGATAATCATTTAACGAAAAATTGAAAATAGAAAGGATTAGGGAAGCAAAAAGAAGGGACAGAGACAGACAGACAGACAGATTTATTCAAAATATTTTTTATGAAGAATCCAAAACCAATAATAGTTCGACAAAGAGAAAAATTCTTTTACTTTGTATATATTTACAATTTATCAATATAAAATATCTTAAAGATTGAACAGTTCGGAGCAAAGTTTATTGAGTGCTTTCCTTTGACCGACCTAGATTATTTTTTTTTTACTGTTAGAAAAATTATATCATTGCAGTTCATGTTCAAACAATTTTTTTTTTTGGTTACAATTCCCAGGCAATTAATGACTATTTTCTTACAATCGGTTATAATTAGTAGAAAACCGACGATAGATGGAGTAATAGTATGGAAATAATGGAAAATTTGTACTTACGCATTTCCGTTAGAAGAATTGACAACAGAAATACTAGAATCATGCCCAACCCAGGCTAACTTATCACCAGCTGAGGAGAATGCAACAGCATGAACCCAACCACCTTTAACAATAAAATTTCATATGAGTAATAATGTTATACTAATTGTGATACAAAAAAATAGTGACCTCCTCCGTTGGAAAATTCGGCCATAACATTCCCAAATGGCATTTTTGTACCCCAGCTGAGGGCAGATGGTTTGCTTTCGATTTCCTTTACATAAGCAGAAAATACTCTATAAAAAAATTTAAACAATTTGAATAAAGATATTCAGCTTTGACTATCCATATGCTGTTGAGTAAACAAACCTTGCTTTAAAATCGGTTGAACCGCATGCAATTAAGTAGTTACTTGGATGCCAGTCGATACTGTTAAAATTAAAAAGATAAACTTAATCAATTTCCTGAAAATGATATGTAAAAAATTATTTATCTACCATGTAACAGTACTCCTAATTGGCTTTTTAACGTGTTTAGCAATCCACCAATCTCCTGTTTGGTCAAAATAACAAATTGCTATCAATCTAGCACCAGATCCAACCGCAATTTTATTCTCTGTTTGAAAAGAAATTAGATAATAAGTATATAAATTGTTTGGTTGTAAAATAAAACCTTGCGGTGACCAACGAACACAAGTGGCTGCTCGATTTATACGCAAAATAACCAATGTTGGTTTCCATCCGCCAGCTTGCCTAGTCCAAACATAAGCATTTCGATCCTAGATGAAAACATAATAAAAATTGTTTTTGTTTACATGGCTTATATATTAGTTATAAAAGTTTCCTTGTTTACTTACAACTCCACAGCTAACTATTCTATCAGAGTTTGCTGCCCAATCAACGTCAGTTACGCGTTGCACATGTTCTATCAATTTGTCATAAAGTTGCCATTTGCCAGCGGACAATTTAAAAAGATGAACTTCATGATTATTTGGCGATAAAGCAAGCTCTGTCGTAATAGTTTTTTAAATATTTTATCTAATTGAATTGTCACTTTATTTTACCGTTTCTAGCTTTATTGAATGTATGACAAGATATTGGCTGATAGCCAAAGCGATGCTTTTCAGGAGCCATTTCTTTATTCCGATTGCAAGTTAGTTCCTGGTTCGAAAAAAAAGAGTTGGTTGAAAATGGGAAACATAATCCATTTTAAACGATATTATTCGTCATGCGAATTGATATCAATAAATCTAGACCTCTAAAACAAACATCAATTTATATCTCTCATCAATTACCTCAAATTAATGTTCTTATATCACTGTTAAGCAAGTTTTTCGCGGACTCTGGTCAGTCTACACGAAAATTAGCCACTCCGCTTCCGGTCTCTCCCTTGTAAACTAAAACGGATTTCCCCATAATGACGTCACGAGAGGTTACCAACCCTATCAGAAATGTTCAAGGTTCAAAAATCCAAATGATATACTCATAACAAGCTTAAATAGAGAAGATAATCGAATCATACGACAGTTGCCATTTTAATCATCAGCTGAGAATGTCGAAATATTTTCTTTTAGCATTTCTATTTGTTGGATGTTGTGCTTTAAATGATAGACCTATTGTTGGTGAGTGAAGAACGCAATAGTTTTTATTATATTTATTAAAGATAAGATTTATATAATTAATAAATCCCTTTTATTCTTAGGTATTTTATTTCAAGAAGTTGACGACGAAGTAAAAGAATATGGAGAATCGTATCTAATGTCAGCTTATGTAACATGGGTTGAAGAATCAGGAGGACGAGTAGTTCCAATCAAGTAAAGTTGTTTATAAATATTTTGCAATTCATGATCGACACATAGAAATTGACCTTTTCCATTTTATTATAGAGTAGGGGAAGATGAGGCATACTACAAAGATCTATTCGACAAGATTAACGGGTAATATATACTATGACATTCTAAAATTTGAACTTTGCGTTATATTTTGTTATTTTTCCATTTAGGGTTCTTCTTCCGGGAGGTGCGGTAAGAATAGATAACTCAGCTTACGAAGTAGCTGCTGAATATCTCTACAAGTACGCTATCAAGGTTTGTTTCTAACAATAAGTCTGGTCACGTGGTAGTATACTGTGTAATAAATCCAAAATTTGTACCTACTTAACTTTAGAACGGGTCACCTTAGTTCAGTTTCATTCAACATGATTGAATATTAATCTTATTATTTAAGTGGATCTTTTTTCTTTTCAAAAGAAAAAATATTTAAAAATAATCAAACACTAGAAATTCTTTTCATATTTTCCTTATTTAAAATAACATAGGCAAATGACAACGGCGACTATTTTCCAATTTGGGGAACCTGCCTTGGAATGGAGGAATTAACGTTTCTAACAGCCAAAAAGGATATTATGACACAATGTAGTTCAGAAAACATTACAGTACCATTGAACTTTGTCAGAGGTTGGAATTTTCTATTATTTTATTTATAGAGGAAAGTTAAATAACTTGGACAAATCTTTACTATTTTAGATTTTAAAGAAAGCAAATTGTATAAAAATGCACCTGAAGATGCTATAAGAATATTAAAAAATGAGCATGTTACATCAAATTTCCATACCAATTGCATCACACCAAAAGTTCATGAAAACAACTATAAATTAAGTAATTTCTATAAAATACTCTCAACAAATATTGATAGACACGGAATAGAATTCGTTTCTAGTATGGAGGGTACGTAGACTTCTACAAAGTTATATATATCTTGTTTATTTGAAGAATTCTTAATAAATTTCAGCCTACGATTATCCAATCTACGGCCTACAATTTCACCCTGAAAAGAATAACTTTATGTTTTCTACCAATAAGAATATACCCCATACGTATCATGCAATACGCATATCTCAGTATTTCTCTAATTTCTTCATTAACGAAAGTAAATATATAACCATAGAATATGCTATGTAATTAATTAATATTTGCTTTTTTTTTATAATAGCACGAAAAAATAATCATAAATTTCCAACCATCAAAGAAGAAGCTGCTGCTCTTATTAATAATTTACGTACAATCATGCTGCCTCCTCCCGCCATGCATGAAGATTATTTCTTACCAATTAATAAAAAGAGTGCGACAGAAACAAAGTCGTCTTTTAACGACCGTAAGTCTTTTAAAAGTATACATTCCAAACTGAAAGTAGCCTAATACGTTCTTTGTTATTGTAGAATTTAGTTTAGGGACCAAAAAAGAAAGTCTGGTATCAATTGCTGGTGCTAAGTCGGTAGCTATTTGGATGGGTATTGCCATTTCTTGCATAGTCGTAATTGTACTCGTGCTAAAGATAAAGACTAGTCACGGGAAAAACACATCCGAATATGTTAAATTAAAAAGTGATGAAACTTTCTTATTCGGATCCAACGAGCAAAGAAGTTCATTGGCCTAGCTTTAGAGGCTATTATCCAAATAATTTTTTACACTGAAGATTACTATGTATAGTAAATTTAGTGTTTGTTAACTACATCAGGTTTATTTACTATATTTTAGAATGTATGTTTTATGCTATTTTTATGTGAAATAAACTCTTATTCAACTCTTATTCTGTGATATCTAAATAAATTTACACGAAATATTTTTCATCAAAAACCAAAGGTTGTATTGATTTAGCTTTCAACGTTTTAAGTTCTTAGAAGGTACCAGTACCGGCCCAGTTGGTGGTGGTTTGTCCTTGTGGGACAGACCAGTCATCATTGGCGGCAGCACCCCAATCTTCAGTTGTTGCAGCATATCCTACTGGGTTAGCGGTCTTAAGTGGAACTGGTGGCACATCTTGCGACCAATCTTGTACTTGGGTGGTTTCGATTGGTTCTGGGTTCCAGTCAGGTTGAGCCTCATCCTTTCCAGTAGTCTTGTCGGGCAAAGCGGCCTGTTCGTCCTTTTCATCTTCAGCTGGATCTCTGTAGAAGAAAAGATCGACCATAACATCCCATGGTTGTTCTCTAGAGATAGAGCCACGGAGACGAAGAACTTCTCTTGCCAACATCCACCACATAAGACCAGTAGAGTACTGACTTTTGTTGTTGCATGGGATAGCGATGTCAACATGTCTGATTGGAGAATCAGTATTGCAGAAAGCAATAACTGGGATGTTGACGTAGCTAGCTTCAGTTACGGGTTGGTGGTCAGTTCTGGGATCAGTAACAACGAGCAATCTTGGTTCTCTGAAAGCAGCCTGGATCTGATTGGTAAAGGCTCCAGGAGTGAATCTGCCAGCAATGGCGGTAGCTCCAGTGTAGGCAGCGAATTTCAAGACGGCACGTTGTCCATAGGGTCTGGCTGAGATAACAGTTACATCAGCTGGGTTTTCAATTGCAGCGATGGCACGGGCAGCCAAGAGAAGCTTTTCCCAAGTTTTGCGCAAATTGATAATGTATACAAGATCGGTTTTTCGCTTGTAAATGTATTGTTCCATTTGGAAGTCTACATTGGTGGTACCAAGATGAGCTCCACTAGCCAAGAACTTGGTTACGTCATCTTCTTTTAAATTTAGAACATCTAAACCTCCGGACATCTTGTTGAATATTTGCAATCGGCAATCAACCTATAACATTAAAATAATAAGTACAACGAGCACAAAAATATATACTTTTATATAATTCGGCTGAGTGATTTATTTTAGAAAGTCTGCGTACTTTTGTTAGTATTTATGTTTTAATATCGATAAGGATATTATAGTTTAGTTTAGTTGACTTTATAAACACATGCTTCTCGTGTCTGTAAAACATGGCGGCGTGGCGACTACGGAACCGAAAGAGTTCAATTTTTTAACATAAAATTAATTTTTAACCAAAGATTTTAATATAAAATCATGTGAAATATATTTAGGATAAATCTATGTCGTCGAAGTTTGTCTTTTAATTGACTTAAAGTAGTAAATCTTTGAAAACTTACAGTAACACGTGAGACGCCAAAAAGAGGAGAGATAAAAGGAAGGACCGTTGACGTTTCCGGTTGAACATTATTTTTATTTTTTAAATAGTTTGTAAATTATAACAAATAAATTTATTTTGCATAAATTGCATTTAAAAACAAAATTTTTAATTAGATTTTTTTTTATAGATGTCGCTTATGTAAACTCAACAAAAACTGGTAGTATTATTGCGCTAATTTGAATTTTTAGAAATACTAAAAGTCTTATATCACGAGAACGATGACTCAGTAATATTTAATACAATAAACAGTAATAGAGTACTAGCTCTGTTCCAGTCTAAGCATCCAATATTTTTTTTTGTCTATTTTATCTAGTTGAAATTTAAAAAAGTGCATTTTTATGTTGTATAAATTCTTCGGTTTTTAGTAAAATATTGTATTATCTCGAAACTAAACTTTCGAACTGTACTAGACTTTAACCCACAAATTCTTCTTTCAATTTCCATATCCCATTTCTTCTTGGGTCCCTTTCAAAAACGCAGACTTGCCTTAACATAGCCTTAAATTTCGCATTGTCTTGTTTGCTAATTCGATCTCTGAATTGTTGAACTATTTCGTCTGTAGTAGCTTGTCCATCGATGCTTGCGCCAAATGACACAAAAATTCTAATATCATCAAGTAGCTCCTTATCAGCATTAGATACTGAAGTTAACTCTTCTTTGACCAAGTTTTCTTCGTCCAATTCATCTTCGCTTTCCTGCATTCTAAGATTTCGAGCTCTCATCTGAGATAGAAGGAAATTCGACGACATAGGCTCATTTAGTTTATTATCGTCTAGTTTGCTACTTCCTGCGATCCCACCACTAAAAGTTGGTTCTGAATTGCTTTTAACTAGTTTCTCTGTTTCTGCTTTTTTACCGAATCTCTTAAGAGGTGGAGCTCCAGCAGCACCGCTTTTTCCAGTCCAAGTAGGAGTTCCTATTGACGCAAGTTTACATCTTGCCCTTGACTGCTTCAAAACTTTAACTGCTTCTCGAGCCACTCTATTTGCTTCATTTTCAACCAGCATGTAGTCAGGATTGCTGGCTCCAACAATTTTATCGTGACGCATGGCTGTGTGTACACCGGATCGCTTAAGTAATTTCTGAAGAACATAATCATCTTGATCAGTAGATTTTTGTGTAGTTTCAGTAGAAGACTGCTGCTTATAAACACGCTTTTTAGCTAGATAGTCAATTCGTTCGCCGTCAATTTCTGAAGATTTAAACACAAGCTATTGTTTAAGAAAACAAAGAAAAATTATTTATTAGTACTAACTTGCGTCTTTTCTCTTTTTAGCTTTTGGTTTTTTCTGTAATTTAATTGATTCAGCTTTACTACATTCAGGTTCGTCTTTTGATTCTTCCTTACTATTAGTGTTTTCTGCCATTTTTTCCTCTAATTTCTTACTCCAGTATTTGGCTAATTTCCTTAGTTCTTTCAATTTCTCCTCTGGTATATCGCTTTTCTCATTACTTTCACCAGGAGTTTCGTTTATTATACCTTCATTATCTATAAAATCTTCTTCACTGAATTTCTTTTCCTTCCGAATTTCATCAAAACGATTTTTCTTTTTTGCCTTCAAAATACTACCGGTGCCAGCAAAGATTGCCTCCGTTTCACTGATTCCTTTTATATCATCTGTAAGCGTAAATAATTCATGCATATCATTCTTTTTGAAGAATCTTCTTTGCTTTGGATCTTGTAAAACTCTATTTGTGAGAAACTGTTTAAAAATTTGGCGATGATATATTTTCTCTTCAATTGTTCCTGTTGTTAATAACCGATATATTGTTACATCTTTTTGCTGACCGATTCTCCAGGCTCGTTCTCGTGCCTGAGAATCCGTTGACGGATTCCAGTCGGGATCGAAAATAATCACTCTGTTTGCCCCCGTTAAGTTCACTCCAAGTCCACCAACTCTTGTTGTTAGAAGGAATATGAATATAGACTGATCGCTATTAAATTTCGAGATGAGTGTTTGACGTGATCCAATGTTAGTCGTTCCGTCCATTCTCATATACTTAAATTCTTTATCTTTAACATATTTCTCCAGAATGTTCAGCATTTGCCTGCTTTGAGAAAATAATAAAACTCTATGTTCCTGCTTGTACCAAAGCTTTAGTAAAGATTGCAAGACTATCATTTTGCCAGATCGTTTATAGTATCCATAAGATAAAGCGGTAGGGTTTTCTTCAGCTTCTTTTGGATGAGTTTGTGGATTTAATCCTCCAGTTGATATGTCAGGATGATTGCAAATTTTTCTAAGGGTAATAAGACCAGGGAACGGCATAAATTCTCCTTTCATAATCATTTGACATTCTTTAGACTCAAGATATTCTTTGTAGATATCTCTTTGATAGGGAGATAATCTACAAAAAAGTACTTGTTCATTTTTTTGCGGTAGCTTGATTGATCGATTGACGTCTGATTTCATTCTTCTTAACATATAAGGACTAATAGTATCTCTTAAAATACAAGCACATCTATAAGCTGCTTCAACTTCAAATTCATTAGCGGTTGAATAACCTCCTTGAGCAATTGGAACGTTAAAGGTCGACATAAAGTCCGGAAGTGTTCCTAATTTTCCAGGAAATATAAAATCGAACAAACTCCATAATTCTTTTAAGTTGTTTTGTACGGGAGATCCTGACAGAATAATTCGATGAGGAGTTTTAAACTGTTTGCATATGATTGTTATTTGAGCATCAGGGTTTCTTATTTTATGGCCCTCATCAAGAACAATATAATGCCAGTGATGTTGTTGTAAGATTTCTTGATAGATTAGGAGAGATTGATAAGAAGTGACTATTAATCCTTGACAGGATACAATTTTACGAACAAGAGCAGCCTAAAATTATTTGAATATATACTCTTTCTTTTAAAGATATTCAATAATTTAGTTTAATAAACCTCTGTTGTAGAATAGCTTCCAGATGAATGTAAAATAGCTACTCGAAATTTAGGCCACCATATATGTACTTCCTTAACCCATTGATGTAGAACAGTTGCTGGACAAACAATAATGGATGGGCCTAAACCTTGAAATCTATTAAATGAAGTTAAAATTTTTAGTAAATATCATAGAAATTTTCACAGTAATAACCTGGCTATTCCATTGGAATTTTTAGCATTTGTATAATCAAGACCAGCTAGAAAAGATATTATTTGGATCGTTTTTCCTAAACCCATCTCGTCTGCTATTATACCTCCGGTTTGCTGAACGTGAAGTTCCCATAACCACTTTACACAAGTCTTTTGATAACTATATTAGACAAAGTGCTATTAAAGTTACGTTGTTATTGTTCGGTTTTAGTCATTTTACTCGTATAATTTATTCCATAGCTTTCTGCAGATTTTATATCCGCCAGAGAATTTTATGTCATCTTCTTCTGTTTCATCATTTAATTCATTCTGTTCTTGTGTTTCCTTCGCTTCGCAATCTCTGAGAAATTTAACATAAGAAAATAGCATTAAAAATTTCTTATTGTCAAAGATTCAAGGTGAAAATATTTACTTGAGTCTTTCCTGAAAATAGTATTCATCGCCGTCATCTATGGCCAAATTCAATTCGCCATTTATAAGGTATTTAGAACGTTTTGGAGGTACTCTTGAATGATTACTATAAATTCCTCCTGAGCGGCATCGGGCCTTTTTAATTTTCCTTTTTTCTAGAAAAAAGTATAAGTTTTATTTTGAAGGAAGAATTGTAAAGCTGTCCTAAGCTTGTTGTAAAATATGGATTAGATATATCTGTCTTGTCGAATGAGAAGAATACGTTCAATTTTTTTTTATAAATAATAGAAACTAGAGAGTTTTGAAATGTGTAATTGTTTTTATTATATGAAATAATCTTTGTTTTGAGTTATTTTCAAAATACACTTTGCACACTTGTTTGTATACTAAGAGGAGCTTCAACATACTTTTTAATGAGCTCCATGCATCATCATCGTTATCTGGGGACTCATCACTTGGAGCAATAAATTCTTCATCAGAGTATCCTGTATTATTTTTAATTCTAATATGTTTACTATGGCCTGCGTAATCAATCTTTGAGCCAGCAATTTGACTCTTTCGTTTCATTTTTAATTTTTTTAAATTTTTTACATCTTTCTTCAACTTTTTATTAATTTTATCTGAAATTGTTTCAGGAGTTCTGTTTTTGGATGCCGTCCACTCTTTAACGTTTTTAACACTTTTATCTAGGGCTTTTTTTGCAGGAGACACTGTCTGTTTTCCTTTAGTTCTGGCCTTCTTTAATTGGTCCTGAAAGTAGCTATGTAAGCTGTTGGATGATCCAGGACTGTCCTTTTTTAGTATCTTTGTTGAATCCAATACGGATGTACCAAAAGGGGTAATTTCTCCAAGTCGTACTCTTCTTTCAAAGTCAGTCTCCTTAATGCCGCCCATACCTAGAACTTTTTGCAAAGATATGTCTTGAGATGACTTCTGTTCAGGTTCCTTAACGGCGTTAAGTTTTTGGTTCAAGAATTTCAGTTTTTGTCCAAGTTTATTGCAAGACGTTTTCTGTTGTTTATAGAAAAAGCTCGTTAAGTCTTAAAAATAATGAAAATAGAATTCATACTGTTTCATCAAGTAATTTATTATCATGCTTCTTCTTAGCCACTTCAATATCCTGCTCGGCAGCTCTACACGATTAAATAATAAGTAATTAGGACTATTACGCAAGATTTGTTTGAAATTTACTCTAGTTTATCCCGAGTTTGTTGGATTTCTTCCTGGATCTGTTGTTCTTCAACTCTTTGCATAGCATCGTCAATTTGTTCCAGAACTCCCTCTTCAAATTGCTGTTGATCGTATACTTCAAGTTCCAGGTCATTCAATTCTTCATTTCTCTCATCCTTTGGAATTGCTCTTATTAAACTGGGATTTACACTAAAGTTTATAGACTTTGTCTCTTTCTGTGGTTGATTCTCAGTTTCCTCCATGGTTAATTATCTATTTAGTGCTATTTTATCAAATATACTGCGTTTGAAGAATGTAAGAAGGTTGTGAGTTATTACTTAATTCATTGAAATCGACCATGACAAAAACTTGGCAAAACATTCCATAGTAGTTTCGTAAAAAACAACACGGGTATTTATAAAGAAAATATTGTCGGAATACTACTCCATTTTCAAAAAAATCGATGATTATTGACGGTGAACTGGTGCCCTATTAATCATAGGCTGAATTCATCTCGCTATCCGTTTTTCGCGACCAAACTGGTCACATCGTCGACTGCACTTAAATTTTATAATGAATTATTAAGTAATCAAATTTCAAAAATATATTCCAGAGAAATTGTCGCAGTATTTCGGAAGAAGAAAAATCTTTTGGAAATGTAGGTATTGAATCACGTCAAGTTGCTTTGAATAGGCCTGTAAAAATGTATGTATTCCAAATTGCATAAATCAATGCGTAAATATAATTAAATAAATATAAATATATAGATAAAAAAAATAGCTGTTTATTTTATAATAAAATAGTTGCTTTAAAAGGTCAGGCTGTAAAGAATATTTTTGGAATAAATGTCTAATCAAGGAAAAAATATATTAAACTAAATATGGATCGTCTGCACGTGAATTAGAATATGCATAAATAATAAAGGAACCAAAGAATATTACTAATAAATACAAAAATATTAGCATAATTTAAAAGAAAATTAACCTTTACCTTCAAATTACATTCCGTAAACGGAAATGGCTTATTTATTTATAGGTTAAACTAGATAAATCTTAGTGACAAAAATTTTCATGATATACTAATAGTACAGTTTCGAATATTATTCGTTATAGAACGTTAACTTGATATATTTTATTCGAATATTTAATAATTTTAATCATTAATATATTTCTATTTATAGATTAATATAAACTTTTTTAATTCATATTTTTATTTAGATTTTGCAGAATTCCTGTCGTATTTTCTAAAACAGCCAAATCATTAAAGCAGAACTCTTTCACAATGGCCGATGGTATGTTCTTAATTATCGATTACGAAATAAATAATAACAATAATATTTTAACTAATTAAATATTTATTTCTATTAGAAAATGGGGAATTGAACGGTGGTAAAAATATATCGGAAATGTCATCAATTGAGTTGGCTATGAACTATAAAAAGAAACTGTCGAAGAGATTAAAAAATATGGAAGAAGAATCAAATCAAGACGGTGAAGAAGAGACGAAATCTTTAAAACAGGAAGATTTGCCTAGTAAAATACAGGCAGAAAAAGTAAAAGATGAAGATCCACCTGCAAAACCCCAAGTTACTAAAAAGCGACAACGGAAGAAACCCAGAAAGCGGAAATCCTCATATTTATTACCGGAAGAAGTTGAAGCAAGAGCTGTTGTAGAACGTTTGAAAAAGAGGCCTCAAAAGAAACCTGTTCCAACAGTCCGGATAAATGGTTCAATTAAGAATCCTCTCTCGTTAGAAATTTGCCAAAAAACCTCAGACATCAAGATTGAAAGACCTTTGAAAGAATACGATAATATGACTCCTTATGCGTGCACTTTTTGCCAAAATAGAATACTTGAGGAGATTGCTCAGTACCAAGATGTCTTGTACGGACCTTATCGTGTTAAAGACAAAGAAATTTGGTTTCATGACGAATGCATCGTATGGGCTACCGGTGTCTTTCTCCTAGACAACGGGAAGTTAGTTGGCTTAGAGGATGTAATTGAGGAAAATAGATCGTGCTCAATTTGCAATCGAACAGTAGCTTCCGTTCCCTGTGTTGAACGTTTCTGTAAAAACGTCTTCCATTGGCCTTGTATTAAAGAACATCATAATGATTTCAATATTGATTATGACCAATTTGTGGTTAAATGTTCTCGTCATTAAATAACACAACTGTGTAAAAGCTAAAGTTGATGTTTAAAACTAGTGTTTGTATGTTTAACAAAAAACAGGAAACACTTTAGGAAAAAATTTGTCGTTGTTTACTGGCATTTTTTCTTGTCAGGGAGAAAACCTGTAGTTTTATCTTTCGTTGTACAAAAAAAATAAAGAAAGACTAATATTCACAAAATAAGTAAGCATTATTTAGTATTGAATTATCAATAGGCATTTTTTTACGAAGGACCCATATGATAGATGGAGTATTCGCTTGTGTTGTATACCTCTCTTTACTGCCGCAATATTCATATTGGCCAAAATTCTTCCATTTGGCTTGAAAAACTACTTGTAAACTAAAAGCGACCTTTATTTCATACTTTCAGGATGTTTAAAGGTGAAGAAGCGAAGCCTACACTGTCAGACGAGGAGGCTGGTGAATTACTGCAAGAGTTGTATGGAATTGTTGAAGCCAAGCTCGATCCTTTAAGCAGTTTTGACGACTGTAACTTTCGTGTTTCTAATGGGAAACTTACCAAAGAGAGCCATTTAAGTTATTTCAAAGAAAGTGGATATGTCCTGAAAGTAATGAATACATTAAATTCTTTGAACCTGGATCACATTGGTGAGTAATATTTAATTCAATGGTAATCATATATTTATAATTACTAATAATATATATTTAGATGGTGGACATCAAGTGATGATTGAATTGCTAAAGCATGGAATGAATGTTCCGGAACCAATCACACAGAAAACTGGTTCTTACTATTGTTTGAAAAACATAAATGGAAACATTCATGCAGTTTACTTACTTACTTATCTTGTTGGAGATCTGATGGAAAGTTCTGTTTGTACTGAAAAGTTGGCATACAGTTGTGGTGCTACTCTGTCTCACTTTCACCTATTATTGGTTGACCTGAAGAATAAAGGTATAGAAACTGCTGGCAGGCCATGGTCCCTTTCTAATTTAGAAAAAATGAGATCTTATCTCGATTTCGTTGATGATTTGGAAGAGAAAAAGATGTTAAGATTTATACATGATATTTTTATGGAAAAGGTTAAATCCATTGAAGACATGTTGCCACATGGAGTAACACATGGAGATTTCAATGATCACAATATAATTTGCAAGAATGATGAAATAGTGGGCGTTTTTGATTTTGGAGAGTGTGCGAGGGAGCGTTTAGTTTACGATTTAGCCATATGTATGTTTTATGTAATGATAGGTAGTAAAAGAAATGAAATCAAAGATTGGCTAAAATTTGGTAAACATGTCATTAACGGTTATCAATCAAATCGTAGGCTTGAGGAATTAGAAAAGAAAGTCTTATCTTATTGTGTGTTGGCGAGATTCTTTCAAAGTTTTGCTGAATACTGGAGATTGTTAAAAACTAATAGACTTGACTCTTATACTTTTACAATAACACATCGTGAAGCAATACCCAAACTAAAGGATATTTTGGAGCTGGGAATTGACGCTACAGAAAAGCTTTGGTTTGAGTAATCGCTATTAAATAAGAACTAATAACAAATTAAATTGCCAATATTTGGATTAAACATTTCACTATTGCTAAAACATCTAAATAATCTTAATAACACGTGACTATTAATTATGATGCGTTTTCAATTTGGCAATTAGCCGAAGAATAGTACAGAATATTATACTGTATACTTTATATATATTTGTATCTTAAGTTTAGAATTATATAACTCTAAAAGATTATAAATTAGAATTATTAACCCCATTAGGCTTAATTAAATATATAGCATAGACAATAGGATATTACACAATGTCCTAAAATCTGTTTTATAATGCAAATATAATTATAATTGTATATCTTCTTTCTTATAGCATCACTAATATTGATTTTAAGCCAATCGTCTTGTTAGTAACATTGAAAATTCATCCGTTCAAAGGTCCATTTGCACGTAAAAGAGGATTGATATTGAAAAAACTTATCAAATAGATATACAGTATTTATCTTATTCGAATATCAATTGCTAGCCACAAGAATATTCAAATGGAGAATATTCAATCAGCAAAACCAATTGTTGATCATAATGTTGTTAAAAACCTATTGGAAAGTTTGTACGACCTCGCATTGTTATCAATTCAAAATTTAGATAGTCAATGCGATTGCAATTTTAAGGTTTTCGTTGAGAGAAAAGAGACATCTGCTAGAAATGGCAAAACTTCACGAGACGGTTATATTTTTAAGATTTTGAATACTGTTGATTCCGAATTATCTGATCATATCGGTAGGTCGACTGTATTTGCAATTCCAACGCATTCTGTATTAAAAATATGTGCATACTTATATTAACTTTTACTTATTAAATTAGAAGGCGAACATATTATGATGCATGAGCTGGAAAAACATGGAATAAGTGCACCGAAACCGATTCCCCAGGTAACGGGAAAGTTATGGAGTATAGAAACTATAAACTCCAAGAAACATTTGGTTCGCCTACTCACTTTTCTCCCAGGAACTTTACTAAAGGATGTTTCTTTTACCGATAATTTGGCCAATAACTGCGGAACTTATTTAGCTACTATACAAAATATATTACGTAATATTAATCATGAAGGTTTAGAAAGTTACGAAAGAGCTTGGAGTCTATCTTTCATTAGAAAATACGATATATTCATTGAGGCTGTTAGAGACGAGAAAATAAAAGCTATTCTTGGAATGATAAAAAATGAGTTTATTAAACAAGTATACACAGTTCAGGATAAATTGCCTAAGGGACCAATTCACGCCGATTTTAATGACCAAAACATTCTGATAGAAAACGAAACTGTAACAGGTATATTCGATTTCGGGGACGCTCAAAGTGCCCCATACATCTACGACTTGGCGATTTGTATATTTTACCTAACAATTGAATGCAAAAGGGATAAATTAGAAGATTGGCTTCAAATTGGAAAGAGAGCTTTGGAAGGATACGAGAAAATTCGAAAGTTAAAGGATATTGAAAAGAAAGTGTTACCGTTGTGTATTTTAGGAAGATATTTACAAAGTATATCTGCCGGCTGGTGGATGAAGACTAATGATCCAGAAAATGAATACGCCACTATGATGAAAAATAATAAATATTGCGAGCAGCAATTAATCAAATTAGTAGAGTTAGGTATAAATAATTTGCAAGATATTTGGTTTGGAAATTAATTAATAAATAAATCATTTTATCTAATAAAAAATACATATACTTGTAGTTAAATTCTCAATAAAATCTGTATTAATACAAGTACAGTATATACATTAGTAAATATACGTATGTATTGTGCATTTATTTATCAATTTAACATATATTCATTAAGTAAATCTAACATTGAATACATTATGTATATATACAATATGTAGGCTTAACATGGATAATTTCATCAATTCGTTTTTTTCATCATCACCAAGTTCATTATCAAGTATTCATTCTCAGTTTACAATCTGACCAATAGGGGGATATAAAATAAAAACTAGCAATTAGCACCTGAGATAAAAAAAAAATTAATTTGTCTATATAGTTTTGTTCTTTTTCTTTCAAACAGGATATTTTTCATTTTCATTGCTTGACAAAGGATTTGAGAAACTAGTTGAAGTGGTTATAGGTTTTACATCTATAAAATTGTCGTAGTCTCCATTTACACCATTTGTTACCATTGTATCATTGTTTTTCTTTAAGTCAAACTTGGAATTTAGATCAATATTTTCCAATTTTCTTCTCTCTTCCGAATCAGACAAGAATCTTCTACAAGATTGCGGCCTTTTTCGCTTATTTGAACCTGGAGAAGGCGCTAGTAGTTGTTTATCTGGAATATTGTTGAGGACGGAGGTAGATGAAAGTCGACGAACATTTCTCTTCGATTTCATCTTTTTTCTCCATTCCATTTCTCCTTCCAAAAAGTACGTTGTCATCTCACCTTTACCTTTTATACTGATTGGACCCCTTTTGGTAATCTCATAACCACCAAGTTTATCTAGTAACGTTGAGCAATCTTCACTCATATGAATTTTCATAGCTGTTAAAAAGATTAATCTATTTATCTGATTATAAAAATAGATTTATAAGAAAGATAGAATTTTGGAAATTCTGACAATTTCAATATACTAATGTGATCATAAATAATAATAGGGTTTTTTTTTTACAGTAGAGAGTCATAATTAATTACGAATGATGTTTAAATCAATTCGTTGTTGTCTCAATGTCTTCTTTACGTAATTCAAATCATATCAATAGCAGGAAAGATGGGGGGATAGAAGGAAGATACAATTTTTTAAAAACTAAAACAAAACGGAAATTTAATATGAAAAGAGCTTACGCAATCCATTAGATTCCATTCTCGAGGCGACATTCACTGTATCACCAAATAGACAATATCTAGGCATTCTATGTCCAACAACACCAGCCGCAGCTGGTCCGGAATGAATACCAATTCTCAATTGAAGAATTTCATCCCAATTCTTTCGTTCATGTAGAGAGCACGAATTGAAAGCTTGCAGTAATTTTAAAGCCATCGAAGCTATTTCAGCAGCATGATTATCACCATTCCTTTCAGGTAGGCCAGAGACTACCATATACTATAATAATAAAAAAAAGAAGCATATAAAAAGGAGGATGGGTGGAAAAAAATTGGGAGAATAGGTAATACAAATTAGCTGATAATATAGACGTAAAGTATACATTATACTGCACTATAAAAAAATTACTCTAAATTTACGAAATATTTCCATCAAAAGAATTATCAAGCAATACTCCCATAAAACGTAAATTACTTTATACGTTATCTTTTGATTATATAAGCCAAATATGATATCATACTATTTAATATCTAGGTGTATAATATATCAAACCATCAGTTATCATTGCTTACAGTAAAATTTGTCCGTACAGACCATTTTATATTTATTACTATTAATAAAAAACAATTAATTTTAATAATGATAATAGTAATAATAACGATAATTTAATACAGTGTACCTAAAATATGAATAATCTTTGTATATCATTTATATTTGAGATATAAGGATGTGTGTACGTAAATAGAACGTGTTTAACACAGTGGTTTTAGGCCTGTTAGACAAGTAGCATTGACTGTGGTTAAACGGTTAAGATCAGTAGATTTTAAATAATTTGTCTTTAATCTAAAACACGACCGAAACTGTTATTTGCTACTGAAATAACCATTGGATTCGTTTCATCTCTTTCTTTAATTTTACTATTAGCTTTCTCTCACTTCATATTTTTTTTCTATAATTGAGGAAAATAACTAGTACGAAGATACTCACCGCATCTCCTATCGTTTCCACCTTATAGACGTCGAATTCACCGATAACTGAATCAAATGAAGAGTATAAATCGTTTAAAATATGAACTATTTCCATTGGAGTATGTCTAGATGCCATTCTGGTAAAGCCTACTATATCTGAAAAGAATATAGTAACGCAGGAATATTGTTCAGGTAGAACTTCGTTAGTTCTTTTTAATTGTTCGGCAACGCTCCTTGGCAGCATTCGTAAGAGTAACGCTTCACTCCTCTTTTTCTCTTCAGTCAGTTCTCTGGTTCTACAGGCAACGATATTTTCTAAATTATTTGCATGATTTTCCATTAAAGATATCATATTATCATAAAAATTCGACTTTAATCCTTTTCTTAATGGCTTTAGCTTGTTGTAAATTGTTTTAAAGTCTGGCCTTTCGTACGATATATCTGACCAACAATCTTCCATACACAGTTTAACACAATTAGGTAAAGGTTTATCATCGTAAAAAGTCAAATCTGGCTTCAAATTGTTTTCCATTATTTGTCTAATGATCTCCTGACTATGTAAATTGTAACTTTCAAATGGCCATAATTTGCTATGAATTTCGTGTAGAATTATACCAAAGGCGTAAGAATCTACTTTTTGAGAATTCCTTAAAGTGGGACAAGATAAAACTTCTGGTGGAGTCCAGAATAGTTTGACGGCATCTTCTTCACTTAACTGATCTAAGAAAGAATAATCTCGTGAGGCTGATGATGTTCTTGGCTGATGTGAACTTTTAAACGAATCAAGGGAAAAGTCAGTTATTCTCAGAATCCATCTGGAATCGATTAAACAATTCGTCGATTTTAGATTACCATGAGCTCCAATTTCGCTGTCATGTAGATAGATCATACCCTACGTATATAGAAAAGGGAAAATTAAAAATATACAAAACAAAAACTCCATCATTAATTATTTTCATTATTATTATAATATATATTAAATCCATTATTATGTAAGAGGATAATGGGGCGTGATAGGGGAGGAAAAAGGTGAGGGGAGGGGGCACGGGGGGTGGAGGATGGGGATTGTAGATTTTTCTACTTATTCAACATATTATACTGTACTAATTTAAAAACAATAAAGAGAATAATGCATTTAAATAATATCAATTAAACTGAGTTACAGCTTATTTATGATCCGCAGAGCATTGATAAAACAATAGTATAAATAAGATAAAATGAAATTCTCATCTACAATTCTAACGTTACAAATGTGCGTGTGAGACTCTAAGTGTCAAAAATGATATATAGTGTACTGTATTAACTATAAAAAAGTTTTAATAACCTAAATACTGAATATTAGCCGTATATCAAATTTGAATAGTACGTAGAGTATAACAAGCTGTACAATTTGTAATGTATAAGAACTCTAGTGGCATATAATTAGGAGGTTATTTCCAATTAGGTCTACACTCGATTTTAATTAGGTTAATTTGATTAAGTTTGTCTCTGATTAAGGGCGAAGTGTATTGGAAAGAATAGAGAAATTAGTATTTCTCCCTATGCTATTTGTTATTGTTTACTATATTTAGCTTGGTATTTAAAATAGAGCTTACCTTTATCAAATCGGATACTAAATTACATTTAAATAAGTCGTCGAAGTTGATATCGCTATCATCCAAAACGTTTCTTAGTGATCCCCTTTGGCTATAGGCGCTCACCAGAAGAACTTTGCGAGGTATATCCAAACAAACACCAATAAATCTGTTAAGATTATCATCTTGAAGGTGTTTGAGCTCGTGCATTCTCTTTTTGAAATTTCTCGTTATCTCTAGATCTTTGTAAGCGTAAATTTCTTTAATAGCCACAATGTGACTCCTGTAACTTGCTACTTTGCAAAAGAACTTTTTTGAATCGCCTTTGATATTTTGGTTAGTGTCATTTAAAAGTTTTGTGAAATCTTCTACGCTTTCTTCTTCCTCTTCAGTAGCGTCTAATAGACAATCATCATTTGTATATGACATTTTCGACTGTTTCCTAGAATCTTTTGATATTGGAGTTCCGTTAGAATCTAGGAAAATCAAATCTTTTTGATGTATTTTCCACATAAGTTTGCCTAAGGCTTGTTCGTATCGATAGTGGCGTATTGCAAATATAAGCCCAACCAATAAAAGTAAGGATACACCCAAAAGAGAGCTGAGAAGGAGCCAATCTACAAATTATTAGTGTACTTAGTTCATATTTAGATTGAGGAGGTTGTAATTTCGTTAAAAGACCCATAGTCCGATTGTTTTATTTCCAAAGCAATGTTACGCTTCACAGTTAATTTCGAATGGCATCAATTTGTTCTAGTTTATCTATTTTCCCGATTATGGAAATAGAAATCAGCTTTAGAGAAATATGCTACTTATTTATGGCTCATTCATTATCTTATCCATTAAACCAGTTATCTTATCTCTCTCACTCAATCGGTTTACATAAGCGGTCACAAAATTTAGATGGATAGAGTAGCAATAACGTGTATATCTTTGTACTATTCGAGTATACAAACCATTTGTTTAATAGAAAAAAAGATACTAAAGCTTTTCGAAGTACAATTTATATTTAATTATATATTATCCTTTTAATAAAATTAAACGCTCTACGGAGATAAAGAATGAGTGTAAAAGTTTAAAAAGGAAATTTCATTGTCTTTTACATTATCTACTGTCTATAAGAAAGATTTAATAGCTAAATAAATCTATTATTACATTCTGATAAGTGTTCTTTTTAGTTTAAATTAATGATAACCTTGAAAAAAAAACAATATAAAGTCCATTTTTTATGTTAAGAGGAAGGCGAAATAGTTTTTACTACAGTAGCTTTCATCTAACTATTTGTCTGAGTGTTTTCCGCTCTGTTTTCCACATTAATTGTTGATTTGATTTTTTAGACTTTTTTATAGCAGTTTACATAAGCCATTAGGGTTTGTTTGTTTGTAATTTTTTTTTTAAAAAAACAATCAAAACCAAAAAAATATTTTTTTTCTTCCATCATAAAAGCGCCAAAATAATGTTTCATTACTAATTACTATAAAGTAATTGTCAATTTTAAAGACCAAAAAGAAAATATAGTGTAATGACGCAAGCTATTTAGGATATATTATATTTAATAGCATAAAATATACTATATACATTAAACAGATGCTGTCCATCCATTCTTATTTAGATACATTTAGTAAAAATATAGGTAATATTTATTGGTTGTAAAAATGCTTTAATAGATGATCAATCAATAGATAAAATAAAATTCATTGATAAAAGTCTCTATTTCTCTATATGTCTTGCAAAGTCAACTTGAACAATCATTTATATTAAATTATTAAAACTAGGGCTTTTGTCTATTAAGTATTGTTTTATATAGTATAGGATGAAAATATATATATACAGTTAAATTCTCTGAATATATTGTATATGTAAAGAAAAATTGGAATAGTTATTAGGTTCTTATTTTCCTATATAGTTTACTAATATAGTAATGGATACTATTTTTATTACTGATGGAAAAATAAATTATCTACATCTGTTACAGAGATGAACTTCTTATATATTACCTGATTGTTTGTAAACTCTGTCAAAAAAAACCGTTTTTATGCGAATATAAATACCTTTAATTAAAATATTTATAAAATAAAATTATTGGAAAAACTTGACAGATTTTTTATCAAATAAAGAGGTATATTAAGAAGAGAAGGATGATAGTATGTGGTAGTACAGAAATACTGTATGCAGTATATATACTGTACATATCGTATGTAAACGTTCAAGTCTATTAAGTGAAGAGAGAAGAAAAGATACGGGTCTTTTATATTTTTAATACCACTGCTTCTCTCTCTCTCTCTCTCCTTCTAAATTGTTTACCACGGTGTGTTGATTTTTAAAAAAATATTATTGAATTTAACTATCATTAGGACAGACGGTCTTTTAACGAGTGTTGCTCATATTTTTTCAAAATACGTATGTAATATTGATTTTGAATAATTAAAAAACAAAAATTCTTTTTCTACTTAATACTTACTGGTTTCGAATTGACATTTTTCACCTTTAAATCCACACTTTGGATCGGATATTGGAACTCTACCGCCAGCCCATACTATTTGATTTTCTATTGAAAATTCCTAAAGAAAAACGGTAAAAGATTTAAGAAAAATACGTTCAATTTCAATTGACTTGAACAGAGTTAAAAGAAGTTGTTAATCCCTACCACGTCGCTAACATTTCCCCTTTTATAATAGAAAGAGCCTGCCTGTTGTAATACATTCTTGTTCTTTTTTGTAAAGGCGAGAACTGTATAATTGGGCATAACTTCACCAAGTTCGTCTATAGACATTTCATAGCCTTGAATGCCTAGATAATGAAATAAAAAAAGTACGATAAGATTCATTCTTCCTTCCAGCTATTTGTATTCTTGCTTAAACTGTCATTTTCATTTAGAGTAGAGTGACTATATAATTTTAAATTCTACTAACTTGTAAAAGTACTTCCGGTCAATCTTTTTATTATAGCTGTTCCATTCGTTGAATTAGTAATTTCTTCTTGACGAACCAATCCACGACCTAGTAATTTTGCACCATCGTACAATTGATATCCGTCAACTTTGAAAGTTGCTCGCATTAGGGCAATGTTCTCCGACTTAAAAGTGCGTACACTATAAGGTTCCCCGGAACTAATATTTTGACTCTTCAATATAAACCTATCAACTTCCTTTGTATATAAAGGATGTCTGTGAAGGAGCAACACAACAGATTTATATATGTGTCTTGCTTGCTTTTTAATTCTATAGCTATTTGGATCATAAGGCTCTTTGTCAACTCCAATGACGGCGTATCCCCCATCGGAATTTAGCCCGGATTCATCCAAAGCTGTTAGAAACCTCTTGATGTTTGATGAACCAAAGACGACCCAAATTCTTGTCTTTTCACTGGAAGATTTGACAACGTCCTTGTACCTCTTATGCAGCTGTTTACTCTTCTCGAAAGTATAATTTTTACTTTCGGTACTATATATCCCAGAGATATAAATAACTTCGTTAATCGAGACCTCCATAAATCGACTTAAAGTTCTTATTTCTTCTACAACAGTACTAAAATCATCTCCTTTATCCACAACTATCGAAAATGATCTCCAGCCAAATGATTTAGCAATAGCAAATATCGATGAGGAAAGCTTGATCAAGCTGGGCCGCATATTAACAAGAGTAGGCCTATTCAGAGCATCTTCCTTTTGCATCTTATATTGAAAGTCCGAATTGATAATAGGCAAGTTTAAAACACCGGCGTAAACCGCTTCAGGGCCCCAATTTACTCCGAGAGAGCCAATAAAAGCAACTACTCCTTCTTCGTTACATATCTTCATCTTACGCACAGCGTCTAAACTAGTAGAATCATAGAGTTTGTGGACAATTTGAAAAGTGAAAGTCCTATTGATTTCCCTTTCAACATCATCTAATGCGACCCTTAATGAACCCAAGTGAGTCGGTAAGCCTTTTGCATTTTTGTCGATTAATTGACAAATTTTTAAGACTTTTGCCGAACAGCAGAGAAGTAAAGAAATAGCAAAGATTATTCTGAACATTTGTAAAAAAATGTCTATTTCGTAAATCGTAATGGAAGCTTTAATGCCTTGTTAGTCCGAGTTAATCCGTCTGAACCAAAAAAAAGAAGAACATAATAGGTAATAACAAAAGTAGCAATGTTACAAATGAAAAAGAACAAAAAGAGTAAATAGAAAAGTTAAATTTTTTTTATTAACTAAAAAAAAAAAATATATATTAATGAGTAACAGTAGCCATCTGCCACATACAAGCCGACGGCCAGCAGTAGACGCTTCAAACAAAATATTTGTAACGGGATCTAGTCACTTTGATGCAGTGAATTTTCAATGTTTGCTGCTGTCCAATAGAATTTTTATTATATACTTTGCTATTCTGTTTTTGTAACACTTTTGTTTTCTCCCTTATTAATTCGTTATCAGATAAAAGATGTTAAAAATGAAAAGAATAATAGCAAATTACAGTACATGTAGATTTTAATATGATTTAATAAATAGCTTCATTCGCCCCCTTTCTCTCATTCTCTCCCCTTCTTCTGTTACACGTGAATAAGAGAATAGGTAGAAAAGAATGAAAATATATCTATAATATTAATATATAAGTCGGTTAAATATTTTATTTTTACTTTTACATTTTTATTTATAATTTCTATTACCAGTTTGTTGTTTACACGGCTACTCAACGTTAAAACGTGGGGGAAAATTTTTGCAAAATGTTTTCAATTGATTATTATTTTTTTTCATTAGTAGGCCTGACGCGCAATACTGACAAATCGTTCAAGTCTAATCGAAAATTATGAGGAATCGCGTTTTAAGTTGACTATAGGCCAACCCTTAAGATGTTCTCTAAGTTCCTTTAATTGATAATTCATTAAATATAAATTCTTTCGTTCTTTTAGTTTCCTTAAAATATGTATTAACTGTGAAGATCGCGGTCCAATATTTTGTAAGGTATCCTGGGAATCGTTACCTGTTGTTAAGCATCTAATTTCCACGAATGTAGCACGCTTTTTTAGGTTTTAACAATAAGATTTTTCTACTATACAAATAAAAGTAAGAGCTTTCTGGCACGACAGAAGAAAATGATGTGTTCTCTATCACTTTAAATGCTATAACATGTGTAAATACTATATAGATAGAATTTTATATATATATATATATATATATATTGGGTTTTCTATAAATAAGGATATTAAAACGTATAAATCTATACTGAGGTCTTTTTTAATGTTCTAATCATATACATAAACCACTCGAGAGGAAGTAAAGCAAATAAATGGGATTATATACTTACTCAATTAATCAATTATTAATTCCATCATTTGTGCCTAACAAACGCGAATTAATTCCATAATATTTTTTTTCTTTGACTCGTTTCGTTTCTCTCCTCCTATATTCAGCATAATGGTAAAAGAGGCCAATGTTCTCTTGTGAAGAATATGTTCGGGCCTATTCAGAGAGAGATTCGTATTCATTCGTTACATCATAACAATGGCATGTCTTTAATACTATTTGAACTTTGAAAGTTCGAAGATTATAAATGAGTCTTGAAAATGTAGATGAACAAATTAGAGAAGGAAATACCAATCTATACAAATTGAAGGATCTGGAGTCATTTAATCGAATAGCAAAGCAAATGAAAATAAGTCAGTATTTCGAGTGCCCAGATAAATACACTGATAATGAAAGAAACGTGCGTTGCTGCTGGCTTATTGGTGGCGCTGTATTGAAAAAAGTTATAGTAAACTATGGGTCTCCACATACACGATAGATGGCGCTTGAATAAAAAAAATTATTTGAACATCTTTATATATTAAAAGTTATATATATATATATATACTGTATATGTATACATATAGATGTGTATACAGTACACATATGCTTCATAAAGGCTATAAATAAAATTACTATTTGAAGATTGAAAGGAGAAAAACTTCCCTGAGGTGATATATGTTCAAATAATTTGTCAAACGATCATTAAACGCGTATGTAAATAGTCATTTAGAGGAAAATCATAGAGAATTACTATCGATTTACGATTGGTCATTGATCTCTTATCTTTTTAGTGTATTTGGCGTCGATATTAGCGCAATTGCCGTTACTCTCTCACGCATCGTAGATCTATAATATTAAATAAGCCTTGTTTTTTTTTTCTCTCTCCTTTTGTAATAAATTCAATTTAATAAATACTGTTACCACCTTTATTAAACGAAAAAATATAGAAGGAAGAGAGTAATAATAGTAACAATAGTAATATATTAATAATGCTATAAAGTGTGTTGATCACTTTACAAATATGCATAAATGTTTAAAACACGAATAAACGATTCGTAGAAATAAAAGAATAAAAGAACAATATATATACTGTATATACTGTATATATATATATTAGATATATATACCAGTTTATAATATATACTTAAATAAAGATTTTAATTAAAAAGTTGAAAAAAATTTCTTTTATTTCCATTAAAAAAGTTAATAAATTGATGGCAAAAAAAACGAAGAAGGAATAGAAGAATAAAGAAGAAAGAAATATTTCACATTTTCTTGTAAAATACACAAGTTTTTTTTTTCCTTTCTTTTTTTTATTACGGCAAAGATAGAGAGAGAGAGAAGCGAAAAGGCTATAAGATAAATGTGGCACATAAAAAGTGTTAGAATAAGTGAGGCGGGAGAGGGAGGGAACATTTATCTTCTTTATGAGTATTATAGCTATATACAGTATATATACAGCATATCTATATATGTATACAGTGTGTGTTTTAAATGTGGTATACGTTTTACAGATTTGTGCATACATGAATGAATTTGTGAATTGTATAAGAATAATTAAAGAAAAATAACACCAACTACATTACGCAATAAATAAAAATTTTATTAATTTTATACATCTGTTGCTTGTAAATGAATATGTAAATTTGTGTTATTGTTATTTTTGCCTGAATGATATAAACAATGATATATATGTCTAGATATATACTGTAGATATCGTATAAATAGATAGAAAGATGAATGAAATAATGATAGAATGAACGAGAGGGAAAAAAAATGCATTGTTCTTTTTTTTTGAGAGAGAGAGAGAGAAGAGAAGAAAATTGTCTGTTTTCAGTTGAATTTTTAATTATCAATTAGCTGAATTTTCTTCTGGATTTTGGGTATAATCTGTATAGAATCTTTCGAGTTTGGCATGCTGTTTCTCCAGGTTTTGTTTGCGCCATTTTATCCGTCGGTTTTGGAACCAAACCTATTTTTTTGACAAGTAAATAGACGGTTAGTTGTAAAGAAGAGATATAGAAAGTACGTAAAGACTAAAGTACTATAGCTAACTACACTATCAAACGGGTGTTAAATAAATAAAAAAATAAAAGTAAAAGTAATGTACTTACTTTCACCTGAGCTTCGGTCAAGTTTAGAGAAGACGCTAAATAAAAGCGTTCTGTACCGACCATATATTGCTGCCGTTCAAATTCTGCCTCAAGACGTTCCAATTGTTCGGGTGTAAAAATCGTTCGGATTCGTTTATTCTTTCCGATCTTCCATTCTTTCCTCTGTTGTTGAACGCCTGGTGGTTCGAAGTGGGAATTAATTAAGGGATTGTTCAATTGAAAAAAGTGGGGAGAGCAATTTTCTACCGTTTGATCTGTTAAATGAGGTCAAAACGGCGTAAATTCTCTCAACAATTGAACCGTTGGATAGCGGTTAGAGATTTAGCTTTTCGGCCACAAGTAATTAATTTTTAAGCTGTTTATTATAGTCCTCTCTTAATTTGGTATTTTTTAATACGTATACCTTTCACCAATTATATTAGCTATTAATAATTATTTATAATTCTATTTACATAAGAAATTAGCGCCATTCAACATAAATTTACACAAGACCCAATTCAAGCCGATTTCCGCTCTTTTATATAACAGTTCAATGCTTAAACAACAATATTTATACTGAATTACGAATATAAATATCTATAAATATAAATATATTAATATATATATATATTTATATAATTTATATATATTATATTTTTTAAAGTGGTCATACTCTCTTCCCCTCTCTACCCGCTTCTTCTCTCTCTCTCTCTCTCTCTCTATTTTCCTGTTAAAAATGTTTTAGAAAGTTGCTAATCGTACTACAAACAAGATCGGCATTATCGCCTTTCCGCGAACTTGTTTGATGTTTATCTAATCTTAGTGTTTTGTTAACAATTTAATTATATAATTTGAAACAAGCGACCTATTTTAATTATCAACTGACCTTCGTATTTGTAACGATTCCTCTCGTAAAATGATAAATGTAAATCTTTTGGTTTCGTCTCTTCCTTTTCTACTTCTTCGTTTCCTAATATAGCGTCTATTGTAAATGATTTTTTAGCTGCGTTCCTTGGTTGTGTATATTTGTCGCTGCTTTTCAAATAATTGTCGTAAAAAGCTGACTGAAATGCAGCTAGATTATAGGCGATATTCGCTGAATTCATCTCGAGTTAAGAAGCTTTAAAGTCTTTGGCGTATCCCGATTTTATCTTTTAGTTATCTTTATCCTTAAGCTTGCTTTCTTTTTATTTTCTTGTTCCTTGTCTCTCCGGTACTATCGGTATCGTTCAGCACTTTTTTTGAAATTCCTCTCTGATTAGTATCTTTTTTTTAAAAGATAATTATCCGTCTCTACTCCGTCGAATGGCAAGCGACGATTTAACAATTTCCACAGAGTGAATTGATTACACGAGTAATTAATTGTTTGCTTTTCAATTGACGGTGATTCGCTACGGAGACACACGGGCAAGTTTGGGTTGCATATCAAGAGAGGTTGTAAGAAGTAAGTAAAGTAGCAACCCCTTAAGACACCGAGATCTAATGCATTATTCATAATATAATTTTCGTTGAACCAATCAGCTCTCTTTAATCTTTGCTCTTTTATTTAGTCGTCTCACACAGTAGGGCAGTTTTTCTGTCAATTATTATCCGAGCGTATATGCTTTTATTCGTATTTGAGGATGAAGAAATTTACATTTTACGCTAAGATTGTTTTCATATTATAATAAACGGACAGCTGCCGCGTGCCAGAATTTTCATAGTTGAATCAGCGGGGGGTAAAGGAAGAGATGAATCTCTTATCAAAACAGCCATGGTTAGAATTCGAGATCACGTTTCTTCAAGTCACTTTTCGTCTCTTTCCGCTTATGTAATAGCACCTGTTTTAATTTTATTCTCTCAGCCAAATTTTCCTTCAACTCAATTGAAATTAACAATTTTTTTTAAAATTAGACTCTGGTTAGTTAATTAAAAACAACTATTTAAAAGCTTCCGTCTGTTAATTTTTAAAAATAAAACACTTGTGAAAAGAGATCAAAGAAGAGAACCCCTGCGAATACTCGTCTTATAGCATCAATTAATCGGCCAATGGTCAATAGGACTAAAATTGCGTTGGGATTGACACATCTGCGATGGTTTTCACTATAGCTCGCTTTTTAATTACGTTATTACGCAATAGATCAGATTACGTCGTACTTTTTACAATTTAGCCTATTCCTATCATTAATTAATTACCAAAACAATAAGGCGGCCAAAATGATTGAAGAATGCAATAAACAGAATTCTTTGCATAACGTAATGAGCAACCTTGGTGACGGTGACACATTCCAAACGTTGGTACTATTTATGAGGCGTCACTTTTTAGACGCCTCTCCTTTTCGCTTTGTTAGACGTCTATGGGGCTGGGAGTAAGAACAAAACGCGTTTGCGTGTATAATTAGAGTGGTAAATAAGCAAAAAACGTGTGAGAGCGTCACCTGTGGACGTCAATAATCTGTGGTAAATAGATATTAGCTGAACATTCGATAAATCGACGCCGTGTTGAACATGTTCATTGCCAAAGCGTGTTTGCATGCAGCTTAAGAACGTTTTGAGTAGGGGCGAATCGAATGACGGGGTTAATAGGTAATGGGACGAATGATGTTTTGGGGTTTTAATTTCAACTACCAACTTAAAAAAACATTGTAACTGAGGTCATTAAATCATTCGAAAGCGTCGAATTCCCCTGTTGTATACTACCATGTTTATATTAAGACGGAAACAAAGTGAGAAAATAGCAAACAAGGTAACTTGATGACGGTCTCCTTCAAAGGATTTATGTCATCTTGATGGTAATTGATTACCTTTGATGTTTTATCACTTGCTTATTAGTATTATATTTTTGATCATCCATTTACTCTCATTGATTGCCCTTTCTTATACCTATTCGTTCTAGTCCCTTTTCCTCTTTTCGAGTTTAATTCCATCAAGTCCACCAGATCATAAAAAAAAGCCTTCATCTCGCCGCCCATCCAGTATATAACAAATCTGCTACCGTAACAGCATAAATATCCGGAATACAATCCAATTTTATGTTACGCAATCGACTTAAGAAGGATTAAATAATAATTGAAATTATCTTTCTATTACGTATGCAATTAAAAATTTATTAAGATCAAAAACACTAAAAGGGACATATTCACTATATAAATCTCACACTACCATTTAACCTTTACTCTTATTGCTCCTCGCTACCTTTCTTCCTTTCTCTAATTCCTCTTCTAAACCACAATAGGTAGGTAGGCAGGCGGGGTTTTGTTAAGCTCATTTCCGAGTGTAGCCAAATAAAGGTTGACCCAAACGATTATCGACCGTCTACCAGTTAAAAGCTTTTCACTTTTTTTTCATTGTTTGCAAGATTCTTGGTAGCAAATCGGGATAAGTGTAAGACATAATAGAAAAACCGATATTACGTAATCATTATTAAGCATATCCTTCGTTAAGTTATTTAAATTAAATGGTTACTTAACAATAATTTATAACTGCTGAAGTATTTAATTATATAATAGTAATTAGACGCTAGTGTTTGTAATTAGTACATCTATTTGCCCAGAACGCTTATTGCACATGCAATAAAAGTTGTATAATTCCCTAGGAGATATTAGAGACGTCACTGAACCATTGGTTTACATTCTTTCTTTAATGTTTAATTAATAGAGATAACGAGATTATTAATACATAATCAATAAATTTACCATAAATAATTATTGAACTAGTAATATAACTCATTTAGCTGTACTTTGCAGAAAAATAAAAAAAAGTATAATAATAATAATAAAATGACGCCTGCATTAAGCGTCACTCTTGTAAAAACAAAAATTGAGTCGAAAAGAGTGAGAGAAATCAGAGAATCGATTATATAAGAAGTAACCTGGAAATTTTGAATATGTAATTTTGAATAAATCGATATTTTTGTTCAAATTAGCGGGAAAGATTAAAAGTTTAATCCTTTGACGGCTTTATTGTGTGTAAGAACAATTTTATATCTCTATTCTTCTCTTTTTCTTTGGAGTTAGGGCATTCATCCTAAAGAAGCAAACGATTAACTCTATCAATAATGCTTTATTGGGATAATTAAACGATTGTTAATTGTTTCCAATACATTTATTGGGTTTATATTGAATAAGAAAACCTTTTAACGATAAATGCGGGAATTTGCCTGAATTTTTTACATGCGCGAGCTTAGGCGATTTATGGTTTGATATATCCACCAGATGGCACCTAGTGTCAGCGACGTCATTTTGCACTAGACGCCCGGTCGATACCAATAAGTAGAGTGAAAAACTGTCTATATGGAGATCGTCTCATTTTGACAATGTCAACCAGGCGCTATAAGACAAAAATCAATGGTTGATCGATAAAGGATTATCTCTAGATATCATTTATTGGCCGAAACCAGAAAACCGCAATACAGACGTTTCTACTGTATACGACCGACTTTACACTGTATACTATGAATAATTATCAACTATGCAATCCTATAACGGATGGCAGATGAGACAGGTAACCAAACATTATTAAATACTGATCTCAAGGCCTATCTATTGTTAAAGATCAGCTGGCGAGGCCTTGACTAACATTAAAATAGATATATAGATATGTATTGCCATTTTTTTAAATATCTATCGGTTTATAATCATATAAATATTCGTATTTATATATATAAATAGGTTATAACGTATATTTATATACACATTGTTGCTTTCTGATTTTAGTCTTGGCTTGACGCCATGACTGAAAGGGAGCCTTACTTTGAGCCACGTATTATTCAACAGATAGATAATAGACGAAAAGAGGATGAAGCCCAAGCGGATGTTGGAATGGTCACTGTCCTGCAGGAATCGCAGATGCTCAAGAGTGAATTGGTTCTTCATGAAGCGGCAAGAACGGAAAACATTCCAAAAATTAGGGAACTTTTGGGAAAGGACGTCGATATCAATTCTCGAAACAACGTAATTATATCTATATCTCATTATAATTTCTTCCTAGAACCGTTAATCGTATTTAATATTGTCAGCCCTTGAGTAAATAGCTAGATAAATAGGAAAATATAAAGGTTTACATTGATAAGACTACAGCTCATAGAGATCGATATTATAGTTTTATTAGATTATTATAGAGTGATTGACATTATTATAATTATGAATTATACTTAATTCTTCATTTATTATATGAGTAAATGTAACTTTTATTTATTCTCTTCATTGCGTTCTTAGCTAGATAGAACAGCGTTACATCTGGCTGCCGCCTGTGGAAAGACAAAAGTGATTGAATATCTTATCAAACATGGAGCGGCAATCGGTGCTCAAGATAAGTATGGTATGCGTCCAATTTCGTGGGCAGCCTGGTTTGGTCATCTAGACGTTCTAAAAATCTTAGTCAATTTTGGTGCGTCACCTATAGTTATAAATAAGGTATGTATATTCAAAAGAAAGAGTAGAATATTCAAGTAGTCGGCGTTATTTAATAATTGAGTAAATAATTAATTAATGCATTTCCGTTTTTAAACATGGGGGATATCGATTGAATAAAACAATTATAGTGTTTTTTTTATATTTCTTATATTCAGTTTTAGGAATGTTTTGTTGTTTTCCCGCTTTTGTTTGTGTCAAATGGGAGTAAAACATTCATAGTAATTCAGTCAAAAACAATTTTTGACTGATTGCCTTTTAGAACATCAAATAGAGACAAAAAGAAAATAAGTTATTTGTTCTAAAAGAATATAATTAATGACTGAGTAATTGGTTTATTTTTTTATTTATCCTCTTCCATTGATTCAACTCTACCAACAACAGCAAGAATTTAATATTCTGCATTGTGCTGCTCAGAATGGTCATTCGCTTGTTGTGGAATATATTCTTGATAAAATAACCGAAATAAATATCAATTCTGTGGAGAAAAAGGGAAAAACTTCTCTACATCTTGCCTCTGAAGCTGGCTTTTCTAATGTTGTTGAAATTTTGTTAAAAGCTAAAATCGATGATTCATTAGTTGACAAACAAGGAAGAACAGCATTACACTATGCCGCGGACGCTGGTAGATTAGACGTTATTGAGAAATTGGTGCTAAACGGTAACGACGTTAATAAAGGTGATAATGAGTTTGATCGGCCTATCCATTTGGGAGCTTTCCAAAATCATTCGGAAGTTTGTCAGCTTTTGACGAAATCTCTGGCCGACATAAATGCTCAAAATATAGTAAATACCCTTATTTTTATGTATTATAAAAAGGAAAAATGAGCTATTTCCTATCTAAAATTTTAAATATTTGCCGTGTACTTTATTATAACATTTCTTCGATTTAGAAAAAGGAGACACCTCTTCACATAGCTTCTTGTCAAGGTCATATTGAAACGATGCAAATATTGATAGAAAATGGTGCCGATATCAACGCTCAAAATCTGGTTTGTTTTCAATTTCTATACCGATAAACAAAAACAAAATATATCTTTCTTTTAATGATGTTTTCCTTTAAATTTAATAGTCCTTTTTTTTTTGTTCTCACTAATTAGAAACTGAACACACCTTTACATTGTGCAGTTTCTAGTAATAAATTAGATGCCACCAAGTGTTTATTAGACGCCCATTGCGACCTTAATCTTCAAAACGCGGTAAGTATATACCGTATAAAAAAACGAAAGAAATTGTTGAATATTTTCCATTCACTTAGTAGTTTCTATATACAACAATATATACTGAATATATATCTAATACTGTATGGCGTATTTTTTTTTCAATACGTATTTATAAATGGAGGATGTTTTATCAATTGAATTTTCACCATTGAAAGGGATCTTTTAACCTAGTTAATAGATTTTCCCAATTTGATTTATTTATAGAAATAGGCGTAAAGAAAGGGATAAAAATAAAACAATTTGACGTATAAGTATATAAATCAATATACCATATTCATAACTATTATATAAACTTCATATTTGATAAATTAAATATGAGAAATGAGAAAGAAACTAAATTAAGGCAATCTTTAGATAGTCCAAGCCTACAATAGAATGAATAGGAAAAGGGAAATTCTCCAGAGTATTCAAACTAACTGGACAACGAACTCATTTCCTTTTTCTAATAAAGTATTCCTAACGCCAATATAAACTCTAAAGGCCTTAATGCAGATTGGACAGTATAAGAAATTTCGGGTCCTAAAGAAGCGAATTCTTTCTGTTAAAGAATTTTACATTATATTAGTCACGTGATATTGAAAACTAATTAAATATTTTTCGTTTATTATGTGTTTTCTTTATGCTATTCTTTGCTTAACACTTAAAGTAACTTTTGAAAAAAATGGGTTTAGTAAAGCATTATTTTTCACCTTTTATAAGGAGAAAGAAAGTTTACGTTTCAATATGATTTTTTCATTTTCAAAGTAGTACTGTCCAAGAAATAAGTAAAATATAGAATATTAAATAAAGCGTACCTTTGATTTATATTCCCTCTTTTATGTATTTATTCTTACACCGTTCCTTTACACCCAGTCCTATTACCTGCTCCTTGATCTTATATCTAAATGTTGCTAATTAGCTTCTTCTTCTCTTGTAGAGAGAGCAGACTGCTTTACACATTGCGGCGGAGGAAGATTGTTTAGCTGTTGTTGAAATTTTACTAACAAACGGAGCTGAAATGCACTTTAAGGAGAAAACTGGCAAAACTTGTTTACAAGTAGCTGCAAGAGCGGGAAACGTCAATGCTGTTGACATGCTAATAAAAGCTGATAGGCAACGGGCTTTACGTATGCTTAATGCTACTTGCACAGAAGATAATCACAGGTGTTTCTACGGGGAGGAATGTGGTTTGTTAAAAGAAGACAATGGTGAAGAGAATTCATTGTCTAAAATTGAATATGAAGATAAGTTAGTAGAAATTTTGTTCACTCTCTCTCAGCGCCATCTGAAGGCAGCTGACTGGAAAAGTCTTGCTCATTATTGGAGATTTAGCGACGAACACGTTAAATCTATTGAACATCAATATACAGGAAATGATAGTTATAAAGAACATTCTTATAGACTTTTATTAATATGGCTCTATGGGATTCCAAGGTCAGAAAATGCTCTTAAAGTTTTATTTGAGGCGCTCTGCGCTATTGGTAGGAGAACTTTGGCAGGTAAAATTAAAAGAAAACATCAAATAATTAAATTGATTACACAACAAAAGAAATTGTTGTTACATTTCCTATTATACATTTTAGAACGAGTCCGAAAGAAGTGCAGTAATTCAACATCGAATCAGCTGTCAAGAAGAACATCTTCCTGTAGGATGTCGTAATATCAATTGAAAACTCTAATCATTATATGCAACGTAGAAGTTAACAAAAATAGCTAACAAAGGAGTTTATAAATAATAATTAACCAATCAAACATTTAGGTTAATTAAAAGAAATTATAAAACAAATTTGATTAATAGCTAAGTTAGTTTTCATATTGATATATATATACTTCTTTGAATTCCCTTTATTTATTAATACAATGTACATATTTTTACAAGTTACTTTAGATAAAAAATTTAGTATTTAATTGGTAAATTAACAAATAAAAGAACTCTTCGAAACTTAGTAAAAGTTTTTAAAAGCCTTTCATTTTTTTACAATTAATGAAAACAAAAAAAATCAGACTAAGAAAATAGAAACTTTTTTCAAAGTTAGTTCTTTTATAAATATCTTTTTGTCTATCTAATCTTTCTCTCTATCTCTCTGCTTCTGTCGTTATATCTCTTTATATTGATATATTTCATATTTCTCTTCCAGTTTTGTATGAATATATATATATATATATGTAAATTTAAAGAAATAAACAATCAATACCAATAAAACCTTTACAGTTATTTATTTTCTATTAGTTTAGATAGATACTTAGATGAAAGTTAGATTTTAGATTTATCCATATACTGCATATGACTTTGACCTTCGCCTACATACAAAAGGGTATTGTTTAGTTATTCAATTAAATTGTTACCTTTAAAGGTTTCAATACTCTTCTTTTATATTTATTATTGTTGTAATTTTTGTTAGTAATTCAAGTTAAAAGCCGAGGAGAGATAAAAAAAAATCGAAATTTGAAATTCAATGCAATTTATATAAATATTCATAGGATTGTAATTAATATAAACTTTATAGGGAAAATTTATTGTATATTTTATTCGTTAAGCTAATAAAGAAACAAAAAGTGAATATCATGAATAAGTATTAACTAGTATGAGAATAATTTAGATTTATGGATTATATTTAATATCATATATCATAACTTTTAAAATCGTTAATCTTTAATTAAAAAGTAGTTGCAGATAAGAGAAATTAAGATAGGAGAATAGAAAAATTCAGCTTTTTATTGGCGATTAAAAGGTTTCCTGTTGATTTTTATTGTTAATACTATATATTCGACTTGTTTTATACTAGATAGATGTCGTAATTGCGTTAGCTTCACGAAAAAAGTATCACTACTATGCGCCATCTATTGTGACGATATTACATTACCTAACTAAGAGTAAAGGACGTTATAGTAGTTGAAAACTATTCTTGAATTAATTGTTAATACGAGAAAATAAGGATTATTCATAAAGGGAACCGATGGTACAAAGAGTGATGGATTGTTTATTTATTCGAGTATTTTATAGTAATTATAGCGTGTACAACTAACCCACAACATTTCTTAGTATATAAAACTATTATAACACCTCTCTTCTTTCCTCTTTTTATTCTGTCTATTATGTTGAGAGAGAGATAGAGAGAGAGAGAGAGAGAGACAGAGAGAGAGAGAGAGGGAGAGAGGACAGGTTTGCACCGGCAACTTATTATCAGGTTTTAATCAACAATCTCTAGTCTACGTCAAATAATCTGTATCTACAAAAAAACAATACACGTTCCATACGTGTGTGTTTATAAATGAAAGCATAGTAAAAATACTATTGTGTAGAGTATATTCATTTATTTGGATCTGATCATCTATCCGATAAGTAGGCTTTAACAAGTTACGCTTTTATGAATATATGGTCAAAGTTACTTATGTATCTTTATATCACAGCCACAATATTTAGCGAAGCGATTAACCTGTTCCGTATGATTGAGAATATTCGTTTGGATAAAACAGTAAAAGCAGTAGAGCGGTAATATCTAAGAGTTGAGAATAAAACTGACCGTTGTCGTTATATAATTCTTTACACCTGTCTAATTATACAAGAGAAAGAAGTTTTGTCACCTTAATATTTACTCCTTACATCGTTTTACTAGTATTTAACCTGTGACGTCATAAAGCTCTAGCAGAAAATTATAAAATTCGTGACTAGCATTTGGAGCATTAAACAATGTTTGGGCTATAAATGCACACGTTTATAGGGAAAGATTGTTCTAAAGTAACCGAATCTGGAAGTCTACTTCTTTTTAACAAAGTCTGATGAGCACTAACAACACTTTTCATCTTTTCTTTGTTTAAAGAATAAACACGAGATTTTAGTTGATACTTTGCATTTCTCTTTATGATGTTATTTGCCTTAAACGCATACTAATTTAAACAGAGAGGTAGAATCATCCTATTTAACGATATTAAAAATATATAGGTAAACAGATAGCATTAGGAGATGAGAAGGAGTGGGAATGGGTGATAATTATAGAGAGTTGGAGGTTAGACCTGTCCAATTTCCTGTTGCTTTAACATAGTCAAACGTATTAAGAGAGTTTTAACGATAAAGGACTAAAGAAATCCTTTAAATAGAAGTCTTTATCAGGCTATTTCGATTTAATTAATGAAGTGGTGAAATGAATGATATGCAAAGAAAGTTTTCGAGTTGGGCAAAGAATAAAGCGATAAAACAAATAGAAAGAAAAAATACAGAAAATTCAGCATGGCTCCTTAGAGTAATCAGATCGCTGAATATTAATACCGTATGGCAAATACGGTAGCGTCCATTTATATAATTGTTCCCAAACTAAAAGTTTTTCAGTGTATGGTATTAAATATAGATTTTTTTCACTTTTCTATCTTCACGTCATAGTTTATGATAGTAGTGGGAAAACGAAAGGGAAAGAAGGAAAAAGCGGAGAAAAAAGCAGGAAACAGTGAAATTAAGAGGTAAAAACCGACTTAAAGAGTTTTAAATAGGCGGAGAGAGAGAAATGGATAGTATAGAGAAGATATACAAGTCTTTTTATCCCATTAATTTCTACTATTAGTCTTATATTAATATGTTGATATTGTTATTATTATTGTTAGTGTTACTAGTATTATTTTTAATGGTAATAAATGAAGTAAACGCTATGTCTATTAAATAAAAAAGTTTTTGTACTAAGTAAAGGAGAAAGTGAATGATACAGTCAAAATTGTCAGCCAAGACTGTTTTCTTTTCTAAATTAGAGACGCTACAGTAAAAGCGTTTCCTCCTGGAACAAGAGCAAGCATTATTCTGTTTGAGATTGTAAAAAAAAAGAAAAAAAACAAATTAAAAAAGGGGAAACAAAGAAACAACTATCATGTTGTGATGTTGTGAGGGGATTTTCTTGAAAATTTCCAAAAGGTTACTTGTGGAGAAAAATCTAAATGTTGAGAAACAACGTCTTTTCTTAGAGGAAGAAAATAGAAGAGTTTTATAAAAGCCAAGTAGCAGAGTGTTTATGTCTTTTTACGAATGCCGCTGCTTGTTTATCCCAGCTTGATCTATCGTTAAGAGTAGATAAGGCTATAGCAGATTTACTCTCTTTACGAGGTTGAGTAAGGGGTGATGTATGAGGATTTAGTGAAGAAACACCAGGGACGTGATCGCCCAATTTAGCCCCTGGAACTTCAGCTAATCTAACAAATAATTCACCCGCGAAATCATTAGCCATCATAAAATCGTGATCCATAACCGTAAAATGAACAGATGCTGCTTGATGGCGGCATTGATCTAGTGAAACGTTATCAAATTCAAAACTCTCCTCGAACACTGGATGCAGACTATTCCTAATAATTTTTGTTTTGTGAACTGGTTGCTGAGGAAATAAGTGCTGAGGTTCTAATTGAATTTCGACGAATGGATCGGATAATCCATTTGAATCTAAAGCAATTATATTAGAAGCGTTTAAAACTTCTACTTGAATTATACGAGCATCGGCGTTATAATAAACGCGGGTAGTTAAAGTTCCAAAACTCTGCAGACTTTTCGAAGCAGCTTGCTCCTCCATTTTGTCCTTAAAGTAGCGTTCAATTATTTGGTAAGTTGTGGATGCAGAAAGATCAACTTGAGCTAGTAGACTCTTATAGGATTCACTTTCAACAACGTCTATTGGTAATCCTCTTCCTTCTACGTGGAAAAAATCAGAGAGAATCTGCAGGGCGTCTCTGAGACGCTCAAAGTAGACTGTTTCTCTAACATCATCACTTTTTGAAGCCTCCCTGAGCAAATCCAGAAGTGTATTCCAAACGGCCGTTAAAACCCTATCCAGGTTTGTTCTATACAGACTCTGATTCATGTTTAAAAGATACGAGTCTAGAAAGTTCATCAACGGGCTTATAGCATCCGATGCCTTAACGGAGCTAGGTGCCCAACATAAATGAAAGATATGATTGTTCATTTCCACTCTAGTTCTATCTGCAATTGTATCGACAATTTGCGTAAGACGTTTTGCAATATCTTCTTCAGCGGTGCGTACTATTTGATTTAATCTTGCTCTCGTTTGGCGACCGGCCCTGTCACCATGTTCACCGTCGACTGCTTTTGCAACCTCTGCAAACTTCAGGTCATGTGAGAGGGGTCTGATACAACGCCGTACGTGTTCCAAGTTATTCAGAGTAACTACACACGCTTCTTCACCGCAGCGTCCTTCAAAGAAACCTTGTCGTTTGAGGTTATCATGCACAACATCTGAATAATAGACTGTGCTTTGACACACATCATCGGTCAATTTGGTGAGAAGCTGGGAAATGGCTGATTTATCTGGCCAATCAAGCTGTTGCCAAAATTCGATTATTTGAGTTATACAAGAAGAAACATCAAGAGCCGATGACGCTAGCGTGATGCCATCCTCCTGTTTTGTGCGTTCCACTTCAACTGCTTTTGTTATACGTCTCATTAACCTTTCTCTAGCCATCTCGAGCCACTTTTGAGTAGCTCCCCTAAATAGTGTTTGCAAAGATCTTACGCAGCCGTCATCTTCAATTTTCTCTCCCAATTCATCATTCAACCCGATAAAGTCTCGCAGTGCCAGGTAGAATTCGAAAACTCTTGTTGTAGGTTCAATTGTGGCCTCTTCATCCAAGACTTTAATAAAAACCGCCAATTTCCTGACATCTTCGGCCAGCTGCAGAGAAAAAACGGCAATTAAAATAAATAAAATAATGAATGAAAAAAAAAATAAAGCCGTCTTACAGTCTTATCAGCATGGCGGTAAATAGAAGGAACGTAGTGGACGTTAATACTCCCCGCGTAAATTGGTTCGTAATGCAGGAGAGAAGCCCTCAAATCTGCAGTGACGGCGTGAGTAAGTTCGGTGAGAGCCAGTAATATAGCATCATCAATGCAGGTCTTTGCCTCCAAACGTCTTGCTTTCTCTGCAAACTTTTCATACTGATCGGCGGCTGATCTCTGTATTCGGGATGAAAGATTCAGTTTAGCATTCTAATTTCAATTTACAGTATTCTCATAAGATTAAGAAAAAAGGAAAAAAGGAAAGTTATTTGGGAATAAAATTTCTAGTGCGATCAAATTAGACTGGGCGTCACCCTTCACAGAACTAAATTTGCACTATGTTTGCTTAAGAGGTTTCCTTTGTTTAATTAACTTTTCAGGGAATTTCATTTTTCTACACCTTATATTATTTAAAAGGTATTCTGTTAGCATAATTAAGAGATTGTTATATAAAAATTATATTATATTTCCATTTGTTTGATCTCAAGATTCATTAATTTTTATCATATTCAATATCTCGAGAATATATTAGAATTTCACTAAAAGAACAAACGAAATTGAGTTTTGCTTAAGTTTGCAAAAAAATATCTAAAACAGACGCAACTTAAAATATTTTTAGAAAAAAAGCGTTACAAAAAGCGTTTCTTCTTTTCTAATTACTACTAACTATATTACTTTAAAATCAAGGGGATATTTAAAAATGTATGCGATATCTATTTTTGACGTGCTTGAATCCTATAATACCCATTTTAATCTGACATTTAAGATGAATGTAACGACCATTAGGTGCAAAATGTAACACGCGCGAGTAACATATATAAATGAAGATAGACATAAACAACTTTTCCATAAGAAAAATGTCGATTAATAGAGGAAAAATTCTTTGAGCTTTGACTTCCCCTTAGGGTATGTTACCATTAGAGATATACATCAATACTTAAAGTAAACTGATTATTTTGAAGTGCTTATTTAGTTTTAATAAGGAGAAGGTAGAGAGAAAGATAGAGAGTTGTTCAGAGAGAAGCCGAGATCGGGATTAAAGGGTAATAGATGAAAGTGTTGGGCTAATAAACTTATAAAGGAAAAATTTACACCTGAACTAACCTTAAGTGTTGCTGTTAATTGAGACTTTAAATCTCTTCGAAACGGACAGCACCTTTTAAAAATTGGCATGATTGTCAGCCTGTTCATACACTGCAACATTAACTCCAATCGATCTCTAGCTATCCTGCTATTAGAGGGAAAAACTATCCTTTGCTCGTGGGCTAACTGCATACACCATTCCAGAAAGTTATCAAAAGATTCGCCTATTGATTGTTCTTCTATTCTTGATAATGTATTCGGTGGTACTTGTTTATCAACTAGGTCCAAAATTCCAAAAAGAACTTCCCAATCAAATGAATGAAGCATAAACTTCTTCGAATAAGCTAGCCATCTGGTGAAAATCGATATTATATATGAGACAACGAGAGAAAGCTTATACATTTATTTTACTTAATACTCTTTCATTTTCCCTCAGAAATTAGGAGCTATAAATTCTATAAGTTCGTGATTTAATGACGCCCAAGGCGTTTTTTTCTAGATCACTTTAAAATCGTTTTTAACTAAATGTGCATATGTTCCCATAAACAAGAAAGGGAAGACTCTTGATCGATAAGATAAGTAAACTTATTCATTGAGTAATAAAATTCATTTATTGCTTGGGGTTTATAAATAAATTATCTATGTATATTTTTTACCTTAAAAGGAGACTAGAATTACAGAGATTATAAAAATAGTAAGAGTTTGTCTTCTCAGATGTTAATGAATGCATCAATACAATGTTAACTTATTAGAATTTGAGTATATTTTAAACCCATTATCTTTATTGTGATGAGATAAATATCAATCATTTAATTATAATGTAGAATAACCAATTAAATATACAGCGTTTATATGATAATACCATATATCTTCTATTCAATATATACTTTTTACTTTTAAATTTAGATAATCATCTTTATAACTATCACTTTTCTCTTGCTCTTTGTCTAATTAGCATGTTGGACGAAACTAATGAGACATACAAACTAGTAATCCTTAATTAATACATACGTATTAGTTACTTCTTATTTTGTACTTTTTAAACTCTCTGTTATAGTCTATCATGTACATAGTATTTATATATTTTAGTATAGTTAATATTTTATACGTATCCTCTGAAATTAGTATTTCTTTTCATATATAAAAGTAGGATAAGTAGAAATCTGGAGGAAATTATCAATTTACCATTCGATTACTTGTCATGATTGAAAATTTTCCACTAATTTTAACAATTTCTCTTAATTAATTCTATACTTTTTTTTCGTAGTAGAAATTTAGTTTCTTCATTCACCAGACCTCAACAAAGGTTCGGCGTTTGTCCTATTTTACTGACTAAATGTTTATCTAGTTTGTTTCCATTGTTTAAGTATATGCTGTGTATCTATATAAGAGTGTACTGTAAATATTGTAATGTGACGATTGTAAACGTATCAAGAGTAAGAATGGGGAATTTTATTAATTATTCACTTTTGTTGTACTTTCCTTATCTCTTTTCTGTAGCGAATCTTAATTATCAATTTAGTATTTTAAATATACCTGCAAATTGTTTGTTGAGCATCACTAATATCTCCTTGAACAGCGTGTTGATGGAGAATATTTTCTGCAGTTGTCGTTAAAGTGCCTTTCCAGTTAGTTTTTGTGCCGTATCTTGTTTGTTCTTCCTCTAGTTCATGTTCAATGAAAACACAGAGAAGATCCTCGTGCTGTCTAACGTCAGTTTGATTATCTTCTTCAGAAACTCCTTTATCTTCTCTTGTAGCTAAGCTTAGTCTAAGTCGAATGTAACCTTCTACATTTGACCTAGAGCTGCGACCTTCTAGTTCGTACCATTGATCAATCTCCTTAGATGGTAGTTCCTACAGCCGACAATTAAAGTATATATGTATAAAAAAGACTATCAAATATTAAAACTTTTTTTATTATTTGTATTAAAGATCTTACGCTTAATCGAATGTTAACCGAACCGAGAAAATCGTCAACATTTCCAGAAGAACTAGTTCTCGCCGACTGGGCAACTTGTTTAAAATATCTTCCAAGACCTTTTAAACCAGAAACCTTAAAGAGAACAAAAAAGAAATAGGTAGAAGATGCTAATATCGTAAAATTTTCTTGTCTTAAAGGTAACATATATATATATAAAGTACATACACAAATGTATATAACAACGCATTTTTGATTCCATTCGTTATTTTTATAGAGTGCTATATTAGTCATATAAAAACTATACATCGCTGGAATAAGGACAAATGGAGATATTAAGAGAAGGTAGATTGAGATGTAGTATTATTTTATATAGTTTATTAATATTCATAAATTCATAGATAACAATGGAATCGATATAAAGTAGATTTGTTTTAATATTTTAATTAATCATAATTAAGGTTTACATTGTCTCTAATCATACTAAAATATAAAAATGGATGCTAATATTAAATTATGAATATTTGTAGATATAAATTATATGATATACTAAACCAATTTAAGAGGTTATAGCTTATCGATCCTTAATAATGATTAAAAATTAATCTCGCCGGGAGGTTTATGATAAATAATTACTGCCCTATTATTATTGTTTTTGTTTTAAAGATATATCTTTTCATTAAATCTCAACGCATTGTATTGACTGGGAGGATTATAAATAACAAGTAAATATCTTAAAAAACAATTTTATCACCTCGTTCAACTTCTTAGCGGCATCTAATACGGAAGCATCGTCATCATGATCCCATATATCCAAATGAAGCTTATCGTGTTCAATATCACAAACATCACTGTTAAGGTAACAAGTATATGAAATAGAAATTAATAAAAGCGTAAACAACATTTTTTTATAATCATTTTGAATAATTTATTAGCGAAAAATTAAGAATTCCTTTACTTTTCGTATTAATTTTAACTGATTAATTAAACCAGGTGTTGTCTTTTAATTTCATTTTTTCAAATCTTTCTTTCCATAGAATATTCTCTTGTTAAAAAAACTTTGAGAATATTTATATTAATTAGTCATTGTAATCGATTGCATAATAGATATATTTGCAATTTTCTTATGATTATCATTAGAATATCATCACACTTATAGAGTTATGATTAAAGTATGAATATTTCTAAATTCTTCATTAGTTTATGGGTAATTGGATGAAAACATTTCGGTTTTTAATTGATTTTTTGAGAACGTAAACGCTTCATTAGCTATTGACCTATTAAAAATATACAAATTATTCATCGACCTATCTAAACAATATCGCAACGATGTCCTATTGTTTAGCGTTGCCAAGGTGTACAATACACTACAATCACTTATTCCTCTCTTTTTTTCTTTCTATCTTTTTTTTCAATCTATCCATCTATACTCTTTCTATTCATTAGTAATTTTTTCCCTCCTTCTAATAACCTTTTGTCACTCTTTTTTTATTTCCGCCAATAAAAGAAATTACCTTATAATTTAAATAATGATTACCTTCAACATTTAGTCAATTTTTTTAAATTTAATAAAAAAATACTAATATTAGCCAATGAGAGATGAAAATTTTGGACTAGATAAATGAGGGGAAAAATATCTTATTGTACTTGAAAGTTACATGTACAAATATGTAAGGTGTTGTTAAAAGTTCACATAAGTAGTAGATACACGTTCACTCACACGCAATATATATATACACACGCACCTGCAGTATAAAGTATACATTATATACATATGTATATATATAAATATATATATATATATACAGTATATATATATATATACAGTACATGTATACTGCGTATGTAGTAGGTGCATATTTTATGTGTATACATCTAGTAAATGAAGGTAAACAAAAAATGTAAAATAATATGGCTTTCTATCGATTATTTTAGAGGAAGAGACTCATCTGTAAAGATTTTCTTCAAAATCTTACTTAGTCTCTCTCTCTCTCTCTCTCTGTCTCTCTGCTTCCCTCTCTCTCTCTCTCGTTACTTTTTTACTTTTCTTTCTGCTACCTTTCCTAATTTCTGATTTTCTTCCCCATTTATAGTTTATTTTTATTCCATTAAGTTTAAACCCATCCATTTTTGTCTTTAATTATAAATATAACCCTTTCCAGTTAAAGTAAGAAAAGTTTAACTCGCTGTTGTCTTTTTGTTAAAGAACGAAATTTTTCAAACAAGGACAAAGTTATTATATAATATAAATATAAATTTAAATATAAGGCAGATGAAAAAGTAGGACAAGGATAAAGATAAAATATTGGAAAAAAAAATCGAGCAAAAAAAAAATTTTGAGAAACGAACTCAATGACATTTTCACTAATTACAGTAACGTTCGAGTTCGTGCATTTCTTTATGTTTATACGTGCCATTACATATTTCTCTAATACCAATAAGAGATTTCTTTTCCTTTTTACTCTCATTTTTCTTTTCTGTTTTTTTTCTTCAACTTCTTTTCTTTCCATTTTTATACATTACCTCCTTCCCCTACAATCTCTTTAGTTTTCTGCATCTACTTCATTTTTTCCCGTTATTCCTTCGCAATTCGCATCCCGTCTCTCATTTTTATCCCTGCCTTACACTTCTTTTGACTTTTTATTACCTTTCCTATTAAATATTATTCTTAAAGAGAAAAACATTTAAAGCTAAGTATTAAATAATTGTAAATTGACTTTGTTAAATTTTCTTATAGTCCAAAAATTAGTTCATTTCTCTCTAGGTTATTTGTAGCTCTTTTTCTCTATCTTGATTGTTTTATGGTAGTTTTATTCGCGTATATATTGTTATCATAGTTTTTTAATATTGGAGTAGTACGTGCATACGATTAGCTATATAAAGAGGTTCTATAGTTCCTTGGCTGTTATCGTTGATTAGTTTGATTCCATTTATACTTCTTCTCATAACTTTTTACTGACAATTCTTATCGCATATAAAGAGAATAATAAATCATTTCAACTTATGTCTCATTTGTGTGACCTTTCCATAATCAGTTTTCAATTGCTTTTCTAAATGACAGCATAGAAACTGACATTAAATTTTCGGATGAAAAACTCTCTTATAAAAGAGGGTAAGAAGAGGAAGAGAGAGAGAGACATAGCCAGAGAGATAAAGTGAAATTAGAAAGTCTAGGAAGAAAAACACAGGTGAATTCTCTTAAGAAAGAACTACTAATGTTCTGTTTTTCTTTAATATCATTTTTTTTAATGATAGGATTCTATTTAAGCTTTATCAGTTAAGTCTTAGTAAACAAAGAGTGTTTAAGACAAACTTTGCTTTACTGGGAAGAACCAAGTTAAAATATAGAATAATAAATATCCATATTCAATAGATAAAAAATTGATTTATCGTCACAAAACTATCGAAAAATACAACTCTATTTAAGTCTGTTTCCAAACTATAAATATAATAAGGAAGCAAGGTATAAAAAGTTATATAGCGCATATACGATATCTACAATGAATTTGCAGAATAGCGTCTGCTATTATTACAAGTAATACATATTAAGTTCATATGAAAGTTTAAGTAGAATATTCTTTTCGTATATAATTATATAATATACTTACAATCGAAATTTCTCATTCCAGATAGGGTTTAAAGAGTTATTAACGACCATTGTGCACTTAATGAACCTAGCTGGTATGAGGTCACGAGCCGTCTGCGTTTGTTTTTTCCTTTTGAAACTTTGCGAAAATTTTTTGAGAGCGGAGCCTGTTCTACTAGGACTTTTTGGAGTTTCTTCTATATCGTTCGGGAAGCTTGTTGTGTGATGGACGTTCAATTTATTAGGTGTTGAAGGTTGACTTTGACTTGACTCCGGCACTATTCCTATCATACAGTAGGGGTCGCTGAAGCCATCAGGATCCTTTGCTTCTAAATTCTTAGCCTCAACAACAGTGACGTGTAGAACAAGAATAGGAGGCTGAATACAAAAACATAGAATTTCTATAGATATAATAGGAAAAGAAAGATATTTCAAAAAATATTAATGAACCTATCTTTCTATGAATCTATAGAGTAAAAATGATATAAACCGATGGTTTTGACGGAATTACAGGTGATTTATATGCTCTATTACGAAATGAATCTGTCAATTCACTAATATTGTATATAAAATTTATATATAGTATGTGACATATAATATATTTATATATTTATGTAGCATATGGATTGATAGTAATTTGTAAAAACAGAAACTTTGTTTATCTATTTGTTTACGTTGTTATTTATCAATTTGAGGTTGCATGTTAATGATTACTAAACAAAATAACTGACAAGTGTTATTATTATTGAATAATTAATTAATTAATTAATTAATTAATTAATAAAGATATAACAGTTAATAATAAACAAAAAAGAAACAAGAACTACAGAACAACTATTTAAACGAAAGAGAAACCACAAATAGTAGCAAGAAAGTATATCTATAGAAAATAGATTTATAATTAAAAGACCAAATACACAAAAGATTCTAATAATAAGATGAAAGTGGGATAGATAGGAACAAATTTGCTGAATTTCTTTTTTAGAAACATCATATTTACTACATAAGAAAAAAAAGCATTGAATAAAATTTAAGAGGAAGAGTACAATGAGACCCTTATAGAGATTATAATGTATCAGCCTTTTCCACCCTGCATAAGTAATTCTATATGAAAATAATTACGGTTAAAGACAATTTGGTCCGTGCGTGATAATAAATGAAAACATAAAAGGATACAATATCTTCTCTTCATAACAAAAATATATTTATTTTTTACTCAAACTACTCTCTTATGTACATGCTAGCTCACATCCTCTTGATGAGAGGGGAAAGGAAAAAGGGGAAGGAAAAGTAGAAAAGGCTGGAAAAGGGAAAACTGATTGATTTATATCCGTTTTACTCAATAAGTAGAAATTATTATAAGACACGAATACAACTCTTAATGTGTTCCTATAATTCTCTGTGATAAATAAATACAATGCATTTATATATAAGTCTACCGTAATATTACATGATAAGCAAAATTAGGTTCCCTGAATTATGATCTATTATTTTTTCTGTAAATCTCCTATATTGTTCTAAATATAAATACTATGCTATAGGACTACATCTTTCTCTTTCCTTTTAAACAACAGTAAATAGTGAAATAGTATTCTTTCTCAAAAGAAAAGAAATACGCAAATAAATCACTTTTCGTTTCGATCCATTACAGTTTTTTCCTCCCTCTGCCTTCCCTCCAAAAATGATTTAATGATGACGAGCATACGTTGAAAGTATAATACAGTATGCTAACTGTTAGTTTAGTATAAAGTTTTTATAAGTCCTTTTTTATAAAGTTTATCAATGATAAATCGTGAATATTGTAACAAAAAAGGAAATTTTGTAAAGTTCTTAATGTAAATATAGTCCTATATATAAATACATAAATAACAAATAATATGCTTAAAATTGTGATAATTATTGTTAATTTAAATGAATGAATAATTTACAGTGAATTGTATGTATCTCTCTCTCTCTCTCTCTCTCTTTGTCTATATATCTTTTACGTCTCCCTTTCTCTCTTCCTTTTCATACATTTTTTCAACTAACGTCAGAAAATTATCTTGATATAGTTTCAGACTGGAGAAAATGAATTTGAAATGAGAGGAGGAAGGGGAATTTGGTAGGCGGAAGGGGTTTGTATAGAGAAGAGAAATGGAAAAGCGTAAAGAGGTTTTCGCTTTGTTAACAAATTATTTATACCTTTTTCGAGGTTGCATAAAGAGACGCATCTTAGGTGATTTTTATCAAATCTGTTAAAATTAGCGATATATCTCTGAGAATAAGTAAATAGAAAAAAACAAAGGGTATTCCTATTCTTTCATCACGTGATTAATCAGCTCATTCGAGTGTTGTTGGGTATATACGGGTTCTTTTTAATATTTTCTTTTGAAATTTAATGATTTATCTATGGTAAATATGTACATTTTTTGTAAGAGAAGGGAAAAGGAATGATAAGATTTATCATTAGGTATTTCCAGGAGAGTCTTTAAAAAGAATGATTAGTATTTATTTTACAGTATTTATAGGCCTAAAAATAATCTTTTCTCATAGCTTTAGAAATATAACAAAAACAAATTTAAGCCCCGTAATTAATAACCTTATAGTTATATGAGTTTTAATGAACACAAATCTTTTTTTCCTTTTGCCTTTATTGTTTAATATATGAAACAGAAGATATAGGGATAGGTGTTAAAATCATGAAAGAATTATACATTATCGTACAAGATGCGAAATAATTCTATCTGTTAATACTATCTTTTTTTTTCTCTAGCTTTCAGGTTAATTGAATTTAAGCGTATTATAAGCTTAATGTCTGGATCGAGTGTTCTTTTTAGGCCTGCTTGCAGGAGAAATCTTTTCCATGTCCTTTCGAAAACAATTTCACCTTCTCTAATACAACATTAAGATATAAAACGCCCACTTAATTTGTTGGATAAACAATTGATCATACTTTATATTAAGATTAGAGGGGATGTGTTACAGTTATATATACTTGTATTCCTAGGAAAACTAGGACTAATATATACAAAAAAAGAATAGTTTTCGGAGAAAAAATGTCGTAACCTTTTTCTTAAGAGAACATCAATGTCAGTTCAGCTTTCATTATGCAATTGTACCGTTTTCAGAGGAATTTTTTTTCCTACATTTACTGCAAAGCAATTTCTCCCTTACCTCCGCCTATCTACTCTTCTTTCTTTGTTCTTTGTCTCTTTTTTTACTATCTATATATCTTTACAATCTCTTATGCTTCCTTCAGCATTCTAATTCATGGTTTTACTTTCTGTATTATTCACTCCTTTTAAAACTTTTACAGTGTAAAAATTTTTACTAATAGAGAAAATTTCATTTCTTTAATGTTCTTTTCATTTACATACATCAAAAAGAAAACTAGTTAAAGCCATATTATATGCATTGTACATTTAAAAAAATCTATACTAAAGTATATTTGTATTGAGTTTCCTTTTTAGAGCTATATGAGGATAAAGATAAATGGGGACACTTTAAAAACTACTTTTTATTTATGAGCATTCGTAATACATTATATAATGCATATATCTATATAGTATATACATATATATATATATATATATATATATATATAGTATCTATAAATTCTATATTGACTGAATAAATATACATGTATACACACTTTTATATTTGATTTTTAGGTCTTTTGTGCAGCACGATTTATATATATATATATACTGTATATTATATGGTTTATAAGGGTTAAGCTTGTTAAGCATCAATGGCTTTATTTCTGACTGTTTCTGATCTAAAAAGCCTATAGAGGGGTTTCAATCTACCCTATAATAGAACGTATGATATAAGAATGGGAAGAAAACAATTTTTTATCAATTTTTTTCTTTTATTTAAATACCTGAATCCTCCATCCTATTGTCAAAAGTGATTTATAATGGGGGAATATGAATAATGACTTAGTTACCCTTAATTTTTAATGTTTACAGATTCCTTTTTGTTTTTCAAATATGATTTTTATATATAATATAGTTAAAAACTATTAGAAAATTAGAATTGCTTTTTCGGCGAATATCTTTCAAGTACCTTGAAGAATTGCAACCGTTTAATGCGTAAAACCTCTAAAGATCACCTTGTATGTCACGTGATCTTCTCCAGGGTAAGGCAAAATATAGAAGCTCAAAATTGACATAAAATGAAACAAGTGCAATATTTCACGTTAATCACATTTACATGCTGATGAATAAGGCTTACCCTCTACGAGTAATAAATAGAACAAGAAGGAAAATATAGGAGAAGAAAAAAGAGGAATAAATAGGAATGCACAAAAAGAATAAAAATTGAAAAGAAGAAACAAAGAGTATCATGGGAGAATGTTATTGACAGCTTACCTTTTCTTCGGCAGCCTTAGCTAAAAGCCTGGCGTGTTCATCCGGTGTAACACCAAACGATTTTTTCGCATACTCAAATAGTTCGGATAACGCATGCGTTGAACCTGCTCCAACTTTATGTTTAATAGTATACAATACTTCCACATAAAGAGATTCAAAATCCTTCCTGCTGGGAAACATTCTTCCATGTTCTGTACCAATGACCTTCGATTCGGCTATAATTGTTCTCCCATCGTCAGCCGCACCTCTCAGGCGTTGATTCTGTTGTCTCCATATCAGGGCTGTGAAACTTTCGAAAAAGCTACCGTCTGCTTGTTGAACCCTGTATTAATTTAATTCGTTTTTTAAAAGCTAACCATTAACTAATTACTACATAATTAGTTAATTAATATCATGATTAAATATGATTCGATTTCAAAAATAGAACTTATAATGGAAGTTGAATGATTGAATGATGAAGGAATGTGTATTATTTATATTAAGTTACCTTATTTTTCTTATTAAAATTTCATAGCGTTTCGCTTCTTTTTATTTATTTTCCTCAGATGATATTGAATGCATAATTGGAAATTCAGCGCTACACTGTTTTTTAATAACCTCACTTGAATAACCGAAAATGGGTTGATTTGTTCTTTTATGCAAACAGGATACTTAAATAGTTCTTTCAATATTCATTTTAGCTATGTAAGGACAGAAATAAGCTTCTCATTGATTAGACCTGAACAATTACTTCAGGACACACTCTACGAAACCTTAATAAAATCTATCACGTGACTGGAGAAAAAATAGTAAGTGACTGTTACGTTTCGAACTGTCTAAATGCGTTTAACTAACTAACCGAATAAAAGGAATTAAATTAAAGTTAGCTCTATACAATACTATATCCAGAGTAAAGATACTAACAGATTACGTTGTACAGCTAAAAAAAAATGTTTATATTGTTAAAACTGTCATTTTTGATTTTGTTTTATAGTAGCGTTCATTCTAAGGTCAATATCATCATTTATGCTATAATGATATTAATTAAAAAACCGACAAACAGATTCGGAAATAAGGGTTTTAAAATTCGATACTTAATGTACGGTAATAATTTTTCAAATAGTAGATTTAATTATAGTAAGAGGGGAAAGAGACGCTTATAATATTTTTCTTTCAGTTCTTAAAGAGAATTAAATTTAACTTAACATCTGAAATTTGAACTCCTTTTTCATAATTGAGGGCTTCCTATATCTTTTTTAAATATTGGTATATGCTTTATATATACTGCTTAGACATATATATATATATATATATATATATACACTAAAACATACAGTATATAACATCTTTTTGAGAGCAATTTCGAAAAGAAGAGAATTTTTAAGCATATTTATTTCATTTACTATTTGAAAGATAAATGAAGTGTAGGTCTGACGAAGAAATTTTATATTCGAAAATATGAGTTTTACGTGGGAAATAATACGATTTTTTAGGTAGACGCCTATAAAGCGTCATGCCTATCATTTAGCAAGTCGCCTAGGTAAAAAGGCACTCGATTTACCCTTTCTTTCCTATTTTTCAGTGCCTGAGAACTTTATTAAAAAAGAAACAGATAGAAATACTCACGCGCTATTGGCTGATTGTTTTGGAGAAGTTCGTCTTTCCGCCGAAGAATCCCTTTGTATGCTTAATGTTCTCTGAGCTTTTAAACGTTCTGACCTACTCCTACCACAGTTTGCCATTTCACGTAATTCTATAAAGGCAGGTGACGGCGTGAAGCGTTAACTGCAATACTGCAAAGTGGCGGCAATCAATGACGTGCCGTACCTGTTTGTTGGCGCCATCTGCGCATCAACGCCCGAGAAACTGAAAGCTGCATATAATATGGATACTATTACAGATGAATTCATAAACATAACACTATTATCTGAGATAGGTAGTTAGATATTAAGGGGGAGAAAACACAGAGAAAAGAGAGGAAGATGAAAAAAAACACCCGGTAAAGACAGATAAATAGATAGATAAATAGATGGATAGAAAAGAGACATAGAACCGAGAGAGAGAGACAGACAGACAGAGAGCCAAAGACAGAAACAGAGGCAGCGAGAAAGGGAGAGAGATAGAAAGACAAGTATAAAAAAGGATATAAAAATTATTCAGTGTTAAGTACATAACCTAATACTATAAACGTATACAAGTATAAACATATATATACTTTATATTTTCGTATATTTATATAAATATGTTTATATATAGGTTATTTAGATGAAAATGTTACCTTAAGTAATGTATTGGGTAATCTTTCTTATTTCGATGCCAAATTTAAGACACTCGTTAGAGCTATCTAATTAAGCACATGATAATATTGCTAGGCCTGATTTTGAACTCAATAACTAACCATACATACAGAATATCCATAAGAGTTGCATGTTGTATACTCCTTACAAGGAAATTTAGTTTCTTAGAGTAGACAAATTAATTAAGTCTTTTATGTGGTATATATATGTTAACTATATATGATCTTTGATATATATATATCTATATGTAATATACTTATATGCTATGCAGTATAAAGTATACAAATTCACCTTACACACATCGAAACAGAAAATTATATTCCACCGATTTAAAAGCTTTTCTTTAAGAAAATAGGAAAGGACAAAAATCAATTAAAGCCTAAATGAAAAATAAGTAGATTTTTTGTACATATCTACAAAAGAAAACAGGTATTAACGGTGAAAGATTGCGTAACATAGACATCAAGCTTACTGCTTCTTGCGTATGTATTGTTAATAATCAGATAAACAGTAAAATATAATATAAATTTTATAATTTATATGTAATACATATTTAGTATATTTTAACTTTACTGTATTGCATATACTGTATGCTCTACATATATGAAATAAAACAATATATCCATTTTTGTTGTCTTTGTTCTTTTTATAGGCTCTATTCTGTTATTTATGAATAATAATGATTGTTAATAATTGAATATCTTTTGCATTTTTGTAATTTTTTCAAGTCTCCTTATAATGGAATACTTATGTAATTTTAATCAAAAACTCTATTAAAATGGCAAGAAATCTATCGATATATTTTTTTGTAGACGATTTCTTTCACTCTCTCTCTCTCTCTCTCTCTCTCTCACTCTTCGCTTTGTTTATGTACTTAACTACACCTATATGTATATGCTTTTTGTCTTATCTTATAATTAATACAATTTTCTTCCACATAAAAGTATAAATCAAATAAGAGTTTAAATTTTCGATGTCACCATCCAATTAATGACTTGCTCGTCTATAATCACATGTCACTGATTTTCTATGTTTTATTTATTTAAATAAATGATAAATGAAGGTAAATACTTTCTTTACATATGAAATGTGCACTATACATAAACACTGACTATGAGGTATACTTAGTTATATATTTATTCAATATGGTATATAACAAGTACACTGATATATATTTAAAATCCGTGTTTTTTTATCAGGAGAACATTGTGCCATCTATTGTCAATATATTGGCTTTATATAGCAAAGATAGAAAAAATGATTTTCTATTGATTTTAATTATAGTAATTAGTTAAATAATTGAATTCGTATCTTCTCACGCTGATTCTTCCTGGTTTCAGCTTAGATAGAGTTTGTCAAGGAAAGAAACAAACACAAGAAGGACGAGGATAGGAGGAGCAAAAAAAAAATCAACGAGAAAAATATATTTCTTTATATACATATATATATATTCTTGTCATGAACGTAGAGATTAAAAATTGATATTGAGACATACATTTTCTATTATCACCAGTAATAGATTATATTAGTTTTTTATGTTGTTTTCTTTTCATCCTTTCCTTGCCAATGTAAAAAAAAAAAAAAGAAAAGAAATAATCGGAATTAGTTGGATATAATTCTAAGAATAAAAACAGAGTTATCTTTAAACTTGCATTTTCTCCTTAAAGAACAAATAAGCTTTTCTTAAAAAAGTATATCTATTTCATTAATCTCTTGTTCATAAATTACTCTTTCTTACAAAACAGGAAATCAGATTCCTTCTATAATAGGTAACGCCCAGTAAATAGCTATCTCTCTCTCTCTCTCTTTAACACCTAATGTACAGTGAACATTTATTTTACATTTTCTTCCATTTTATTCTTAATTTTCTTTTGTAAGATCATTGTTTAGAAGTATTAAATTGCTAAGAATGGTCATTTTATATATTAAAATGCATTAAATTATAATATTTTGTGTAAATTTTACGATTATTTTTTAATAAAAAGAAAAAAAGACATTTAATAATAACAACAGAGAAAAGAAAATAGAAAAATGTCTATTAGACTTTACTAACAAAAGGACATTGACCCTTCCCTCTCCTTCTCTTTCTCCCCGTCATTTACCTCCCTTCAGGCATTATTTTACACACGTAATAATTGAACTGGAATATGCTATTATATCTTAAACCCTTTTTTCTTTTGTATATTTTTTCTCGTTACTTTCAAAATTATATTTTTTAAAAATAAAACATAAACTTAATAATCTTTTTCTTCTATTTTTATCGATTTTAAAGAGAGAATGAAAGAAGAAAGATAAAGAGAGAAAGATAAAGAGAAAGCAAGAGAGAGAGAGAGAGAGAGAGAGAGAGAGAGAGAAACAGAGACAGAAAAAGAGAGTGACTGAGAGAGAAAAGCCGAAGCTATAAAATAAGGAATTAACAGATTAATTAAAACAATGATAGTATTCTGTTTATTATGAAAATAACAATAAATGAGATTTTTCTTTCTCTTTTTTTTAACAAGTGATTTATTTTTTAACTTTTCTTTTTGTATTTTCCAATAATTCATGCAATAATGCGTGGAATTAATTTCCTAATAAATTACCTGTTTCGGTCATTAGTAGTTATTAATGTATTTATACAATAAAAAAAAACAAGGTACAAATATATAAATAAATGAACATCTATACAAAAATTATTTATATATATATATATATATATATATACATAACAACAAGCAAATTTTTATGAACCTCATATTTTTTAATTAAATTTTCTTTCTTTTTACAATATAGGAAAACTTTTATACAGGTTGTTGCGTAATATTTCTGGAAGGCTTACTTGAGTTTACATATGTTAATTTTTATGTCCTTGGAAGAAAAAGTCTATAAGTATGTTTTAGGGTAGTATTATTTAATCGATAGATGCGTTATTAAAAACTCATTTAAAAACATTGACTAGAAAAAAAAACTCATGGGGACTTAATGATTTAAGATTCTTTTTTACAAGTATATGCTGCCATCTGTTGTTGAATAAATAAAATATATGAAATAGATAGAGCTTATAATATACTGTATATTCTGTATATTTGTTCAATATATATGTATAGATACAATATCTACAAGTTTATATGTAAAGTAAAACTTTGAGTAATACTTAAAAGAATACAGAAAAGAATATTGAATATTCTTAATTATAAACCTAACCTATTCTCGAGAAGAAATTAATTAAAACTTCGTAATTTGCCTTCCTACCAGATAGTCATTCTTTTAATGCCTGTTTTGAGTAGTTTTTCAACATTACTGATGGAATGAACTTAAAGAAAACCTATAAATATTTCATTAAAAGAATTGTTACTTAATAAGTTACAGAGATAGAGAGAGAAAAAAAAAGAAAGATGAAAAAAAAAGAATCTTGGATAATTTATTCAATACAGATAAAAAATATAATCCCTAATATTATTCGGATTTAGAAACGGCAAAGGAATATGCATTACTTTTTTATTCTATGACTTTTTCATTCTTTCCATTACGTAAATCGTCTTTTTTTTTTCTCAACTTGTTTTCTTTGTCATTTCTATTTCTTTCATTTAATTTTATAATCTATACTACATCGTAAGAATTTCAGCTTTATAATATGTCTCATACGAGTATACTATTATTTTATTACTACAATATACGTTTATTTTTCCTCTACAATCTAGGCTGAAGATATCTTATAATATACCAGTCTTGCAGTATTTTGTTGATCGATCTTATGTTTTCCATCTCACACTTCTTCCAATCTGTAAAATCTCTCACGTCCCCAATTGTAAGCTTCTTTTTTGATCCAGAGTGCGAGATACCTAAGTTAATTAATGGAGGATAAGATGACATTTCGACTTTCAAGGTTGGAAGGGTTTTTTTTTCGTCAACTAGGTTAATGGATGTATGGTAACGCTTTAAAAATTCCAACCAAGAGACGTGGTATTCATCTACGACATCTCCCTAGATTCCTTATTTGACACGTAATGTCTAAAAATATATTAAAAAAGTAACATGAAAATAAGAGGGAATGTCCAAAAATATTATTGTTTAAAACGGAAGCGTCTCTATTTACAAAAGTTAATCGAGCCTTGTAATTTACACTATCCTTTGGAGATTGGCAATTGAACCAAAGTTGAATGAATTTACTTAAACCGTAAGCTTCTTTCTAATGCTATCATCATAATTCGGTATACAAAAAAAACGAGTAATAATAAAAAATGTTTATTTTAAGCCTTCAATTTGATAAACACCAAAAAGTATTTGCAGCTGCAACTCTCTCGGTTAACGACTCTTCCTAATAAGTAAATATAGTGTATATACTAAATGAACAAACTCATATTTAATAAATAAATGTATATATGTATAGATTATTAAAGACTGTATAAATGGCGTTTATTATACAATCAATATATACTATATAATATTTACAATTGAAAACAAACTTACCTTCACTATAGATAAAATGTATATTGAATCTATTAAATTAAACATTTATAAGATAGAGATATGGGAAAC